AAAATGATAGTTTTTTCGCGCAAAAGCGTCGGAGAACCATGGAAAAGCGCAAAAAAGTGAAAAAATATTGTTTACACCAAAATCAATTGTGGGGTACCGGTACTTAATCAAATTAACCGGTAGAGCGAGCTGAACAAGAATATATATGGATGTTAAAGGAGATATGGCCCCAAAAAACTACGGTTAGGTTACTAACAATAAACCTAACCCAACGTAATCTAACTTAACCTAACCTAGCCCAACGTAACCTAACCCAACGCTTTTCCGGTCGTAACTTTGTTATTTTTAATCTGATCTTGAATTTGAATATCCACACGTTCGATTTACGCGAAATTGTTTTCCCCGTTTTCTGACACTTTTTCCATATCTCCCTTAATATCCATCAGATCTTGGAAATTCTTGCATAACTTTAGTTATAATTGTTCAGCTTGCTCTAATTTGAGTAGCCTAATTCAACCACATAACCTATTTCCGCAAAAACTTTGTTTTTCCCGTTTTCCACTTTTCCATGGGTTTCCGACGTTTGACGCGTAAAATACTCATCATTTTCAGAATCAGGGCGTTATTACCTACATTTTCAGAATAGAAAATTTCATTTTCCCAGGGTGCACTGAGAAGGTAAAAATTAAGTACTTAGCCTACCTCTCCTTCAAAGGTCTGGCAACAACGTCGCTGAATCTGTCGACTTCTTTCACGACAGTGTGGCAACTCTCAGGAAGAGTTGTCTACATCCTACATGCAGGAGCGACTTAAGTTAATTTATTATTGTTACCTAGGCCTATTGCCTTTGTATATAAACGGCCTGTTGACTTAGCTACTTCACAGCAAGTCAGCTAAATATTTAAGATTTGTTTAGGCCTACCAAATCTCACCATTTCAATTAGGCCTAGGCCTACATAAATAGGCTACATACATTCATGATACCTTAACTCCGTCTGTAGTCGTTTGCTCTGAGGAATTGGACAGGTCAGGGTCATAATCATAATAAAGGGTAGACTTTCAAATCAATTAAGTTAATTGATTCTAAACCCCAATCGTGGTAACTTACATATGCCAGGGCTGTTTCAATTTAGGCTAACTTCAAAAAAACAATCCACATTTTGACAATATAGGCCTGTCCCATCAATAATATTAGCCTACAGCACTAAACCATAGACTAAGCAAAACAAGGGAGTAGGCTATGTTTTAATATTACTAAACTTACTTGGGTGTATATTTTTTGGCCTGTAATAAATTCTTTGAAGATTATAATTAAAATATTACTGTGTATAATAACTAACACTATCCTATGTGTTTAAATGCTTAAGTTAATTCTATCACTACAGAAATTTATAATTTACAGATTTTACAGTGCGGGTTACTTCTAATCTAATCCCTCATTCCCACTTTAAACTTTAAACGTTTCAATTTCAATTGAACAAACTCAAATTAGTCGCAAAAAGGACTAATATTATGAATATTTTTAAGGAGAAGTGGAGAAGAGAATAAGAAGAGAATGGAAGGCGTAAGTTTATGAAATCAGTTCAGAGCGTAATAATTTAGAACATCCAGGAAGCGGAAAAGGAGAGTTTGTACTTTTACAGCGGCATTTAAGTTACTGTAACTTTTTTCAGCCAGTAAAATATCTAATCACGTAAAATGATATATTAAAAATAAATGGCTTCTTTTTAGCGAATCCCCCTTATATAACGAATAAGCTATTACCGTAGGTCTCATGGTAAGACCTAGTCCCGAGACTGATTTTATTTTTTCGTTTTGAGGTTCCCAGAGGTCAAAAACACCCTCCATTCAAATTCATATAGCTTAGGTTATATGCATGATGGAAGGAACTTATATGTGTCTGTTAGCACGATAACTCGGTCCAATTTTGATGTGCAAACACACGTGTAAGCCGTTTTGTTTTCACGTAGATGCGTCTTCAAAATCGCCAGCCGCGGCCCGCAGAAGAATGGACTGGGGTGCATTTTTGAAGCATGTTTTCACGCTCTGTCCCTGGCTACACGGGCGGGAGCAACATGGAGCGTTTCTCAAGTGGTCCTGGCAATTTTAAATCAAGCTAAATGTATTTTTTCAGAACTGCGAAAAATATTTTTGGGTCTAGCCAATCAGTACACGTTTTGTCCTAAACATACGTTGACCGTCGACCTTACTGGACTACTTAATAATTTGTTACTAAAGGGAAAGAAATTTAGTTGGACCAAAGAATGGGAAGGGAGATTTATGTAGAGCAATATTTTAGTTATATTCAAAGATTTGATGAAAGTCTTATAAAAAATTAATTTTAAATTGCCATAAATGTATTTTATATTAATTTTTTTATACTAAATGTAAATAATTAAATAAAATGTTAACAAAATACAACAATTATAGTGTTATTTTTTTATTGAAATTAATAAATCATTCATATTCCTAGTTCATTAGTCAAAAATAAGGTTACTATTCCGGCCATGAGAAGATACAAAACATAATCATGTGAATTCAGCAATTGACTACGGGTTGCCACTGCGTTTTGCCACTCCTAGACTTAAACCGGTTCGAAAATAAGCTACATTTTACCGCGTGAAAAAACGCAGATGTGGCCTACAACAGCGGGAATTCAAGCAGCATGAAAATAAGCTAGTATTTACCGAGTGAAAAAAACGCCCGTATGGCCGTGGCTTAAAAAAGGGCATTGCAAATTGCAAGAATCATTTCATGTAACAATTGAGGAACAGTGTTTATAGGGTATTTCAACCCTGCTGAGTACGAATCTGCCTGTTGCCAAAGCGAAATTTGAACCAGAAGTGCGGTATCCATTATCCAAGATTGCGGCCAAACCTCAATTTGCCCCATATCTCCCTTGTTATTTGACCTAAAATAAAACATACTCCTAAGGGAGTATGTTTAATCTATGGTTATACGCAGTTTTAGGGCTTTTTTCCTAGTTTGGCATTAACGCATTGAATCTTAAAACTAACCTTGCTATTGAAAACGTATATGTATGTATTACATATACATTGCATTATGTTCGTTGGTGTTACGAATATGCAATTTTAAAGAAAACTAGGCACACTGTAATTTTAGGTAAAAATACAAGATTTAGAAAATTCTGTAGTTCTGAGATAATATTAAACATAATAGAAGTGCGATATAATGTTTTATATATTTTAATCATACAACCATCATTTGACAGTTTTGATTACATTAGATGTTCGTGAATCGCGGAACAAAATTATGTAGAGCAGTAAATTCAAACCAATATATTTTTTAAAAGATTTAACAGAATTTACTCTAACAAAATAAGGAATCTGTATTTATGTTAGACGAATAAGGGAAACAAACAAAGTTAAAGTTAGCTACCGGTATTTATGTTCGTAATTGTAAAAATAAGTCCTAGTTATTCTGAAAACAGTTTATATAAATATTTGTATGTGATATGAAATAAACTATCATCCATTCATCATGCAACTGAAAGATTTTCCGTTTTTAGTGAATTTCACATACAGCAATCTATTACCGTAATACTTATGGTAAGAACTGGACCCGGGACCAATTTTATTTTTCGTTTTGAGTTCCCTAGAGGCTAAAAACACAATCCGTTAAAATTCATATATCTATATATATATATACTAGCTGTACCCAAGGGCTTTACCCCGTTTTACTTCCTTATTGAGCTCGTTCGCATGGCTTAACCACGTCCTGGTTGAAGTTCGTTCGTTATGCTCACTCACCTTTAGGTTGGAGCTCGTTCGCTGCGCTCACTTGCCTTCAGGTTAGCTCGTTCGCTACCACAGAATTATAGCTCAGTGTTCGCTACGCTAACTCGCCCCCAGGTTGAAGTTCGTTCGCTACGCTCACTCCCCTTTTGGTTGCAACTGTTGTCATAAATTAAAAAAATAATAGTGCTGCACCCTGTTGGTAATCCTTGTAACTTTAATGCTATTGTACATCATAGAATAAAACCAACTTGTTTAAATTGAAACAGCTGTTAAGATTCATTAATTCCATTTAAATATGAGTACTCATAAGGTTAACATGGGAAACTCCAGAGCCACTGGGGAGGAGCCCGAGAGTCCGATCAGAATAAAAACAACTTAGTTTTCCTATTTAATGCCTAAAGAATCAGTGTACCAAATTTCAGCCTCCTAGGTAAATGGGAAGTGGGAGAATTAGTGATGAGTGAGTGAGTGAGTCAGTCAGTGAGGGCTTTGCCTTTTATAAGTATAGATAAGTATTTTTTATATATGTATCCGTTAGCGCGATAACTCGAGCAAAAATCATCCGATTTTGATGAAATTTGGTACAAAAACGTGAAACCTAAGTTTATTCGAACGAGTTCGCGAACCAGCATGATCGAACTGTGGGAACAGGGTTTTATGGGGTAAAAATAGGGTTTTCCAATTTTTGGACCTAAAACATAAAATTTTGGAATTTCTTTCCCAATCATTTTGTAGAGCTAGAGCTTAAAAAAATAAATAATTTAGTATGTTGGAGCAGTGATTACGGAGAAAATTAAAAAAAGTGTAAATTTAAAATTTCCATTTTATTCTTATGGAGGATAGATAAACTGTTGTAGCTTACTTGTCTATAAACATATTTTAATGAAATTTTGTTTTCTTCATACGAAGCTATTAATATTTCAATAAAAAACTCCCTATTTATATTGTTCTTCGTACCGTTGCGGTTAGGGTGTTCCCTCAAGAGAAGAGAGTGACGTCACGCCACGACAGCCATTAGCATTAGAATGCTCTCATTCTCATTTCGTTATTCGTCCGTATCGAAAACCACAGCTGAAATAAAAATTGTCCACTGCCTGGCACAGGCTCTGAGTCTAACCACGGCCGCCTTTGTAGTTAAAGGCGGCCGTGGTCTAACGCTAATGGTCCAAGCTAATGTCAAGGTCAAGTGTCTCGGGTCGGGAAGTCAGGACTCACCACAGTGTCAGTGTCAGTTTCAGTGAGCGAGTCAGGAATTCCAAGAATTTGTTTGTGTTTGACATTCCTTTTTCACACCACACCTTTTACCTTTTGTCATTTGTCACCCTCAACAACAACTCTACATCTTGTACACTACAAATGTTAAAAATAGACAACCGTGTTTTAAGTAAATAAACTTATCTAGATGTTCAATGTTGAGTTACAAAAGTGAATGTTGATTACATTTATTTAATGTAGGCCTACCTATCATACAAACAGCAAGTGCCGCTTGGTTTGGTGTTGCTAAAAGGACCACTCGTAGGCCTAGCCTAACTTATATTGTAAATAAATTGGGTATTGTGGATTGTTTTTTGACTGGCTCATCTTTATGATGAAAGCGGTGGTTGTACTTTTATGTTTTACAGGTAAGTAGATTTACTTTTTGACATCTAGGCCTATATGTAGCCTAGGGACATTACTCTGCTACGAAATACTACTAGGCTTGGGTAGGCCTACAGTTTCTGAACTGGGCTATGCTAATATCGATTGAAACTATCGATTTGATTAGTAAACCTTCATGCGATTTTTTTACCATCAGCAAGTTTGGTTGGTTAGGTTAGGTTATGATAGTTTAATTTTATAATAGATTATATTTAAAAATATCGATTATTAATCAATATTTTCAACTCAATAGTTTCAATCGATATTAGCATAGCCCAGTTAAGAAACTGTACCCCTAGGGCTAGGCCTATGTACCTACACAAAAAATTAACTTAGGTGTAGGTAGACCTAGGCTACCTTTCGAGGAGAACCTATGATAGGCCTATTATGGAGGAAATGTTAGTTCAACAGTCGTATAAACACAAATTAGGCCTAAACTTCTAGATTATTTCAATCGTTTTAACCCTCCCAGTGTTACTTGACGAAAATTCGACAAGCAGCACACTTTGTGTAGTGTTACTTGTCGATTTTTCGACACGCAGACATCGTTTACGGCGAAGGCTCTATGACTGACTGAATCGGATTGAACTGGATCGAGTTAGGTATCGTTCTTTCCGTAATATTCTAAGCTTTCTCCAGAGGTCTGTCTCTAAGCGCTATTCATTTTAGTTCCGAAAATATTGTAGCAGACAGCTGACGTGCGTGTATTTGTAAACAGCTAGGTTCCCCCGGACCGATGACTGATGTGTTTTATTACGTTTATCATTGTTTTAGTGTTAAAAATCAAAAGTAGTGATATACGTGGTGCATTATAAGAAGATTTAGGTGGTTTTGAAGTGCTGGTTGATGATCCTGAAGAAGTAGGTGGTGATATTGATGTAAATTATCAGCCAGATTCCTAGCTATGGTTAGGCTATGCATTCTTAGCTAAACGCTATGTACTGAAATCAGTTTTTTGCCCATAACTTATTTATTTGCAAATCTACTTCCTTATATTATTATATATTTGTAATCCTCATAAAATTTAGAACAAAGTGGCTATTTTCAAATATTTATAGGCCTATAATTTATACAATTTCATTGAGCGCGAACTTATTTTTTTTTTTGAAAATTTTCGAAATTATATTTTTTTTACCTAAAAATTTTTTTTTTGAAAAAATGTTCCTTATGTTTTATATATAATATTGAAGCCCATGATTTTCCAAACAAAATGGTATATAGAACATTAGAATTAACATTGTTTTAAGCTTCTCAGATCCGTTTTAATAAAACCTTGCAAATGCGCCAAAAATAGGTGGACATTAAGGCCTAAACTATGGACACTTGGAGGGTTAAATGATCTTCATCTAACTTAAGGGACTTTTTCTTGTAGTGTACCGTTCAAGCAGGCTAAAGTTGGCTGTCGTCAGATGAACTCGTGAGCCAACTTCAGGCTGATTTCCGTTAACTAAATTAACTCTTATACAGTGTGCTGTGGCGTTCCATTTCTAGGTTAGTTAAATTCAGTTTCTGAAACATTAAAAAGAAGATACAAACAAATAACTTTAAAAGACGTCTTTGTTGATTTATCCATTAAACTACTGTAAGTTAATTAGGCCTACACAAAATATTGACTTTTTTTCTCATTTTTTGTTAAGTTACCTTGTTTATTATTATCATAAACTAATAAACAAATTAAGCCTAGTCAAAGTTAAGCCAAATTGAAAGCAATTAACCTATGGTAACTGCGGCAGCGCAGTGTGAAAAAGTCTTCTTGATAAACAGAGCCTAGGTCTATAAATTAATCAATATTTAACTTAGGTTAAGCCTAACTTACATCACAAGAACTAAGATCCAATAGGCCTAGGCCTATGATATAACTTTAAGGCTTATCAAATTAATAGGCTAAACTTATTTTATTAGTTCTCTCTACCCAAAATTAGTTAGGTATCGGTACAATATAAAAGATAGCCTACCTAAGTTATTTAACCTAAATCTATTTTTACAGCTCTGATATCAACTTGTTATGGACTTGGAAATGGTTCAGGAAAAGGTTCCCCATATTTTGGTCGATCAGCTTATAAATCTGATGGCCAGAGACCTGTGTACAATGGCCTTGGTTACGCTAATGGAGACTATCAAATGAAGCAAGCTTCAGGTAGGCTAAGTAATTAGTGGCGTCTCTCAAAACTAGACCTAAGCTACACCCAGTTAAAGATCACATTTATATTGTACAATTTTTATGTTCTTAACCCTTTCAGTGCTATGCAACGATATATCGTTATTCGTTGTGCATCTTTTCCCCGAAAAGTGCTATGGAACAATATATCGTTGTTTGCGTTTCGTCCAAAAAGCGCTAAGCGACGATATATCGTGCTGGCGCGACTTTCGACCGTGTGAGTTTAATCCGTTGAGTGCTGTCGCGTCTCGCTCCGAGACGCACCATTGTCGTAGCTTGATTTTCTGAGTGTCTCGTAGCGAGACGGTTGAGATTGCGCGAGAAATGCCGGTGTCTCGGAGCGAGAGACTCAGAAAGTCACTTCATACAGAATCACATTTCAATAAAGCTGGCTGCAAATCACACCAAACGGGACAGGCAACAGGAGGTTGACAACAACTATTTTGCTCTTTTACTGTACAATAGAGCTGAGGAATGTGGTCAACCAATCAAAAACCTTTATGCAATAGAAGAGGGCTTTACACAGCTGGTCCATGTGCTGTTTAGTAAATGTTTGTTTACAAGTTTTGGTTATAGAATTGAAGGTTATGGTCATGAATTGTTAAAAAATACATTTAAAACCTTTAAAAAACTATAACACTACAACTTATTTGTTTGTTTTGGTGTTAGTTTGTGTCTAATCACATTTTAAAGTGTATCGGTAACTGGACTGTGTAACTTAGGCCTAAGTTATAGGTGCATGATTTTATTTTTACCGTTTGTTTATTTTGCGCATGGCTTTAATAGTATTCAAATAGTAAATTGAATTATAAACATAATAATAACAACAAAAAATACAGTCAAATGTAAAATTATATAGTAGTTTTGTCTGTAACAACACGTCTTTAGTCGCATGATTTAGGTTGTTTGCTGGGTAGGGCCTAGAATTTTTCGAGACCTCTTTGTAGTAAATGTTACATATTTTTTGGACATTATAATATATAGCCTACATTTGTTATACCGGTACATGATTTCTCTTTAGTTTTTAATGCTCTTTAAAATGAATATAAAATTGAATGTGAATGAATAGTTTTAAATTATGTTATTTTAACTCAAACTTTGAAAATGGGAATACAATTTTTCTGTCTTGTCCATGAAAATATTTTATTTTAACTCATGAAACCTCAACTAAAATTAGTATTTTACAATGCACGAACTAATAATCTACAAAACAAAACAAATTTTGGCCAAAAATGTCAATAAACCTAAGTATTTTATGACGATTTCCCCATACACCTACATTTATGTGGAGAAATGGCTGGCATTCCTAGAAAGCAACACCACATGTAGGCCTGGCAAACCTCAAATACAATTGTTTCCCCCGCTCGAGGCACTCAAAGGGTTAAATGGGCATATCGGTTGAAAATCGCGCATTAACTCCTGGACGGATTGGGCTGAAATTTGGCATGATGATAGCTCGGATTCCCGATTAACATCTTACTAATATCAGAAATGTGAAAGTTTGTGTGTTTGTTTCTTTGAAGTTCAATCACACATTAACTACTGGACGGTTTGGGCTGAAATTTGGCATGATGATAGCTCACATTCCCGATTAACATATAGGCATATTCTTATCCCAAAAATCCTACTGGTCTCCGCCCCAGTGGCTCTGTAGTTCCCCATGTTAACCTTATGAGTATTCATATTTAAAGGGAATTAAATAATTTAGTCAGCTGTTTCAACTAAAAAATTTGGTTCTATGATATGAAAATAGACAATAGACAATAGACAATAGACAAATAATCTTTATTTACACATTCATTAAGAATAGTAGTAGCGTCAGCGAAAAGCATTAAGAAGTTATAAGATTTATCAATAGGGTGCAGCACTACTATTTTTTGGCATTTATAAAACAGCTAATTTGAACTAAGCAGCAACAAAAAACTGATACGCAATGAGAACTGTCAAAGTAGGATTGTTTACAGTTATGTTTATGTTTTTGATTTCCTAAAAATTAGTGATATTTTGCAAATTTTTGATAATTTATTTTTCTCTATTTAGGTGAATTTCTAGAACAATATGGCTATGGTAGATGTGTAATACGAGTAGTATACTGTAAATTTAAAGAAAATTTTATCAAACTGTGTTCTCCCCTTTTGCAAACGCAAAGCTTTAGTAAGTGCACTAAGCATTTTTTACTTATATACCAGCCCTGTACGAAGGACGGGTACTCTGCTAGTTTAATCATAATACAATTTAAATATTGATTTGGATAGTTCAATCTAAACGTCATTTTCAATAAAGGACACAACACATTCTAAAGCGCTGAATATTCCACTAATCTTATCTTCTAGATTTTCTTCACTCACGTAAACAGACTGTCTTCACGAAAAAATAACTTGAGGATGACTCAGCGGCCGGTTTTGTAAACAACAGATGTTATGAGATCAAGGATGCCAACCCATTAATCAGAAATGTACCACTAAAAAAAAGTTATCACAACAATAGGCCTATTGATTAATAGGTAACAGTTGACTGTATAGAAACAACTTTAAAATACATAAACAACGTTAACATGTTTGGACGTTTTATTCATTCATTTATTTATACCGGATAAGTTGAGTTGTGGGCTTAGAGTTGAAGTTTCAACAGCTGTTCCCGCTTAGACTATAACAATAACCCAAACTTACTCCAACCAACTAACAAAATTATTTAAGTTAGCTAGTGCTGCTGGTCTTCCAAATGATCAAGTGTTTCCGTGCTCCGAACAGCAAGGACAACTGATATGAAATTTACCTATCTAGCTGCTGCACAAAGGCCTTGGTCAGTATATAGATACTGTCCACCAGACTGATTAAGACAACCTATAAATCATAATAGGCTATTTCTAATCTTTATACCTTTATACCATGTATCCATTGATGACCAATAGTGACTGGATAGATTTTGTCAAAGAAAAAACAAAAAAAAACATTTTATTTTTAATACTTTATGCGGTTAACATGGCTGTAAATTACGAGGTCCATTCACCATTTTCCTCTGTGAAATATTCCTTCATGGAGTACAGGGGCCACGCCTTGAGTAGCTCCTCTACTCTCTTTTTAAAGCTCTTAAGAGGGAGTGACTTTATGTCCTGGTGCAGGTGGTTATAAAGTCTGATGCCAAGGGCCGGATAACAGTCTTTTTGTTTACTAAGCCAGATCATCTCCTTTTCTCATATTATTACGATGTAGCTGAGGTTATCTATATTTTCCTTGATCTGCACCAGACAGTTATAAATGAATTGGCTGTAGATAGTCATTACTCCTAAGGCTCGGAAAAGTGGCCTACAGTGATTGTGTCTTTTGCTGGACGTTATGGCTCTTATGGCAGCCTTTTGAACTATCAGAATGTTCTTGGTCTCTGAAGCGTGTCCCCAGACAATGACACCATAGCTCATCAAGCTGTGGAAGAGGCCATAATAGGCCAGCTTGAAATATGTATCTGTGACCAGATTTTTTTAATTTTCTGAAGAGGAAAACAGTTCTGGAAAGTCTGCTTTCCAACTCATTTATATGTTTGTCCCATGTCAACCTACTATCCAGCCAAAAACCTAGTAGTTTGACAGGTTGTTGTTGCAAAGTTTGGGGTTTTAAACTGCATATAAATTCTTGGGTTTTATCATTGTTTATTTTGAGTTTGTTCGTTGAAAACCAGGCTTTTGCCTCGTCCAGGATTTCAGCTGCTTCGAGTTTTAGTTGGTCCAATTGACTATTGCTCGTGATGAGGGTGGTGTCATCATCAAAGAACAGGGTTCTCCCGTCAGTCCCCAGGTCGTTGATAAAAATCAGGAAGAGAACAGGAATCACATAGCATTGAGATTTTACCACCCTAACAATAAGTTAGTAGGCTAGGTGAACCAATGATAACAGTGCTTTATCATCTCTTACTAAAACCAGGATTGAGACCAATTGCCTCTTGCAATATTGTTGCCAAAATATTTTAATAAAAAAAGAAAACAGAGTTATTTTTTGTTTTAAAATATCTTGATCCTGCTTCATGTTCCAGCTGCGAAGCCAGTGGAGTCAAAGCCCAGTCGCGGCATTGGCCTCTCTGCGTGGGGCATCATCGCAGTGATGGCTGGTGGAGTGTTTTTCTGCACCGCTGCGTACTACGCCGTTCTGTTCTATCCCATACTCTGCAAGAAGGAACGCAAGTACGACATTATGGAGCTCAACTCTGTTTAGTAGGTCTCGATATCTATAATTAGAACTACTTTGTAGTTGGCTTTGTGTTTTTGTGAGAGTTTCACTAACACTACAGATGGTGCGGTTTTAATGTTTGGGGCCTACAGAATTTTCAGCGACTGTAATTAAGCTTGTAAAATAATTGTAGAGTAAGCATTAATGGCATTAATACTTGAAGAATAGAATCAGTAATAGGACAAATTTGGTACGTCCACAATGCACGCTGGTACAAGCAGGAATTCAGATTCAGATTTTCGGCGCCGAGTGTCGTGACTCCGATGAGGTGGCCATAATGCAAGCAAGTTGTAAGCTGTCTCTTTTAAGACCTGTTTAAGGGATATTTAAATATTTTCCTGCAATTCTTGCAGACAACAACAGTTTTTTTTTAAATATTTCAGAATGAGCTATTACACTTCTGATTTAATTCTCATAAAAAATCAAGCACAATCTAACAAAAAATGTGTATATTATCACAAAACCTTGAATAAGCATGTCACCTTGAGGTAAATAAATGCATTTCCGTAAGTTATAATTGTTTATTTTGTAAAAAGGCAATATGACAAAAATTTCATATTGCAACTTATTTCCTTATTCAATTAAATCTAATCAGCATATAAATTAAGGTACAGTCTAACCTTGATATAACGAACCTCGATATAACGAATTCCTTGATATAACAAATTTTTTTTATCCCCTAGAACTCTCCATAAGACGTGTATATTTTACCTCTACACAACGAACAAACCATAACAACGACCTTGATTTAACGATTTTTTTGTGATTTCGGCTAAAATAAGACACCTCAATATAACAAATTTATCATTGTCGGAACCTCTACATTGCGAATTTAACCTCTGCATAACGAATTGTCTACGTCTTTCCCTCGATATAACAAATCCCCCACCCAATTATTGTTTTGGGAAAATCTGTTTCTTTATCAAATGAAATGGAAAGGTCACGTCATCGCTTGCGCTAACATTCGTCTGCTCCGTTTTACATCTTTGTCTGCTGTCGCTGCGCGCGCTATGTTGCAACTGAGAACTGAACTGATTTCATTCACTGAGGACTGATGACGACGTAATGTTTAGTAAGCTGTGATTGGGTGATATGGGATAACTATGGGGAATTGTACAATTTTTTGATAAAGAGAAAACTAAGAAAGAATATAAAAACAAAACCAAAGAGAAAGAATAGCAACATCGTTATTTTAACATTCCTTTTACGAGTATTTTTATTATCTCTAAGTTGGCTATGATTATACCTTTTATAATGACTTATCTAATAATTTATTGTTTTCAATACGATTTGTTTCAACTAGCAACACCAATGCTATAGTTAATGATTATTATTGACATTCCTCTGTTGTGATAAATCAGTACTGTACTAGCCTACCGGCCTATCACGGAGCAGTCAGTAGCTTACAAAACTTTCTACTGTTTTGTTTTGTTCTTTACATGGTTTATGACTACGCAATACAGTGTTTGGCTAGGTTTTAGGAGGGTTAGAACAAGCTGTGTTTTTAAACTTACAGTTTTTAGCCTGTACCAAGGTCAATGCCATTGTCATGATTGCGCAATATTCAAGATCCCTCCCCTTTATTTTGCCGGATAATTTAGGTTCTACTGTACAATGTAAACACTGTACTATAAATTATTGTAGCGTAGCCTATGCTACTTTAATTGTATTTTAATGATGTCAAATCCCGACCTATATTGACCGACGCTGGTTCTGAACCTCGACTTAGCGAAATTCCTGCAAACCTAACCTCTATATAACGAACCTCGTTTTAACCAAATCCTTGTTATAACGAATATTCAGTTCGGTCCCTTCAGATTCGTTATACTGAGGTTGGACTGAATGTTGCTATAACATTTAAAATTAATGCACTTTTTGATGCGCTTGTCCCAATTTATTGGAATAAGTTGAACTTTTGATAGCGTTTCGTCGATATCCATCGTTAATTTAATGAAAAACACTTAAACATTCAACACATAAGCAAAAATCAACAGTCCGATTAGCAGGTTGTCTGAAACCAGAGTGTATGATTCATTCCAGTAAAAATCTAAAACGAACTGCCTGCGCGCAGGAAATTGGCGCGAAGTTGTACTATGGCCGCTTACGTTTACTAGCATGGGGCAATATGTTCGCCGAGTCTGACTTAATCGACGCCGACAGTCTGACTGAGAAAACCAGCGTGCATTGTGGACGTACCCTATAGTCCTAAAAAAAAACAGGCACAAAAAATTGGTTTCATTGCCAACTTGATGTGTAATGAAATGACCAATTTCTTGCCCCGTTTGACATCATAATTATTAATAAAACTATTGATTGGTTAAGTTAACCTGAAATAAACAAAATAGGCACAGTAAAAGAAACAAATAATCACACCTGATTTTAATTAGGTAATAAATTGAAAGAATAACAAACAAATAAGTACAGCTTTCATGGGTACTTTTGGCTTTATATATAGATAACACAATTTTTCCTTAGCTCCCTAAAAAAAGAAATTTCTGGAATTGCCTTGTTAATTTAAAGAAGTAAGGCTATTTTAGAATATTTAGAAAGATGAGGTTGCTCTATCTTAATCAGTCCACAATAACAACGACTGCAATACATATTTCCCCAATATTGCATTAGGCCTACATACAGCCCAAACTATCAGTGTTTAAAAATACCCCCCGCCGCAGCAAACCTGCAGACTAAGCGAATTTCCATTTGCCTGATTGGATTTACACTAAAATGTCTCCTTAAGAATATCACATTTATTCCCTATTTAAATCAAATCAGTTTAACACATACTTAGGTTTGCTGCAACAGGGAGGGTTAAATTGTTTTTTTATGTAAAATGTTAATAGTAAGAAATAAAAACATTTTCCAAATTTGGGCAAAATATTTTAATAAATAAGCAAACTACAACAGTTTACTCATCCTCCATAAGAATAACATAGGAATTTTAAATTTACAATTTTTTTGAATTTTCTCCGTAACCATTAGGCGCATTATAACGCTTCAATATACTAAATTATTTGTTTTTTTAAGCTCTACAAAATGGTTAGGAAAGAAATTGCAAAAATTTAAGTTTTTTGGGTCAAAAATGGGAAAACCCATTTTTACCCCATAAAAGCCCCCATAAACCCCCGTTCCCATGGTCCGATCATGCTGGTTCGCGAACTCGTTCGAATAAACGTAGGTTTACACGTTTGTACCAAATTTCATTAAAATCGGATCATTTTTGCTTGAGTTATCGCGCTAACGGACACATATATAAATATATATATATGAATTTGAACGGATGCTATTTTTGGCCTCTAGGGACCTCAAAACAAACAAAAAAATCGGTCCCGGGTCCAGGTCTTACCATGAGTACTACGGTAATAGCTTATTCCCTATATGGGAAATTCGCTAAAAAGATTATGTTTTTAATTAATCATCAGTGAGAGTAACCTAACCCCTCAAATTAGCTGAGTTTTCAATTATAAAAGCTACGGTACATAGAAGTTATTATACATACTTGTCTCTAGCTTTAAAATACCCCATAATAGGCTACAGAAAACTTTCAGAAAATATTTTGAGTTCAACATAAAGATGTGTGTGTGTATAGGCTGTATAGAAATATATATAGCCTATGTATATAATTTGTATGATTAGTCTATCTTGTTCAGTTCATTATTTTAATAATTTACATTCTTGATCAAACTAGACTTACATAACCGTTAATTACAAAACTTGACACTAATGATTAGTGCTAAAATTGGTTGTAGACATTTTACTACAAACTTTGAACACCAAAGTTACCGACAGGAAATATTTGCCCAATCTGGTAAAGCAAGAATATTATTTTTTTTATTATTTACCAGTCATGATTAAGTTTTATTTTACTTTTATATTTTTCCTGCTTACATTTTGCCATAGCACTTAAATTATTAACCTATGTGTAAAAAATTATTTGTTTAGTTTGGCTTAGTATCCAAGATTTTTTTTTGTGTTTTAACAAGTAAAATATTATATTCAAAGAAAAAAATTCAAATTGAATATTCTTTCCAATAGGCCAAACTGTTAAAAACTAGACAAGCCCGTAATAGCACAATATTATGTGCGGGCAAGCTGCATTTTTTTCATACGCTGGAAGTTTTAGTCTGTCAGATTTTCCTTGTGTTTATGGTGTTTTGTGTGTGTTAAAATAAGCAAATACGTCCTGACCTTTTTCAATTTTTTATGCTCAATTTCGTCTATCTAATCTCGTTTTATTTTGATTTTTCATATCCATTGTCAGGTATTGCCATAGACTCTTGAAGATTTATTCTTTTATTGATATCAATTTCAGATAATTAGTGGTATAGAGAACCAAACACCTCCCTATCTTCAACACTGTCATATTACTGCATGTCCTGTTGCTGACTGTGTCACTGGTGGCGATGAGATTAAATGGTTGATAGTATTAACATTTGTTTCAGACACAACCAAAACATGAGAATGGATTGTTGTCCGACTGCTCCTCCTGCCATAGACAATGTAGACAATGTCCCCGCTTTAAGCACACCTGTCTAAATTCTCTCTACACTCTTAGTCCATCTTTGTCTGACAGCCTCTAGTCAGCTTCGTGCGGCCAGTCTTCAGTCTCATTAACATAAACCGGGTGCTGGTAAGTGGGATATTCATTGTAAACTATTTTAATGTGGAATCTTAGTGAGTAGGTTGTGATTTAGTTGTTATATCGTTAGGCCCTATTGCATTTATGTTTTGATACATTTGTGCAATTGCTAAAGCCAGAAAAGTTTGGTTTTGTGGAAACTTTTTTGACATTTTTCCAACAGCTTCCATGACAAAATAACAAATCAATAAGCTAATCTTTCTAACTGTGATAAGTATTTTCATGAACAACTTGTTAAATTGTGCAACACTGAACAAAGTTTTTGTGATAAAATCAGATTGCAAAATCACTTAGTTCCTAATTATTGTTGATAATTTGTGACGGAATTAGTCTACACCGATTAGAACTTTCAAAGACTGCATTTTGTGTTGAAGTGTTTAAGGGCTTGGCCGAGTTATATAAATCTTAAAATAGTTTTTCTATCCTACTTTACTTTAGTATGTTATCCGAGTTTAGATTCTATTATCTATTTAATGCTATCACTGCATTTATCCTATTGTAATAATATGAATAATATGTAATAATATGTAAGGAGGTTTGAGATCAACATTTTTTGATTCCAAGTGTGCATTTTCACTATGTTTTATACAAATATGGGCCTATGATTGATTTCTTGTAAGATTTTCAGATATTACACTAGTGAGAGGGATTTTAATATAATATTTTGCAGCATGATTTTGCAACCTTTTTTACAACTGGACAAAAGATGTTTTTAAGTATGATCATACTAGGGGTGTTGAATGAAGTTTATTGTTATGATGTAAATATTTGGAGCTTATTTTACAAGCAAGTAAACTGAATATGTTCAAATACTCATTTTCTGCTTAATGATAATATGTAGTTAGTAGGCCAACATGTATAAACTGTTTGGTGATGGAAGCAAAAATTCTCTTTTGTCCAATTAATTATAAAAAAATATATCAAATGATAATATCCATCCCCTTTTCTGGGAACCTTTATTTGGATTTGTGTTTTTGTGTATTCTAGGCCTAATGACAGCCTTGGTAATAAGTTTTGATTGGTTGGTTTGTTACAAATAATAACAAACTATATTTACACCTAAAAATTCTTCTCTTAAGACTTTTTTTCTCGTACATTTGCTTCATGCGCCATTGTACAATGAAATAGTACGAAACAAAAACTAAACTTGACCATTCCATTTTTGCTACACATTGTGATAAAAAGTGCCTTTTATGATGGATTTGGTATCTTTAAAGTACATGAATTTGAAGCCAGAATAAGTACACTTAGGGGTTATTTAATTTTATTAAGGGGTAGTGGGGTCATACGCATCTTCCAAAGACTCTTCTTTGGCTGTTTTCAAAATTGTACCGTACTGTAGTGCAACTATTTTAAAACTTGTAAATTCTATAATGTTACTTTAACAGGCTCAAGAGTATATAATTATGCTTGCCTATTTTTAATATCTAGCCTCTATTATGAAAATTGTGTAACTAACTAAAAAATGCAACTCTCCATTTTATACCTTGGCATACATATTTACAATTAACAAAAAAAAACATTATAGTAGGCTACGTAAAATTGACTTTATTTTAGCATTATGACCTACTAACAATGACAAAAGTTTTTGAATAGTGCCTGGAGTCATTTTGTCTAGACTTATCAAGATGATTTAATTGACATGTTAGTTTTTTAAGATCTCCTTTCAATGTTTCATATTATATTTTGTTGGTTTTAGATAAGCTTACCTAGATTCTTAGGTAATATATGAACTACAGTGAAACATTTAGTTAGACTGAAGTAGTAGAATTTTTAGCTAAAAATAATCCCGCTCTGTTCTACACTAGATACTTTAAATACTTGTATCTGAAATGGCGGCCATACAAAAGTAGGTATTTTAAGCCAAGTATGAAGGGTAATCTTTCCCTCATATTATACAGATTGAAATATGCAATTGGTCTCAGTCTCAATTTAATAGTTATCTCAAGGTTGTCTTGATGACTGAGTTTAATTTTACTAATTGTTTGAAAGTCCTTTTGAGGTTTTATTATATTTTTTATACATTATTAGATTTTATTATGTTTTACAGCATTTTGTATAAGAGATAAATTAAAATGAGTATTTTTAGAAATGTATACAATACAATCAATGCTCAAAGTGTGCCTTAATGTCTTCCAGCTGTGAAAGTTCCCTCTTAAACATAAATTGATCAATAATATTTTCAGTATTATCATAGATAAAACATACTCCCTTAGTAGATTTCTCATCCTTATGGAACAGCTGAAGACAATTTTATTGTTAGTTCATGTACGGTTTATGTAGAGGTCGTGTTTTGTTTACAATTTGTTTCCCGTTATTACAGCCATTTAAAACCTCGTTTAACCAAATAATACGATCTAATCATAAACAATAACTTGTCCCCTAGTTATATAACCAAACAGTAAAGCACAAATCAAGAAATTAACCCTAAAATAATGGAAACAAAGTTTCATCGACACTAGCGCCTTTGTGTCACGTACATGAACTAGACACGAAAAACGTGCTTCAAAATTTACAATGGGATGAGAAGTCTACTTGTGTTGGTTAGTCTATGGTATTATTGTTATTCCTTATCTACAATGATGCATTTTTCATGTTTGTTGTACCTGATTTTTTGTTGTTATAGATTTAGTTAGGAAACTAAAAAGATTATATTAAATGTAGTAGGATGAAGTGTTATTAGTTAAAATTAATAAGATAAAATAAAATAAAATATAATGATCACATCACATAGGCCTATACATTCCTGAAATGTAATCGTAATGAATACCGTATTCGTATTCTAATTCTAAGTTACATTTTACATTAAGTTTGACATTTTTAGTGGGCCTATTTCACTTTTTATGTTTGGGAGAGAGCTTTCTATCGTCAATAATTTATTGAGAATGTTAAAAATTTACAAATTAGATTTACATCATATTTTGAAGTTGTGTATTCAATTTTTACTACATAAGTTTATCATCAAACTAGCAATCTATGACATTTTCTTGCATTATTATCAAGTTAGAAACTTTTGTAGATGCCAAAAAGTGTTATAAAATGGTTTTATTCAGATAACAAGTTATTATCAGTATTTAGAAGACTGTATTTTAACTTCAACAATGTGTTCATCCTTTTTTGTACTTTTGTCAAGATCTATTGACTTGAGAAGTTAGTTGTTCTGTGTATAAAGTAGAAAGTTTTGTAAAATATTTTATAAGTAATGAACTATTAATAAAATTGTATTTATGAAGAAATATGCATTTTTATTGACCTTTCTCTTGTATTTCAAATATGTCTGGGACTGCCTGTGAGTTAATAAATGACCACCAATGATGATCATTACCTTGACTTAATCTCAGCAGAATTTTAAAATTCAAGGCTGCCGTTGTAAAAGAAAAATAACAAAATCCTGGATGTGTAAAGTCTATATGAACAGTTTAGTTGTTTAATTTTAAATAATTTATAAATAAAAATACTTTTTAAAAATGCCACGTTTTTAAACACACTAAAAAGTATGAAATAATTTATTCAATTTTGAGGGAATAAATACTTAAGATTTAAAACGAATAACGTGGGGTGCATGCTGATTTACAATTAACTTCACCTATTGAACTATTATGATCTATTGCATGCGCCCCACGTTTTTCGTTTTAAATCTTACAAGTATTTATTCTCTCAAAATTGAATAAATTATTTCATACTTTTTAGTGTGTTTAAAAACGTGGCATTTTTAAAAAGTATTTTTATTTATAAATTATTATTTAGTTTTTAGTCTTTAATGTGTAAATATGTTAAATCTATTTTATATAGCCTCTTAATACATAACTAAAACCCAAAACCTTATTATCTGTAATCAGATGTTTTATCTTTACTTTGAAATGATTGTTTTATATTTTTAGAATATCTCGGGAGCAGAACATGTATCTCTTAACCTCTGCTCTTCTAACTGTCAAATTTAAGTATTTACAGCTGACTTAAATTAATTTATATGTTTACATTCTTTTAAAATGTAAACATGGAAAATTTGGAAGCCAAAGGGGCGTAGCCCAAGGGAAATATGAAAATTAAATTATGTAATATTGCATTGTCATCCATTTGTGAGCTATGTTTCAAGTTTCAAGTCTCTAGCTCATCTTCGTTAGGGAACTTTATTATTAACGGCTCGACATCGGCTACTCAACTTGTACCCTATGGGGTACCGCAAGGCTCAGTGCTGGGTCCCCTGCTGTTCATTTTACACATCAATGACCTTAGTGTTGAGGGGGGAGTGCTAATGTTCGCAGATGACACCACTCTTCTCAGTAGGGGGCGAAACCCTGGTGAACTGATCGCCAACCAGGAACTGGCTTTCGACCAAGCCAAGACATGGTTCCAATGTAATAAGCTACAACTGAACGAGTCAAAAACCCAGTTACTACTCTGCAGTCTCAGCGAAATAGAATTTCATAATGCTGCTGATCCCGTAAAACTGTTGGGTTTCACTCTGGACCGTAAGCTATCCTGGGATAAACACATTGATGTGATCACCAAGAGATTGTCCAGAGTCTTGTTCCTGCTGCGGAAGCTTCAGAGCCTACTTGACCGCAAATACCTAACAGTGGTCTATCATGCCCTGTTCCATTCTCATATCAGCTATGGACTGCTTCTTTGGGGGCACGCTTCGGAGTGCTACAGACTGCTTTTGCTGCAGAAGGCAGCGGTGAGAATTATCACCTCTAGTGATTATCTAGATCACTGCCGGCCCCTGTTTCGGAGTTTGGACATACTCACCGTACCGTCTAACTACATCCTGGTTTCGCTGGTTTATGTTAAGCGACATGAGGCCTCCTTCACCACCAGAAGCGAAATACATGACCACTACGTAAGAAGCAGATCTAATCTGGACATCCCGAGGCGTAGGCTAGTTAAGACCTCAAAGCACTTCCCGGACTTAGCGTTGAAGATGTTTAATAAGCTTCCAACTAGGGTTAGACTGCTTGAGAAAAACCGCTTTGAACGTGTCTTGGTGCGGTGGCTAAAGGACATGGCTTTTTACTCAATTGACGAGTTTTTTGCCGATTCACTCTCCTCCCTGCTCGCCATTTGTACTCTGTAAATATTAATGATAGTTAAATGTTTTCATATTCAATTTTATGTATGAAGTGAAGTTTTAATTTTTTATTGACATGAACAATCCAGTCTTCTCTGGTAAAAGTTCACGACAGAAGGTAAAAGGTAACTTCGTTTAAAATTGATATCAAAATTTGTAGGAAAGCGAGCTAATAAAAACAAGCCCATGGGGCGTAGTCCAAGGGAAATATGAAAATTAAATGATATAATATTGCATTGTCTTCCATTTATGAGCTATGTTTCAAATTTCAAGTCTCTAGCTCATCGGGAAGTATCAAAATTTGCAAGAAAGCGATTTATTAAAAACAAGCCCATGGGGCGTAGCCCAAAGGAAATATGAAAATTAAATGATATAATATTGCATTGTCTTCCATTTGTGAGCTATGTTTCAAGTCTCTAGCTCGTCGGGAAGTTAGTATATAATTGATTTCAAAATTTGTACCGGACAAGGAAGCGAGCTAATAAAAACATTTTAAAATAGCTCTATAAGTGTATTAAGAGCGCAAAGTTTGTCATTGCTTCTCGAAGCTTTTGCCGAGTGTGGCCAAACATTTTGAGAGCGGCAATGACTGTTAGTGCTCATAATACACACAAGATTTTTCCTATCACCATAACCAACCTATCAATACACAAAAAATATTAACTTTTTAGTTGTATATATGTTACACTCAATCTCCGAATTCGGACAATGTCCGAAATTTCTACCCACTCCGCGATGTGGATAGTGTGTAATACCCACGTCGCGGAGTGAGCATTTTATTCGGACATTGGCCGAAGTAAAATGCCCAGACCGCGTTGTGGGTAAATTGATTTACTCAAATGCCGAAGTCATTACGTGCTTCGGCGATTGAGCAAATCTTAAATACCCACAACGCGATGTGTGCAAGAGGGATTGCCCACGTCGGGTTGTGGGTATTTCTAGTTTGTGCAAACGCCGAATTTACGTTTAGACATGGCGCCCCCATCATTTGCACTATCTGCGATTAGGATGGACGGATCTGCACCTGCATTGTGTTTTCATTACCGTTTAGGTTGTCCTGTAGTGATACGCACGTGATCAAGTTAATATACGTTCAGTGATTACCTCTTTAGATATTGTTTTGGCCTGTCGAACGAGCCAATAAAGACGACAGAGGCCAATGTGGACGGGCAAAAAAGAGGTTAAAAGAGGTCGACAACCTCTTTAAAAAAACAAGGTTTTATTAGATGTGTTTGTAAGAAGAACTTTTTGAGTAAATCATGTCAATGTATTACCGTAAGTAAAACGTAAAATGCAATTCTAAATTTCATGGCAGCACCATCTTGTGCCAATAACTAAAAGAAAGATTTAACAAGAACTGTGTGATAATCGGCGTTTTAAGGCTACTCCAAATTTTGTAAAGTGGAAAAACATAATTTCAATGTATGTGTAATGGACCTTTTTATATTTGTTCCTATTCGGTATTTTGCTGTTTTCTGGTATTTTATAAAATGCTATTTATACATTAAATAATTATAAACACAAACATAAATTTTATTTATTTTACCTAGTGATTGTGGATTTCATGTAGATTTATGGGTATATGGTGGTTGATAGAAAACTAGTCGGCGTTTGCGCAAACTAGAAATACCCACTACCCGACGTGGGCAATCACTTTTGCTCACATCGCGTTGTGGGTATTTTGAATTTGCTCAATCGCCGAAGAAGGTTTTACTTCGGCGTTTGAGTAAATGAGTTTACCCACAACGCGGTCTGGGCATTTCGTTTCGGCCAATGTCCGAAATAAAATGCTCACTCCGCGACGAGGGTATTTAACACTATCCACATCGCGGAGTGGGTAGAAATTTCGGACATTGTCCGAATTCGGAGATTGAGTGTAACATATAAAATGTAATTTAGGTTATGTTATTTGCTAAGTGTTCTATAACCCTCCAAGTGTCCATAGTTTAGGCCTTAATGTCCACCTATTTTTGGCGCATTTGCAAGGTTTTATTAAAACGGATCTAAGAAGCTTAAAACAATGTTAATTCTAATGTTCTATATACCATTTTGTTTGGAAAATCATGGGCTTCAATATCATACATAAAACATAAGGAATATTTGTTTCAAAAAAAGTTTTAGGTAAAAAAAAATTATTTTTGAAAAATTGAAAAAAAAATAAGTTTGCGCTCAATAAAATTGTGTAAATTATAGGCCTATATTAGTAAGATAAATATTTGAAAATAGCCACTTTGTTCTAAATTTAATGAGGATTACAAATATATAATCATATAGTGAGGTAAGTTATCAAATAAATAAGTTATGAGTGAAAAGGATTTCAGTACATAGCGTTTAGCTAAGAATGCATAGCCTAACCATAGCTAGGAATCTGGCTGATAATTTACATCAATATCACTACCTACTTCTTCAGGATCATCAACCAGCCCTTCAAAATCACTTAAATCTTCTTATAATGCACCACGTATATCACTACTTTTGATTTTTAACACTAAAACAATGATAAACGTAATAAAACACATCAGTCATCGGTCCGAGGATAACCAAGCTGTTTACGAATACGCACGTCAGCTGTCTGCTACAATTACGATCGGCTCGGAGAACATACAGCGCTGAGACAGACCTCTGGAGAAAGCTTAGAATATAACGGAAAGAACGAAACCTAACTCGATCCAGTTCAATCCGATTCAGTCAAGTCATAGAGCCTTCGCCGTAAACGATGTTCGTGCGTCGAAAAATCGACGCGCGACGCTACACAAAGTGTGTAGCGCTTCGATTTTTCGACGATGGACCCTCGGAGGGATAAACCTCAACAGTAAAATCAGCTGATTTAGCGAACGGACTAGTCACTTAATCAAAAGTGTTAGAATTATTTTAAAATCAATCAAAGTAGTTATAGAAAGATGAAGTTTCTTAGTAGATTTGATGTTATGCATTTAATAAAAGTTGTATTTGGATTTTTACTACGCTATTTTTTTTTTAGAGAATTTAAATTCTGGATCCAACCATTAAATTTTAACTACAAATTTATTATAATTCCGGCTTATTCAGACAGGGTCCATCTTATTGGAGTAGCGAGAATCTACTGTAAAAAGATCAAAATCGATGACAAACCAAGGAGGAAAGGTTTGCTGTAAGAGTAGGTTTAGGCAGCATCTTGATCTACTACTTCACAAGCTTGCTGTGAAAATATATCTCCCACTATTATCACAGAACACAAATACTATAGCAATAAATGGAATTAAAAAATATTGCAGTCTTAAAAAAACATATTTTTATTTTAATTTTGTGTTATTTTACAAAAAGAGAACACAGATAAGAAAATACATGCCTTCATGGAAGATTTCATGCCAATTTTGAGGAGCATAAGTTAAACATTATAATACAAACTTACAATAATCAAGTGATGATTTTAAAACTTCCAGAACATAATATAAACGAAGACACATGATTTTACTCTTTACAAATGATAACAGTGATAGTTAAAGCTAAACATTAGACTACTACTGTGAACAAGTTGTCATCGACATAAAAGAAGTACCTAACCAGCACAATCCTGCTGTGCCGTACACACACACTCACACCTTTGGTTTATATACACAGATCAGTCTTATTGAGCTGTTACAAGATAACACTTATAGTTCATCTTTGGGAAGATCTTCTAACTCAACATCGGATAGATCGATATCTTCATCTGCAGGTAATTCTCCATCTTTACCATCCCAAGGTTCAATACTTTCTATTTTCGGCAAAGCGGCACCTTTGACTGGTGCAGTGTTGCCGCGTCCAAAAGATAGATCTCTGGAAAATAATGATTTATTTTTATTTTTATGATTTATTGGATAGCAATAAATAGTGTCAACGAATTATATTTTGTAGGAAAAAATTAAACAAAATCCTTAGAAAATATTGATTACTATGCTTCTCTCCATAGTAATACAGATCAATACATAAATTGGTTTCGTTTTGTTGTTCTGTGATGAGCCCAGTGCCAGTATACATTGGTTGCCAGTTATTGATGCTCAGTTCTTGAAATTGAAAAAAATTCACTTTACATCATTGTTTACCTACATTACAGTATTGTTTTTATACTTGTAACACTAGTATCGGACCAATGAGGTTCAAGGATTGGGAGAAAAGAAGTAAAATTGTAATGCTTCATCAATCTATCAACTGTTAAGACCAATTTAATTTTTAATGAATGGTTGCATCTTTATCAATAGCAATGAGATTTTATAAACGAACAAAACAACCTCTTTTAGAAGTTATGAGTTTACACTATCTTTGTGTTAACTACTGTTGTAACATTAGAAAAATATATCAAATTTTGTCATGCTTTGGGTCAAGGACTTTTTAGTGGCCGATGTGTAAAGAACTAATTTAGGCCTACATGAAGACATACGCCTCAGTTTTGTCTTAGAATAGGAATTTTCGAAGTGATGTAGACTCCTTTACCTGAGGAACTCGTTGATGCCATCGTTGGAGAAAGATCCTCTCAGAATGGAGTACTTCATTTTCTTGACATTGAGGACAGCCATTGCCGGGTAACCAAAGCCTCCCATCTCTAGAGCGTTCTCCAGTTCAGGCTGAGCTCCGGCTTCAGACCAAATCCATCTGTGGATAATCATACACTGTGAGTAGCATGTTTATGTTATCTAACTTTTAAAGGCCTAAAGTTTATTTTTTAGGTAAACCCGCTAAGAGTGTTTACCATTTATTTTAAAGAAGTTTAGTTACCTTACCTAGGGCAATTAGAGTGTAGGGATTTAAAACTGTAATATATTAAGCAACGTCGTCTGTCCAAAGATTTCTTTAGGTCCTAGGGTACTTTTGTGAAACTATAAGGCCATAGACTTAAGTCTTGATTAAGGACTTTTTATAGTCGGTAATTCTTGTCATACATTGTCAAAAGCACTGTGTAAATAAACAATCAAATTGAATATACAGTTTGTTAATTTGTAGGTAGATTATTTGGAAATTGAAATTGATGTGCTTCAACTAAGAGCAAGTTTCTTCCACCTTAAATAAGTTACAGTTTGGTTAAATTTGTTGGCCAGTTCAAATATTGATTCCAAACAATCAGTATAGGCCTAATTCTAAATAATCAATATAGGCCTAATTCTAAATAATATGTGATTACTGTGTAAATTTGTTTTTAAATTGTTGGTAAATCATTGACGTTAAACACTGCAAATATACATTTTCCACTTTTTCAAAATATAAAAACTGGTTTGATGTTTGGTAAGTAAAAATGTTTTCTTTTTTCTTTATTTGAGAATCAATAATTATTCGGTGTCTGCTTTGCTCTTTGGTTATTATGTCTCAAGAATTTAGACTAATTGAGGCACACTTTTCATTCAGGTTTGCATTATGAGAGGGTATAATGTTTCAGCAAACTCTAAAAGTGATCACATAGCAGATTTAGTGTTTAGACAAAAGACTACTCACCCCCACATCTTCTTCTTGTACTTGTCGCCCATGGACTTGAGTGTATCCAGGTATCCGTTCCTACAGTCGGCCTGACAGTCCAGGATATGAGGCAGCACAGACACCACACACAGTGGCTTTTCCTCGCACGCCTCCTTCAGCACCTTCTCACTGACAACCTAAACAACACCGGACAAGGCTTTAATTTCTTATCCAAAGCATGAAGGAACATTGTCTCCTAGCAAAATTGTAATAATGTGGAATTCCTGTATACCCCCCCCCCCCCATCTTTCGTTTGATTGGTCCATTGGTTGTAGTGAGGATAAGTGGCTACAATTACAATGCAGTGTTTAATGTCTGAAGCACTCTCCCCTCAGTGAGTCCTTGAGTTAGAGGATGATAGTAGTAGGTAGGTTACATCTAGCAAAGACAACTAGCAACTAGCTGGAAATGTATAGTTTTAAACACACTAAAAAGTAGAAAATAATTGATAAATATGTGGAGAGGATAGTTGTAAGGTTTCAAACGAAAAACGTGTGGCGCATGCAATAGCTAATTTACAATTTTCTTCACCTACTGAATGACATATTAGCTATTTTTAATCTCTATTATGAAATATAGATGTAAATCATACAAACAGGATGTACTTTGTGAATTTGTTTGTTTCCTATCAACAGCTACCCCCTCTTTATTATTATCTATTGCATGCGTCCCACGTTAAGTATATTCTCTATACATATTTATAAATTATTATCTACTTTTTAGTGGGTTTAAAAACGTTACAAACTTATTTTAAAAAGGTTTAGAATCTTTAGAAACTATTGTCGTCCCCTGTGGTCTTGTAGACATCATAGTCTTCCGCGATCGTAGGAAAATTCTTATAATCTTCCGCAATCGAGTAGACATCACCATCGTCTCCTGCGATCCTAGCAAAATTATTGACATCTCTCACGATTATGTGCACATTATGATCGTCTCCTACTGTCGCGGCAAAATCCTGATTATCTCCCACGGCCATGTAGACATCATCGACTCCTGAGGTCACAGAAACGTCATTGTCGTCATCAACATCATCTTTCACGATCATGGTAAAATTCATTGACATTTTTTGGCCGTGTTGACATTATCATCGTATTCCGCTGCTAAATTCTGTTCATCTCCTACGGACGTATAGACATCATCGACACCCACGGTCACCGAAACGTGATCGTCGTCTTGTGCAATTGTGGCAAATGCATTAAAATTGTTCAGCTTAGTAGAAATTGTCATTGTCTTCCAAAATCAAAAACTTCTCCCGCGGCTGTCAAAACAGCATCATTGTCACCCACGGTCACGGAAATGTCATCGTTGTCTTGCGCGACAAAATCATGAATATTTTATTAGATTTTACATGGTCTATAAAATTCCCACCTGTGACAACAAAATAAAGACTAAATCCCGACTTTTCAAGAAACTTTACCCATTTTGATACAATCTTAACAGCAAGATCAAAATATTTTATGCAGTTTCCATTTAACCAATTTTTTAGACAAATTCAGAATCCTATCACGAAGATTCATCAAATTACATAAAAAACCAACCATTAAACTCATTAAAACCTGGACAGTATGGTGTTGAAAGGGAATTTACGGTGAAACAATAAAATGTAATCAATTTATTAGGCAAAGCATATTATTAAAGACTACAAAATACCAAATTTCACATACCTGTTTGACTTCTGGCGCAGGAACATTTTCTGCCAGTTTCTCCAACGCCCAGTTGACAATATCTGAGGAGGTTCTACCGCCGTTGTAGTCTTCCACTGAACTAGAGTCCTTTTTGCCAGGTGGGAAGAACTTGATGGTGGGGTAACCTTGCACTCCATATTGGCTAGCCTTGACTGAGTGCACAGTGGCATCCAGTGCTCCGAGTTTCACCTTAAATACATGATTAAAATTTATACTTAAATCTGAGACTGACATCATATTATCAAAAAAGTAGGGATGGACGAGATTGGATTTTTAGTTCGAGACGAGACGAGACGAGATTTTTTATTTCTAATAAAATTTCGAGACGAGATCGAGACGGGATTTCCCTTCTCATACACAACGGGAAATGCACGTTCAAAATTTTTACCTGATTTTGTAACATTATTGTTAGATGACTGTTTAAATACAAAAATAATGATAATAGGCAAGTATATTTACAATCTTTTATTAAAAAACATCAGCATAACATTTTTTTTTTAATCACGCCTAACTTATTAAAAATGCCTACGATTAGGAAACAGTGATATCAGTTAGGATAGAGTTCAACTTATCCTAAAATAAAATAAATCATAAAATAAAAGCAATATTAATTTTTATAAAATAGTTACTTGTTTTGACATTTTATAGTAATAAAACATTCCTCACACTGCTTACACTTAACAAAACTTCTCAAATGTTATTAAAGTAATATTATTAAAATAATTAAAGTAATATATACTTTTAAAGAATTAATTAAATAAGAACGCCTTCACAAAGGAAACGCAACTACAACACGCTCCTGTATTGCGGGTATTGCATTGACTTTCTGCAGGCGTTTTAATTTTTTTTTTTTTTTTATTCTCGTCTCGATAAAAATCTTGTCCAAAAAGAAATCTCGTCTCGTGTAACGAGATTTAAAATTTCCCGAAATTTCGAGACTTGACCATCCCTAGAATTCACTACCTACTCAAAAAAATGATAACAAACTAATTTCACCATGACCATTGGGCCTAAAGACGCCTCTCTTCCAAACTTTAACCTTGGTTGGAAATACTGTCAGTGACCAGTGAAATAGTTTTATTCTTGTTTGTAGTGTTCAGCTTTGCTTTTCTAGCGCTATAAAGGACTCCTACTTTAAACAAAAATTAAAGATTGGTGGCAAATCCTTGCATTTGCTTGTCCACATGGGTGTGTAACGTATCCATCCAGCAAAGCAAGGGGTGAGCCAGTACAGTACAAGGCTGAACTGTACTGATTTAAAGTAGTGGTTGGTACCCACAACATCGCTACTTTGGGACTGAAGTCCATGGCGCAACTGACTGAACCACTGACTCACCTTACTTGTTCAGGTAAGCCTGCAAACCTAACAATTTAAGCCCTTGAGCTCTATTTTGTATCCTTGTTTCCTTAATCTAGTAACCTTTACTTTGATACCATACAATCATTATGGATTGACGGACCACCATTCAACAAAATTTATCCTGCACATGAATACTGTACTCAAATTTCCAAAACAATTAAATACAGGTAGCAATGTTGCCCACCTTGCAAACTTACCTTTCCCTTGAGTTCGGTAGCAGCCTGCGCCCAGTGGGGAGCAAGGTTCTTGCAATGGCCGCACCACGGCGCGAAAAACTCCACCAACCACATCTCATCTGAGTTGAGCACTAAACGATCAAAGTTGCTGTCTGTCAGCTCAACAACGTCTTTTGGGTCACCCTGTAAGAGATTGAGTTTGCGATTAAATCGAAGATAATTGTTTTCAATAGCTAGGTAGCTGGGTGGTTAATAGTGCTCGCCTGGTAATCAAAAGGCCGGTTTGATCTTAAGAAAAGTGAGCAACTTTTTGATGGTTCAAAACTGGACTCAGTCGTCCTTGTTTTTTGGGCTTTTAAGTTTTAATAATTGGTACTGGCTAATGAAACAGATGGTCTTTGTAAGTAAAAAAGCTATAAATTGCATCTCACTCCATTCTACACTCATATTAGGGTAATAGGGTAAACCTAGTTGGTGTCCCTATCTCAATTGATCTTGATAATCTAGTTCGGCCAATTCATTATGTGATAATGATTTGACATCATAGTCAGAAAACTAATTCAGTAATAAAAATACCAAAATAAGCAATTCATCAAATAGGATACTTCTTGTCTGACTATATAATGTGGAGTTATGAATTAACTAGGCCTATTACATATCACATGACTTAAAAACATTGTTTTCAAAATGTTATGAATATTTTTAATCCAGCAAAATATTTAAGGTGTTATTTTTGTCTATTGGCACTTTATATTTGCTAAAAGGAAATTTATTTAGTTATCTGCCTATTCGTACATTACGGATCGACGGCTCGACCTAGCAACAGCCAGTAGGCTACAGTAGGCCTACAGTAGGGAAGTCTACTACTCGACCTAGCAAGAGCCAGTAGAGACGTCCACTACTCGACCATGCTTGTTAAACAAGTAAACATTGCGGCTGCTCGTAGTTGTCTCGATATTAAGACCTTTATATTTGTTATTTTTTAATGACTGGCTCGGTTAACCCGGAGGCATTAACAATTTTAACAACAGATTGCAGCACTTTTATTTTTTCCCCTGTTGCAAAGCGAAAGCATGGGTACAGCAACTATACCGAATAACACCCTTAGTTTGACTTCAGTAGTCCCATATGTTAGCTTCCATGATTAGACTATATAATATGATATAAATTTGATTTAATTCAGAACGTCTAACTATTTTAAATAGGCTATGTTAAAATATATGAATTTTACATCCTAACTACCAGCAGAATGTGTTCATTAAATACATTTAAAAACAAACTGCTTAGTAAATTTAATAATTCCTTTTCTTAGTTAATAATAATGTAGAGGGTTAAAAGGTACTTTTTGGCTGAGACCTTTTAAGTGATTGTTTAAAAATATTTTTTAAAGACAATTTTAATGGGCTAGAATATAATTTTAAAATATTTAAAATTACCTTGGTTGAAGAGCCTCCACTGCTAGATTTGCCACCAAGCTGAGCAAACACTTTACTCTTGGCAGCGGAGAGTGCAGAGTCAACCAGACCTTGAGCAGTTCTCGCACCACTGTAGTCCTCGGGTTTGTTTTTGTTGGCTCCAAATATTTTAACTGTTGGGAATCCCCTGACACCGAACCTCCCTCCTAGAGACTTGTGATCGTCAGCGTTCACAGCTCCGACTTTCACGACACCCTAGGAATAGACCATTAGACATTCAACTTTTGCAGATATTTGGCAATGTATATTAGGTAGATCAGTTCTTTTATTTAGCCTAGATAAATCCAATGTTCAAAATTGGAAATCTAAATCAATACTGTATGGGCCTATAGCTTTAAAATTATATGAAAAGCACTCTAGAGGTCATTGGTACCAACTCCAAAGAAATGAATTTAGCCTTGGAGTGGGCAATTTTTAATTGTGTTGATATCTAAGATTATGGTTACTACTACCATAGACAAAAAGAATTATAGACTGTCAGCCGTGCTGCGGTTACCATAGGTTCCAGCGCACACCGCTGTAGTTTACGTAGCGCGTACGCCGTAACTACATGGCGCTCCAAGCGGTGTGCGCCAGAACCTATGGTAACCGCAGCACAGCTGACGGTCTATATTTAATTCTTTTTGTCTATGCTAGGCTACTACTACTGGCTTTAACACTTTCGCGAACGTCAGCGGTGCCACGGGGCCAGGAGCTAAGCACGTTCTAGAAAGTCAGCGTTTATTGTTGTTTAACGTTTCCATGGATCAGCCAGCTCGTCACGAGCGTCCTATATTTCTTTGCAGCTCGTGGGGACATACTTTTCTGACAATAAAAAATATAGTTTCCGAAAATCACCACAAGGGTCGTTTAGAACAGGGCTTTGTCCCACCTCTTTCCAGCTAGATAGCGACACTACTTTACCGGCTGCAACCTGGGTAGTGCTGCTATCTATCAGAATCGCTTAGTACTATGTCCAAAGCCAGATTTTTGCACAACATTGCTATCCAGTACAACTACTGTTGTTTTTACTGTAATTCAGTGTAGCAGTAATGTTACGCAGCGGCGAGCGCTATTTCAGCTCCTGGCGCCGTCCCAGCATCTAGCGGTCAGCAGCGAGCGTGTTAAGAGAAACTACCTACCAGTACCTAAAAAGTCAAACAAAGTTTTAGAAAAAAATCAAACATATTTGAGTGGAATCAAAAGTCAGTCCCCTCTAGTTCCTGTTATTAGTTTTTGTTATGTCTTCACTAAAAATGTAGATATGTATTTAAATGCAAATATTAAAACTGTTTATTTCCTACCTTAAGTGCTTTTGCAGCTTTGGAGTATTCACCCACAAACTGCTGACAATGTCCACACCAAGGGGCGTAAAACTCCACAACCCAAACATGATCACTTTGGGTGACAAGTTTATCAAAGTTCGATTCAGTCAAATCCACCACTTCAGATTTTGAGTCGTACAAAGCATAGGTATCGGGTAACAGCAACACAACACCTGAAACAGCAAACACCATCACATTCCAAATTAGCCAGTGCCTCATTAGCCACTCAATAAACAAACACAATCGGTAACTAAATTCGAGCCTGTTTCTTTTGTTTTTTTTTATGAGTAGGCCTATCAAAGTTACATGATTTATTCCATTGTTCCAATGTTTATTTTATAATACTTAGTAAGTTTAGTAATTGGAATTGAAATTTATTTTGTAACAAGAGAGTCTAACGTCTTTTAGGTTTACTGTTCTGTGCAAGACGATGATGACATCTACAGAGCCGCGAAGGATGATCAGAATTATGCCACGATCGCACAAGACAATAATAATGTCCACACGACTGCAGGAAAAGATAAGAATTTTGCCTCATTGGCGGAAGACGACGATGATCTCCACACGACCGTAGGAGATGATAACCATTTTGCCGTAATAGCAGGAGAGGATTAGGCCTACTATGTCCACACGACCACAGGAGACGATGTCTTCACGGCCGTGAGGGATGATCAGAATTTTACCACAATCGAGCAAGACGATGAGGTAATTCTGAGCAATTTCTTGGTCAACCCTAAACTTTTTCACATTTTACTACGGTAATAAGGATGTTCTCAAAAAACAAGAAACATTAATTCAAGCCCCGCAAGGCCATAGTACAGGTTGCCGAGCGATAATGTAAGAAGGTTCAAAGTTCACGTGATAACAGTGGCTTGCGGGAGACCCGCGGAAGGCCAGTGGTGACGGTACCGTTATGTTAGGTTAATTCATTAACAGTCTAACCTAACCTAACCTAACCTTGCTTGAATTATATGTTTCTCGTTTTCTGGGAACATCCTTATGACCGTAGTAAAATATGAAAAAGTTTGGGGTTGACCTAGTAATTGCTCAGAATTACCGACGATGATAATGTCCACACGGCCGTGGGAAAAGATCCGAATTTGGTATTTGTTTACTTAAAGGGGCTTGTACTTAACGAATTTTGAAAAAAATGTTTTTTCTCATTATTTTTGGTCTATTTTAAACACTTTTTAAATTTGGCACTTATGGGGCAAACGCCCATTTCACCCTGACAATTGCAAAAAGTGCTACAAATCGGGGTTTTTATATTTTATTTTTTTTATATTTTAATGTGTTTTTATTATCACTTAGGACCTAACTTACCAAACTAAATATAATCCAATTTTATCTAATCTAATCCAAACTAACCTTGGTTTAACCAAAAATCCGCCATTTTCGGCATATTGCTAACCTAAGCATGGGTTAGGTTAGATTACTTAGATTAGATAAAGAGATCTATTGCACTGTAAGTTTAATGATCAATAAAGAATCAGAATCATAGGCTAATGTAAGTTACTTAAGTAATTGCCATTTCTGGTAGCCTACGGTAAGAGACGGAATCACCATAAAAACATTTAAGTAACTTGGAAAGTTTAAGTTAGCCTATTCAAGAATCGATAGGTAGGTTATTAAGTTCAACTGCATTCCGATTGGTAGGCCTAATAGAAAGAAACAGAAAATGGTAACATCCTGTAACTTAGCAGAAATTTGATTTCCTTCCCAATCCGTCTGCAGGCAATAAATAATATCCGATTGGGTCTGGGTGACTAGTGCTACTAGAGCTTAGGTGTAGACTTTTCTGTTTAGCCTATAATAAAAGATGATAAAAATGGAAATAGGCCTAAGCTAATTTCCAAAAATTAAAATAACTTAAGTTAGATTTATCCTGGAAAAACTAAATCGCATTTTAAAATAAATGCTAACTTATGTAGTTGTTCTTACCTAATAGTAGACTCGTAATCATGTTTTGATATTCTATAGAGACCTAGGACCTAGGACGAACAGCGTAAACCTAGTCTAGATAAAGCCGGTACACGCTAAATTTAAATTCACTTGGGCAAAAAACTAAATAATCAATACAAAGCGTCCACTAGCTTGCTATGATAAAAACTAAATAGCAGCTAAGTAACTATTCAAAACAAAGTGAAATAATGTTCATTCACATATAAGTTAAAAAAGCCTTTACAATCTTTTGTGTACCAATAACCCACGTAAATTTCGTCTGACGATGATGTTCGTGTTCATTTGACAACCATATTTGTCGTGGTTATTTGTGATTGGCTGTTAGTTGGCTTTAAATTTTTTTGCTCAAGATTTTCCTAGGCATAGACCTGTTATGGAGATACTATTAAGCTATAGAGTTTTCAATGATTATAGGAAAATAATATTCTATTAGAGAGGGCTGTTCGAACCCTGACTGGCATTGAGACAACAGATAGTTGCAGTTGCAGACCAGAATTTAGGAGGTTAAAAATCCTGACCGTAGTCAACCTCTTCATACTACGGACTCTTACCTTTGTCGACTCTTCCCGGACCTGTCGTCACCAGGAGGTGCACTCATACAACACAAGACGAAGAAATGATTACCGTACAACCTTCCTGCTCACAACACAAGGCTCTATGAAGAGAAACCCTCTTACATGCGTGCCAAGTTTTTAACGTCCTTCCCGTCCACTTGAAGTCTCTTCAACCCAGAAAACTGAAGAAAGAACTAAAGTGCTGGCTGTTACATAGACCATTTTATGGTCTAGATGAGTATTTGTCTTGGCAAGAACTTGTATAAATCATGTCTTCACTGCAAGAACTCTGATCAGATATTTTTTATTCTTAAAAAATAACAATTTGTATTGACTTTTATATAACAACTGCACAACTGTATTGACGCCCTTTCAATCTTAAAGATTGCTAATAAAGTATTCTTGTATCTAATTGACAGCGCATGTTTTATCTATGACAGCGCTAATAGCAGTTTTTTCGTCTAATTTTGCTTATTTTGCATGGTAAAAGTACTATGCCTAGATGAAGTTGAATCAGATAGGGCAAACTATGGTTAGTTAAATAAGTTTCTTCTATTCTATGTCCATTGAGTATAATTATCCCCAACGTATGATTGTTTGTCCTTTATGGACTCCGAAACCTTTCGACAGATTGTAATGAAACTTCAGGCATTATTCAAGTTTTGTGTGAAGTTTGGTGCAGAGATCCATCGAAAGGGCTCCGCCCCAGTGGCTCTGGAGTTTACCATGTATTATGAGTACTCATATTTAAATGGAATTAAAGAATCTTAACAACTGGTTCAACTAAACAATTTGATTCTGTGATGTTCAATGTTCAATAGCATTAAAAAGTTAATAGGTTTACCAACAGGGTGCAGCACTATTATTTTTTTTAATTTATGACAACCGCTAATTTTCAACCAAAAGGTGAGTAAGCGTAGCAAACAAACTTCAACCAGGACAAGATTGAGCCATCTTGAAAATGAACGAGCATTGACATAAAACCACATTAGGACAGGACGACGCCTGTCGGGCCAGCTAGTAGAATATAAATATTCCCATTTTCCATGCTTATAATAAGACTGTAACTTTCTGTATTATTACGAGTGATCAGATTCTGACCGCCCGTAAGACTCCAGGGGATCAGAATCTTCCCTACAAATAAATCCATTTTGAAAGGCCAAGAGAAGAGAATTAAGATTCCGACCACAAACACTTAAGTAGCACAATATGAATTGAAGTCACATAAATGAGTCGATGGAATCCCCCCCCCTCCCCCGCCATGTATAGGCTTCATAGAATTACATTGGTAGAACTAATAAAATGTTTGTTCGATTTATTTATTACAGCGAACATCTCCATTTGATGGCAAAGAAGCGATGTTAGGAGTTTGGTATGTTTACTTTTTTCTTCCTAAATCTTTTATAGTTGATTTAGTTAGAGAAAATATAGAGTTCGGAGGGATAGACAGAGAGAATTAGAAGTGAAATGATCAGAGGGGGCGCTGAAGGCAGCTTAAGAAAGAAGGTAGAAAAATAACAAGACTAAGGTTCTTTCGACATGCAAGAAGAAAAGATTCCTAGGATAATGGAGTAGATGGTGTTAGGTGAAAAAAGAGGAAAGGAATTATGATACGTTATGTGAAGAGGGATGTGGTATGTGAGATGACAGATGTGATGGAAAAAGAGGAATTGTCGAGTTAAAGGAGAAGATTGAGTTGCTGATCGGAAATGGTAAAGGATTATGTTAAGCATGTAGTACATGTGAATAAATAAAGGCAAAATTAGTATAAATATATAATATTACAAAATATACAATACATTTAATATTTACAAGCTACAAAAAGGGTGTAGCAAAAACATTTATATCACAGGTGTAAAGACCTCTTGTCAAAAACCTAATACAACTAAATATCACCAAGTTACAAAAAGGCATTCGTTAGATCTGTTTAATATCACAGTGGTTTCTAGCTTATGTTTAATTAAAAATGAATGACATTTTAATATTTAGCTTAGTTTTAAATTCCCAGAGTAGGCTAATATTGTCTAAAAATCTTTAAATCAATCAAACTTAAAGGTTTACAGTACACAGTTCTTAGACAGTATTGGCTAGCACTAAAAAGTGACATAATTATTGTTTATGAAGCTCTGCTCTTTGTTGGTCTGTTTACCACATGACAAGTAAGCTAGACGTTACTATATAGTTACAATCAATACCTATGTTTGAAAGCTTATTCAATAAAAAAACATACATGGGGAAAACCCTTCACTGTTCACTTAACTTACAAGCTACACAATTTTTTTTGTTCAACTTGAGTATCAAGGAATACTAATTAAATAAAACTAAAAAATCCTATTACTATTTACAAACAAATAAATAAAATTTGTACATAAAACAGCTACAAAAACTATTTATGTTGTAGTCAAGCCAAATGATGGCACTCTATTTAATAATAATGGTATATAATAAAAGGACGAGTAAACTGAAGCGACGTTGACGTCTACAGGTAGCTGAGCTACCAGGGCTTGGACCCACAGCATGCCAGAAGTATATGCTCCCAGCGAGCAGGAACTTCAAGAGAAGTGGCGCAAGTCGCCACAGTCAACAAGACTTGGACTTGGACTTGGAATATATCATAGGTGATTATCTTTAGTCTCATGATGTCATGTAAAACAGTGATTGAAAAAAACCCAAAAATACAATTTTGAGTAGCATACTTAACTAATGCTTTCACCACCATTCAAATAGTTCATACAATTCCATTCAAATAAAATAATACTATTACTAATGTTCACATAAACAGTTAAGTGAGAAAAGCTACGAGTGCTACAAATGATGAATAAACGACGATATAACAAATAAAATAATATGTCAAATCAAAAGAATAAATAAAACAGGTATGTAAAATATCTATTCATAGAACAATTGTCAATACTAATTCTGATTGCGTAGGCAATCAATGAATAAGGCAAATAGATTGGAATAAATTAACACATTTGATGTTCTTATAGAATAGGTATGAAATTTATAAAAATTATGTTTGGATGAAAATCAACATACAGTAGACTCCCTCTTATCTGGACACCTTTTAACCGGACATCGGTTTAACCGGACTACACTCAGCGGAAATGACATCTCTTTAACCGGACAATTTTTATCAGCACATTGGTTTAACCGGACTATATCGGCAGGATGTGGGCAGTACTGAAACGACTGTTCTCGTGGGAAAGATTTGAGACCAGTGATCACATGTCTAAATACAATGCTCTCCTAAATTTAAGTCGAATATCACAGTAAACAGTCCGTTTTAACGAGTTTTTGGGGACGTCGGTTTAACTGGAAAACCCGTTATCCCGGACTGGCCTCGGTCCCAAGGAGTCCGGATAAGAGGGAGTCTACTGTACAGTATTAAAACTAATTTGATAATTCCACTAGTTCTGTTACAGCATGAAACAAATGTATACAATGTTGTTGTGTACATAAAACCTCGGTAACAAAACTCATAGAACAAGAACCTTGGTAAGAAGCAGTTTAGTAAAATACCCACAAACTTACTTTTTAATTGATCCTGAGATAACAGATATCTCTAAAAAAATAAACCTTCATGGAAAATTTAAATCGATTATACTCTTCAAAATCTTGCCATTGAGGTTCCTTTGTACCAGTCATAATATTATCAACAATAATATGTTACAGTACAAACTGTATCTTCACAGTTTTAAATAATAATAATAGGTTAAATACCTTGTATACGTCCTCAATCCAAGTCGTCTTTTAGAAATGACTATAGTTTCGGGGCCAACAGCCCCATTGTCAAATTTTCTGTCTTGTTAATTACTGTTTATAGCATTGGTCACCTTTGAAGTACACATATACACTTACACTGACACACGATACATTTATATTTACACGTAACATTGAAAAATTATACTTTTTGGCCGGCCTAAACAAAAGTGATTACATCATTGTGCGGACCGGTACACTGACTGACTGAGTCAGTGTACCGGTCCGCACAATGATGTAATCACTTTTGTTTAGGCCGGCCAAAAAGTATAATTTTTCAATGTTACGTGTAAATATAAATGTTTCGTGTGTCAGTGTATGTGTATATGTGTACTTCAACGGTGACCAATGCTATAAACAGTAATTAACAAGACAGAAAATTTGACAATGGGGCAGTTGGCCCCGAAACTATAGTCATTATAAAAGACGACTTGGATTGAGGACGTATACAAGGTATTTAACCTATTATTATTATTATTATTCAATCCAGGAGGCAAACATGGATAAACAGTTTTAAACTTATCTGCATGTTCTAACAAGACCACTGCAGTTACAGAAGTTTCCATCAATAAGTCTAGTTAAAAAAATTTTGTTGCTTATAATAGTTGTTGTAATTTTTAAAATATCGATATACTATTTTCTGTTGAAATACTAAATAATAGTTATTTGTGCAACTAGTGAGAAAAGTGAGCAATTGACTCACTCGAGAGAAATCCTTACTCACGAGCCGTAGGCGAGTGAGGAATGGTTTCTCGAGTGAGGCAATTGTACTTTGAACTCGAGTTGCACATTATAGTTTTCCTACAGTTATCATAAACATAAAACAAATAAATTGGTGAAGAAACATAACCTATTTTTACACAGAAGTGAACTTTTAATATAAAATTTAACGTGAAGTGACAAATACAACAGTACAACAGCTGACCAGCTGATTTACAGCCAGTGCTGCCAACGTATTTCGCGCGCATACGACGTTGCCTGCATGTTACGCGCTCACTATTTCGTGCCTTCACGTTGAAAATCTGGAGTGAGACAAAGTAATTAGAGTCACTGATGAGCGAATTGGCCACTTTTCTTTCTCAAATCAGTGAGAGAACATGTACATTGTTACGTAACTGTAGGAAAAATATCAAATATTAGCCAAAATAAACAGTACTGAAATGGTAACAGCTGATTCAGTTTCACTACTGTTTATTTAGGCTAATACTGTATATTCATTTGTGAGTAAAGAAAGTGTACAAGGATCAAATATGGTTGGGGAACACCGACATCATCTATACGAAGGATCTTGTTCTTTTAACTTTTTAAGTGTTTTGAAGGTTTAAATTTTTAAAACATATATTTTTAATGCAAATGGAACCCTTTGTAGGCAAAATAACTTTGAACTCTTGCACTAAATCAACAAGGCCATTGAGCTTCTTAGTGAATCATATTTCTAGAACTCTATCACTTACTGTTACGGAAAGAGTGAACCAGTGCAAAGCATGATTAGAAAAATACTACACATTGTAACAGAGCGAAACCAAACAACTGCTTACATTTGTGTGTAAGAAATTATTCCTTTGACTCACAGCAACTTTTTCAAATTTGTAGATTTACCACCAAAAATGTCCTCACTGCCACGGTACATCAAGCAGCTCCCATTGTTGGCTCGGATTGCCGTTGCACGTGTTGAGGACCAGCCCAAGGTCTAGCGATCCATCAGATGGCGTGTCTAGACAAAGACCTGTTGAGACGTGCTTCAACGCATCCGCCTGTCAACGTACAGAAACATGATGTATGTATATAAATCCAACATCAAACGCATCAAATTGATTTATGTTCTCTTGTTCAAAACGTCTATTTAAAAGCTTTTGAACACTTGTTGAATGTTTGTGAAAACCTAACGATAATAAAATTTAATGTTTGACTTGCGGTGAGATAAATCATCCAATGGATAGGAGGAAAAAAAATAATACTTATTTGATAGGATAGATACAAGTTCAAACTTGATGGTGCCAGAAACTACTTTTACAATTTTTAAATGATTTGTTTGTACAGATAGAATTTATTGAAATTAGAGGAGGCCTGTAACTTATTATCATTTTAAATTAAAATTATATTCCAAAGGCGCCCCAAGCAATTTTTTTGGATCAGCCTCCATAAGCAAAAAATAAGTTGCTAAAAGTTTTATGAGCTATAGTTAATATAGCTATAGCTATAGCTATTAGCTATGTCTCTTCAGGCCCTCTAAATGGTTTTATGGATTAACCATACAAGTCATAAAATGACATTTATGAGCTATTTATTATGCATAGCTCTTTGAAACATGATAGCCCCTAAATTGCCATGTTTGAAGGCTGGTTACTATTTCACAGAAGAAAGCCGAACCTTGTCAGTTTTTCTAGGGACACCTTGTATCCAGATCAAATTACTCAAGAACAAAAACATGTTATAAAATAACATCCAAGGTGATAATAATAAACATTGATTTCTAATTCTAACATAGATTTAAAGACAACTACAGACAACCAACCTTTAAATCCCTGAGCCAATGCTGCCTGGGGTAGCCGCTACAAGCTATAACCTTGACTCTGGGCGTCCGCTCCTTATCATCCTTATCAGGCACGTCCAGACACACACTCTCGTCTGTCATGACAGCTGCCCCACTGCCCTCCCCACTCACCCTGTCCATCACAAACATCTGAGAGAGGGCGGGGGGGTCGTGACATGCTACAAGACAAGCTGGACCCATCGGTTGGTTCAGACTCCCCTTACCCACTGGCTTCTCTAAGCATTTCCCCAACATTTTGTGTTTTATCTGAGAATAAAACAAAATTGTGTTTTTATTGACTGGTATTTGGAGGAAAAACACTTGGCTTAGGAATACATTAAGGAAGAAGGAATGGGTAAACGTCTAACTTACCTAAAATTAGAGCTACCTCTTTTTTAGGTAAGTATCCATTCCTTTTTCCTTTAATGTTCTAAATGTCTCTATTTCAATTTTTTTACTTGTATTTATTTTGACTGTGTGATGATGTTAAATATAACTTTAACCACCCTGTCAACTTTCACTCTGACCTGTCCACCCTTCAGATACTCATCTACTATACTCTGTTCACAAAATGTAGGCAGTTTGAGGGTAAGAAGTCTATCCCCTCCACTTGATCCTACCTTTAAAAAAACAGCTCAGCAGCTGAGGTTTGTCAAAACGCCAATCAGCTGCTTCATATACATTAAGCACTTAAGCACATTAAGAATTTGAGGGAACTTCCACTCAAACCGCCTAAATTTTGTGAATTGACTGTATCAAGATCTATCACAGACAGGCAAGTCTTAATGAGTTGCCTACCAGACCAAAGCCATGGATCCAAAGCCTCTATCTACAATATGGTCTCCTGTTTGGGAAGACATCACACTCCATTCGACACTCATCCTTCACTCATATTTGGGTTAAAATACGCACCTAGGTGGTATCCCCATCTCAATGATTGATAATTGATAAATTGCCTTGGACTGCTTGCACATTAGCTTTCGGTAAAATATATTTTGAATTATGCTTGAGTGGAGTTTGTAGAACAGATCACTCACTTTTCCGAAAAATCGCTCGTTGGTCGGCATAAAATGCTGAGGCCATATGTTGTCCAGGTACCACTTGAAGCTCTTGCATCCTAACCTCTGTCTCAAAGCGAACCTCGACCTTACAGCCTGTTTGTGTCGTACTCTTTCAGCATCTAATGGAAGGAAAATAACAGACAAATAAACATCAAAATATCACAAAGGAAAATTTAAAAAACTAAATTAATATGCAAACAAAAAATAATCACCTAATTTCATTTTGAATTCAATCACATTAAATCTTTAGAAATGCATTAACTTCTGGGGCATTAGTACTTCCATTAAGGCTGAGCTTTAGGAATTTAGTTTAGAAACAACAATATGTAAACAAACAAACAATGCCAGGAATGACAAATTTATGAATCTCGATAAGAAAATCTTATGAAATCAGAAATCAGAAACGTTTTCAGAAATCAGAAATCAGAAACGTTTTATTGTCCTTCAACATTTACAACAAATGCAATAGACAAAAGTCAAGAAAATTCAGCTATTACATAAACAGCCTATTTTTAGGCAAAACAAAACAAGCCTAAAAAAACAAGTCGAAATAGGCTATACTAATACATATGCTTACAAATAAAAAATAATGTGGAAATGTGAGGACATTAAAAGTTAACTTCGTCAACCTTAAAATATTCTTCTAAGTCATAAAAAGGATTTAAAAGTAACCAATCCTGAGCTCTTTTTTTAAATGACTTAAGGTCCAATTCTTTGGCATTGATGCTAAGCTTATTAAATAATCTTAATGAAATAACATGGTAACTATTTTTACATTTACTTAACCTACAATAAGGCACGTCTAATAGGAACTGATTACGTGTGTTGTGTGAATGGATATTAAACCTATAAACATGGGAACTAGTATTTTTCTTAACCCTAACATAAATATGTACAGATTAATCACAGTCAATATTCTACTTCTTATGAACAATGGCTTGCAATGCTCTTCAATTGGAGCTTTGTTTATTATTCTAACTACCTTCTTTTGGAGTATTAACACTTCACTTATGCGACTACTGTTTCCCCAAAGAATCAAGCCGTAGCTAATTATGGATTGGAAAAATGCAAAGTAGGCTACCCTTATGTAGATTTCAGGTACAACACCCATAAGATTTCTAAGCAAACAGATTACTCTGGACAATCTTGCACAAACCAAATCTATCTGAGGAGACCAGCTTAAACATTTATCAATTTTTATTCCTAAAACTGTAATTACATTTTCATTGTTTACATCTTGTGACTCTACTGCATGAGCATGAGCAACCATAATATGGGGAAGTACTTTTTAATAATAAGAGGCACCACGCCACCTAAGGCTGCCTGTGGTGAGCTTAGGTAAAAGGAATTACAGTGGTTATTTTCTTTCATAAAAACTAAGAAGACTCAGTGCAATATTTTTAAATACACCAGTAGCAGAACAAACCTGGATTAAACTTGAAGTAGAACTCTTTCCAATCGTCCATCCACACAAGGGCGACTCTAGCCAGGTTACCATACAGCGTGTCAGTAACACCTCCAGGGAAGGTGTACGGTGACGACTTGCGGAACAAATGACCTACATGAGAGCAAGGAGCGATCTCTACACTACCTCCACACTGCCACACCTGCAAAACACTGATGAATTACAAAGGTACTGACTTAAAGTTAAGACTTTTAAGATAAAAATTGGCTTTTGTTAACAGATCCTTAACATTTTAACAACTTACCCTGAAAGACAACTCCAAGTTCTCTCCTCCCCAAACTTCCATTTGCTCGTCATAAGCTCCGATTTCAAAGAAGTAATTCTTGTCTACAGCAAATAGTCCCCCTGCCATAGCTGGTGTGCTGCAAATTAATTCAATATTACATTCTGTAAAATAACTTAAGCAGTAAGAAAAAACACAAGAAAAACATGAGTAGCCGCAAACAGAAATATTAAATATAAAATAGGTTTTGTGATTCAACTTTCTAGATTTCTCCAAGTGTGACTAGCCTTAGAATACGGCTAATGTGAGCATTCAATTCTTTTTCACTACCTGAAGGGCTGTGTGATGTCTTTCCTCCGCTCCTTGAGTTCGTCAGCGCCCAGTGTGTACCAGCGGAAGTGCAGTTCCCAGTTGAAGGCGCCCCAGTGCAGCTCGAAGCTGCGTACATAGGCAAACGTCTCGTCACTGATGATGTCAATCACTGGACACACCACCTTTCTGCGGTCCTGAGCCACTGGCACTACCAAAGCCTCCAGCCAACCTGCACAGACAACATGGATTGACTATCAGGGTGTCTTTACTACACACGATTTTTTATGGAAATGGATTTAGTGTGGCAACTGACATAGCTTTTTAGCTAACATGATCACAAATATGATAGTCCAGCCGCTGAATGTCGTTAGTACGATTACCACCATCCATGAAACTTGCATCTTAAGACTTTTTGCTATGGACGCAAACAATATTCTTTAAAACAGCTTCCTGGTACCTACCCCATCAACAAGGATGGGTAAAATGAAACTTCCATGCAAGCAGAGAACACTATTCAATAACTTTTGCACTGAGGTTGTTAGATTTTACCACTGCAGGTTGAAGAGGGTAGTGACAGGCTCTCTATCGGCTTTTCCTAGCAAATTGTATGAGCTCAGCTGTGCTTAAATTTCTTAGCGTCTGGGATTACGACTTACAAAGAAATTTGTTAATGTTTTATTTTGGACTAATTTAAACATAAACAAAAAAAGTACATTGTACTGCACAATTGTACATTTTTTGTGGCACACTGAAGCAATCTCTGGGCTTGTGAAGAGGATACAATAGCATGGTAGTCAAATTGAAAATAATCCTTTAGTTTCTAAATCATTGGTCATCAGACCAAAACTCAAAGCAGTCCAGTCATTTTCAATTGTTATTTGCTACTCCTTTAAACTAATTAATTGATTAACCCAGTTCACTCACCTGTTGTACACTCGCAGTGAGCATCGAGGAATGTGAGTATTTGCCCGGTAGCATTCCGAGCCCCGAGCAGTCGAGCTCTCACCAACCCTTCACGCTTCTGTGTCCTCAACACTCTCGTCTTCACCCCCAGCTTGGCCACATACTCTTCTAGTGGAGCACCCAGGAACTCTGTAACCAAAAAGTGTTTTTCATTGGAGATATCTTTAGATTCAATCAAATTGAATAACTTGCTTGCTTCATAGTAATTTATTCTGTAAAAAAAAACGGTTTCTGTATGAGTGTTTATTCAGTGTGAATGAAAAACTACTGGGCCAACAAATAACCATTAAAATTAACTCTCATATTATTTCCTCATATGACTAACACTGTAATTGAAATGATTTAAAAATAGCTATCGGTGGACACACACACACACACACACATTAAAAAAATCCCTGGTTTGAAGAGAAACACATCCATCCGGTCAACTTGACAGTTTACCGCACTAAAAGCACTGTTGAATCAAAAGCTAACCAAAAAACAGTTTAGGTAGGTAGTATTTCTAGAATTGCTTCAGATTAAAGCATGCTGGTATGTAGGGTACAGCATTCAGTAATTTCTTGCGTTTGATATACCTGAAGAAGCTGAAACGATTAAACAAAGTGGTCTTACTTCTTGTACTGGCGTCGTCCACCAGTATGATCTCCTCCAGTAGTGTCCAGGGAGATCGGTTGATGACGCTGTGTACAGTGCGTAACAGCGTGGACCACGCCTCATTGTGAAACACTATTATAACACTGGTAGTGGGCAGTCCGGAGATGTCCAAGTACTTGTATCTGCACCTGTGAACATCATGAACAATCAGAAACAGTAAAACATTGATTGGTTAAATACAGAGTTAACTTTGAATTCTGTTCAGTTCTTATTTTATTTTATCAATACCAGGGGCTAAACACTTTTTTAAGGGCAGACAGTCTAAACCCGTAAAATTTTTGCTGATAGGTGGGGAATCTGTTTACACCCCAAAGTCCAAGACACTAACCACCACCTAACACATGAGGATAAGCAAAATGTAGATTTTGAGTGAATAAAAAATGTTAGGGAGGATGAAATGTTACAAAATTATCTTTGTATTTATAAGATAATTTTGTATCTTTTTATAAGAATTTATTAGCATTAGTATCCTTTTGCATAGGACACACTTTATCCAATCCATATCCATCCTTATTCATCACACTGTACAAATAAAAATAAAGTAAGCATTTAATTTTTTTAGCTTCTTTATTTTAAAACAATTCATTACTTTAGACAGCTTGTTGGTTGAAACTTAAAAAAAGCAAAAAATATGTCTATAACATTTTATAGTTAAGGTTCTGTAACAGTTCTTCACCAAAATTGTTTTCTACATCTAGGGGTTATTTTAAAAATTATAAGACCCGGTACTTGGATTTCACAAACAATATACCGGTGTCAGGTGATTAGAATGTAGTGGCCACAATTTTTGATGACACATAGTCTACTCTACTTACTCGATTGTGCCATTGAACCCGGTGGACTCAGCAATTACAACTTGGAGAAACTGAAGCTTTAGTTAGACCGAAAGTTTCACACTTGACCTCTAGTGTGACCTTCTCTTGGGGCACTTCGTCTGTCTCCGAGATCTTTTGGTAAGGCGACTTAATTTGCTATTAGTTCTTAGTACAAAAACCTTTTAGAATACTGTTAATACTGTTCGATGAAATGGCGACCATACATAGTAGGTAGTTTAAGCCAAGTATGAATGGAGATGAGTGGCGCGATCTTGTAGTCTTGTTAGTGACTAAGGCCGACATTCCCGGGTTGAAATATTAACTACTTCTGTATCAAATCGGTGGCTGTCTGATATTCATTTACCATTTTATTATTTTGCAAATTGTCTTTATTTGAGAAATTTATAATTACAGGTTTTGCTCTCAAAGCAAAAAGCCTACAGAAATCATTACTCAGTTAAAATCAGTGTAGTTTAATTGATGAATTTGATTTTCGTACCTTAATGAAAGGAGCTTGTGCATATTAATCGTTTTATTTACATTTATTGGATACAATGATTCAAAAAAGAAACATTTATGTATATTGAAGCATTGTTGTACAATTAAAGGTTACGTGAAAACTAAAAAAACTGTACATTTAAAATGTTCATGTTATTCTTATGGAGAAAAAGAAAACTCTTCTATTATGCTCATGGATAGCCTATATTTTGATCAAATTTGGCAAATTCAATTATTTATACTATTATTATTATTTACCATTACTATCTATACTATTACTAATACACTATTAACGTTTTATCAAAAAACACTTTTTCCTTCCCTGTACACAGCAAACCTGTGTAGGTTACTTGTTAAATCTAATGTTATTTAAGTGGGAACTAAATATGACTTGTTTATGGAAATATTTTAGTCAAAATCCAATCAAACAGATTGAAATTTGCTTAATCTGCAGGTTTGCTGTGGCTGGGGTATTGTTAGTTCAAGATTTTTTTTTATTAAAACTGTTCACCTCTCACACTATTAGGTTTTTGTCGTACACGTCTCTGGTTTCGACCTTGTCACAAAATATGTCTGTGACAGTTCTAAAAGTTTGACAAAGATAGTGTGATTTTAAAATTCCACTAACTAAATTATGAGAGTAACACATCTGAATTAAGGCTGAGAAACTAAAGCCGAAATTTGAAATAATAGAGAAGTAAATTAGAAAACTACAATTGAAACATCATAGGAGTTTGGACATTGAATCAAAACAAATCTAATTTTTTTAGATTGTTGCTGACTAAATAATAATTTAAATTTTATTTCTTGAAAAAACCTAATTCTTTAGATTAAATTGTTTCTTGATCGTATAGCCATGGTCAGTTATTCCTAGAGGGTGTTTTTACATACAAGATCACTGAGAAGTGTGTGGTGTGTGGGAGTAGAGTAAAAGATGAAAAGTATTATTTCTTTTAATATTTTACCTATTTAAGTTTGTTCATTATTTTCAGTTTTTTAGCGAATTTCCCTATAGGGAAATATCTATTACTGTAGGTGGTACGGTAAGACCTTGACCCGGGACCGATTTACTTTTTCATTTTGATGTCCCCAGAGACCAAAAACACTATTCGTTCAAATTTTTATATATGTATATATATGTGTCCGTAAACTTGATAACTTGAGTAATTTTTGTCCGATTTTGATGAAATTTGGTGTAAAGGTGTAAGGCGGGACAAACTTGAATGAGTTCGCGAACCAACATGATCGGACCATGGGAACGGGGTTTAATGGAAGGTTTTATGGGGTAAAAATTGGTTTTTCTCATTTTTGACCCTTAAAACATAAAAATTCCCAATTTCTCTCTAAACCTTTTGAAAGAGCTAAAAAAAAACAACAAATGGTTTTGTATATCAAAGTGTTTTTGTAAGATTATTGGTAACAGAGAAAATTAAAAAAATTGTAAATTTAAAATTCCTATGTTATTCTTATGGAGGATATTGTAAAATGTTGTAGTTTGCTTCATTATGGATATATTTTGATCAAACTTGGCAAATTAATTTTTTTTTACTAAACTATTAATATTTTACTAAAAAACACACTTTATTAGTGTAGCAGCAAACTAAGGTACTCATTAAACCTAAGTTATTTAAATAGATTTAATTGAAAATAGATTCTGGCAAAGGGAAATCGCTTGGACGGCAGGTTTGCTGCGGCAGGGGTATTTGATAGATTAAAATATTAGCCTAATGTTGTGTTTTATTCCAAAAATTCAACGAAAAGAAAATGCCATTTGTACCTAACTTTGCCTATATAAATAATTGTTCATACTTTTTCTTGCGGACGTCTGGCAGTGTCCGGTTAAGCGGTATTCGGTCACTGGCCATTAGGTTGAACCGGTTGATGTGGTAGAGCTGCTGCATGCGGCCGCTGAGGTGTGGAGGGATGATAACCGGTTGTCCGTCCCTCCCCTCCAGTGGCCGGGGGTCGAACATGTTGGTGTTGACCAACTCGTCTGTTAGGTTAGGTGAGAGCTTGGAGCTGCTCGGCTCTCCCATGTAGTGGCCTACCACCACGTGAACGCCTCTACGATCCACATACTCGTGCTGGTTCTTTTGTAATCTGTCAGAGATTAAACATTGAATGATTGAAATGTATATAGGCCTACTAGTAAAGCTACCTGCTTCTCAATGGGATATGGTAACAGGAATAAGTCCCTTACAGTAGCTAGTGAGTTTATTGATTGAGAAATACAACTGCACTCTATCAATTTTGGCACCATGAAAGAAAAAATTTACAAATACTGTAACCTAATTCTAAACCACTAAACAAGTTAAACAAATAATTAACAAACTAATTTTTTTTATATATAATGTACAGTACTGTAGAAAAAATTTAGTTTTGAATAGTAGTAGGTACTAAAGTTACTATTTGTAGGAATAAAAATAAATCAAGTAAAACCTGTATACCTACTATAAGTCATTGTTCCTATTCTAAGACAAGTTTGAAGAACAAACTACACAAATTTATTGTAGGCCTATAGCATAAAATGTCAAGCAAAAAATGTGTTATGTGACTTTCACTCTTAAGTTTCTCTCACTCTTTTAGAAGTAGGAATGTTGTATATTTGTAAAGTACAGAAGTCTGCAGCTCACGCAACAGAAAGAAAAGAAAATATGACAATTAAACACAGGATTCCTCTGAATAAGGCTTATGCAACCAAATTTGTTCTATAATGTGTATATCCTGTACCGAATAACAAATAAATAAAATAGAGTCAAAAAACTTCCATCGTTATGTTCATTACATTAACACAATCATGTAAGTTACAGTTTTAGTATTTAATTTGAGTCCTGCAACCATCCATTATAAGAAAATGATTTATTGTTGCAATCCACCAAGCGTGTAGTTGACTGACCTCTACTCGGCAGTAATTATAATTCACCATATAGACTAGACTTGTTCCGTTATCTACTGCCAAATACGGGCAATGATTTAGAACTAGTCAGGTTTTAGTGCTCTTTACAAAAAACTTCCTGCATTCTATCAAGTAACTTGTTGATTGTGTTTCCAATAATACTAAGCACCAAGACAGATCCAGTGTAAATATACTGTATAGGCCTATTAGTGTGATATCTTGGGAATAAAAAAAATGTACCACCTAAATTTGTTAAGAATATATTTTTTACAAAAGTTTTAAGCTGTGTTTCATAGGCACCCTGCCATGTCAACCACCCTGGTCAAATTAGCCTAATCAGATACATTTATTTATATACCAAAGTATCATCAATAGGCCTAGTTTTAATCTTTATTATTGATTTGTTATTGTTGTTATGTCATTAGTTATTTACTTGCTTATGTCTTTTTCTCTAGGTTAAAGTATCTTATTCTTTGTTTAAAATAAAGTACCGGCTTGTGACGATTTTTTGCTTTTTCAATACTACTTCTAAAGCAATTGAGATTCTGTCTGTTTTTTTATTGGGATTTAGCATACGGTAATAGTTTTATGCCAATTATTTATTTATTTATTTATCTATACACAATTTACAATAGCTACAGGTATAAACCCAAAACAGCTATAATGAAAAATAATACAATATTAATACATAAAGTGAAGATAAAAAAATACAAAAAGTGCACATAAATAGACAATACAAAACCAGTGATGATAATAGTAAAAAAGAGTGAATACAAGTTAATAAAAATGGACAACGTTGTAGAAAATTTAACTTATTTCGGCTGCAAATCTAAAGGGATGGGTTACATTACGTAAGCAAAGCGTTTATAACCCCCAGATGTAATTAGTTTACTTGGAATGCCTCAGTACTTCAGGGATTAAGTTTTGGTGGGAGAGGGCTAAGTAAAATAATCAGTATTTGATCGGAACTATTTTCCCCTATATCGAGTAATCTTCAGTGTAATCTTTGCTCAATAGTACAACCACGAATACTTGAAAATAACCAGTATGGATCATAAACATAAACAAATGACGTTTTTGGTCCGAAAATAAACATTATTTAACATTGCTTAAATGGAATTGCCAACACACTATTGTGCTACCACAGCGGCCGGTCCAAATTGCATCGAATGGGGAGTCAAATTGCTGCGCACATCGACTTCTTCGCTGGTACAATTGCTTCTTTCAGAATACGGGTCGGCGCTGTACTGAGTGTAGTTTTATCTTGGTGGTGCCATTAATGGGCCACAAAAAAAAAAACAAAAAGTTAAAGGAGTGGTTAGTAGGGGAAATGGAGAGTGGAAACTTACTGAATATTTCTTGTTTCTGCCTGGCTTATGTTCCATTTTTATTTCTGTTATTGCCCTGTTATTGTTATTCAACATCTCTTGCTGTTTATTATCTTTTATATTTATATTCACTGTTAGTTCATTATTGTTGTTATTTCATATTTCTTGTTGGTTGTTGATTTACATTTTTATTATCTCTGTTATTCACTGTCTCAAAGTTCCTTTTGTCAATTGTACAATTCTAGTTTTTGTTATCGCTAAGCTGACTAAATTCCTTCGCCCTTATTATTCATTATTATTACCTTTGACGTTTTATTCTTCACACCCATTGTTAAGTTTTCTTCTAATTTTTAAATAGTCTATTCTTGTTATACATTGCGATTGTCTTGTTTCTCGTAGAACGGTTTTGTTTTCAAATTTAAGTTTTTGATCTGCTTATTTATTATTGTTTGCTTATAAGACTGACTTGTCTGTACAGTAGACCCCTCTTAACCGACCTCGTATTAACCGATAATCGGATTATCCGCCTTCGGTTGTAAAATAATACAGTTTGTTTTAACCGACCTTGCTTTGAGAGCAGCTCGGTTTAACCGCCGCTTTCTAGGAATCTCGGCATTTCCGCTTCCACGCTGGGCAATGAGAACTGAACCATATGCTTATCTCCACAGGATATGACTAAGAATAAGTTATTTTGTATTGATCACAAAAAATATAGCATATTGTCAGTTTGTTATCTTTGCGGAAAATTTTTAACATCGTAAAGTGGGTTACGATTTTGAGAACTAACTGATTATCTTATCGCTGGAGTAAACAAACAACGCAACCCAATTGTAGGGAGGGCAGGGAAGGGGGATTAACAACTCCAAGGTCAAGATAGTTTTTGTGCCTTGAGCCTCCAGTGAGAGGCTATAAATAAACATCCTGTCTTGTAACAAAATGGTTGCTTGTATCTTGAATTTTGACAAAAGGTTCTGTACTGTATTACGATGGATTTGGAAAGCATCATAATACATTACAGTACTAAAGTTATTAAAATATGAATTTTTATTGACTCTTGCCTAGTACTATAATATATTCCACTGAAGGTAGGCCTATTTGGCTTAACCGTGTTTTGTGCTTATTTATGTCTTTTCTATCAATACAAAAAAAGAGATAAGAGTACCGGTAGTTTATTTTATAAACAATGCAAGTATGACTTCAAAATAATGATTACATAATTCCAAATGAATAGCACTTCATTATGTTATGATTTTAGGGATTGCCCGTTTTAACCGAATTTTCGAGTTATCCGACCGAGGTCCGGTCCCATTAGGGTCGGTTAAGAGGGGGTTTACTGTACCATAAATGTATTTTGAATTATTGTAAAAATTGTGTTTACAGTTGAAAAAATAAATGAAATGAAAACATGTTAATGCTATTAGTATAGGAATGGTATAGGATTCATAGGATGGTATAGGGTATAGGATGTTGTTGGCCCAAATCCTATACCATTATAGGATAAACATAAACATGATCCATACTGGGTTTTTTTTTCTAGTATTCGTGGTTACAACTGATGTTTAATTTCCCTTTTTACTGTATTTTGTAATTTGCTAGTATACTATGGATGGCTTGTTATAAACACATGTAGTGTTGTAGTGACTTCGTTACTAGACTTCTTTTGTTTACTTTTTCCTTGTTATTTTGTTCAACCAACACAGTTACTTGGCAACCCATAGGGCCAATGTTAATTTTTTTTATTTTCAAATGAGTTGTGTAGTTAAATACAAATTTTCCTGAGGTAGTGGCTGTCACCAATCACGGTTTTTTTAGGGCTATAAGACCCTAATTGGTGAGTCGGTGGCTCAGTCGGTAGCGTCGGTGGCTCAGTCGGTAGCGTCGCGGACTTCGGGCCCAAGGCAGTAGTGTCGTGGGTTCGGATCCTGGTCACTGCCACTAACTTTTATCAGTACAGTTCACCTTTGTACTGTACCGGCTCACCCCTTGCTTTGCTGGATACGTTCCACGCACAGATCTGTAGTCTATGTGGACGGGCAAATGCAAGGTTAAAAGAGGCCGCCAACCTCTTTAAAAAAAAAAAAAAAAAAAAAAAAATTCCAAAACTTAGGCAAAATCCTTCTGCTGTATTTCAAGATATATATTACAGAAAGACAAACAGACATAGCTCGTATTAAAGTATAATTTCATTTTAGAAGCTAGCCTCAGGATTACGTTGAATATATTAAATTGGTGTAAATACCTGCTTCGTGGTAATCCTATTGTTGCTAGTGTCGCAACTAGTTTTGACTTTCTACAAAGTCATCTTCAGGGGAAGGCGTCAAGGATGTCAAAGGGTGGTCACTTCATATGAAGGTCGTCATTACACATAAAGTACATAAAACACGAACACGGACATTAACACGTAAAAACAGCACATTTAACATGATTAAACGAACAACGGTAACTTTAGTGAAGAATGATGTGACACGTACATGACCGGGATGGATGCAAGGTCTAGACCACCCTTTGACATCCTTGACGCCTTCGCCTGAAGATGACTTTGTAGAAAGTCTAAACTAGTTGCGACACTAGCAACAATAGGATTAGGCTACCACGAAGCAGGTATTTACACCAATTTAATTAGAGTATAGCATAGGATATCTATTGTTGTACAATTGATGTTCCTTTGTATCCAGCTATGGGGCTGAAATTAGTAAAATAATAAAATAGATTGAAAGAATAAACAAATAGCCCCATAAATTAAAGCAGTAGGCCTATTAGGCCAGTCAAATTAGAACTTTTCGAAGAATTAATTCCCAGCTAGCTGGAAATCGTTTTAATACCTTCATTTGGTCCCAAATAAGTGTAATCTGAGTTTGCACCGTCCTATGAGGTGAGCTTACATTATGGCAGCCTAAAATAAATTAAATTTAAGCACTTTTTCCAGTTTTTTCCAAGTTGCTTAAAAACAGTGTGTCGGACGCAAACAACGTCCTAATAATATCAAAGAGGATTAAATTCTGCATAAAATGAGTATATAAATATCCAAATTCGGTTAAGTAGTATAGCCAAAATATTAAGTTTTAAATATATAATTTTTTTGTTTCATTGCATTTTACATTTTGCGACTTTCCAGAACCCCATACTATCTTTGAAAGAAACACACCCAATTTCCTTCTTCATACGAAGTAAGAGTGGGGAAAACAGCTGATCAAGTATTCCCAGCAGTTTGCAGTTGTATAGTACAGCAATTTCATTGCTAAGTGGCTGTCATCAGTTACTTTGGAAGTAAAGTTATTATAAGTATTTTAAAAATAATTAAGGGCGTTTACCAATATTTGTATTCGTTCAAGAAAGTGTTATAACTTAGTGATCTGTTATCTTCATGATATTAAGTGTCGTGTTTAACATGTTCGGACATGCAATCCTGAGTATACACTTTTACATGTTGAGGCCTCAACTTCTGTGAAACAACAAGGAATAATGATAATAAAAATCAAGCAATCCTTAGCAAACGTAATTTTTACTAAAATGTTGACTGCAACAATGCTGAAAGAACAATTTCTCTCTAACTACAACAACAAAGGACGGCTTATCTCCATGCTGAGTGAGCAAGTGCTCCAAGGGTTTGAAGTCGGACAAGCTCTTGAGGATGCTGATACCCTCATTGTCAACACTGCCATTCAAATGGCTGAGAACTTTGCGAAAGTCATAATAATTGAATAGGACACAGATCTATTGGTCCTATTAACCGCCAAAGCACCAAATTCCTCAAATCTTTACCTCAGGAAATCTGGAATGTGGACCTCTTAGAACATACTCTGAGGCATTTCAACTTCTATCTCCTGTCAAAGAGAACCTTCTGTTCCTATATGCAATCAGTGGGTGAAATACTATCTGTATTCTATCCCCAAGTGAAGTTGAAGATTATAAAACTCCTTGAGAAGAACACGTTGCTGGGGGCTGTAAAGCTTTTCCACCATACATATGCTCATCCTGAGGGCCTAATTTTAGCAGGTCAACTGTTTGTGACAATCATCTAAAGCCAATAATACCTCACTGGACAAAATTCCTTATGGGATGTTCTCAAAATCCATTTCAAAGTTAACTTTCTATATATAGCTTCCCTACCACTAACAAATACAGTCGCCGCCCAACACTTTCTACGAGTCTAACACTAAATACAGAGCTGGTATGATAGACCAGTGGATCCGCTCAACTGGGGTTGGAGGATGGCGGAACATGGTTTACTCCCAACCATAAACACAAAGAATCCAGCTCCAAATTAAATCCTCAACATAGTGTCATGCGTGTACAGGAAAGTGCAGCTGCCGAAAAGTAGATGGAATGCTCAACAATTTGCCTTAGCTACCATGGTCAGTCATGCTTAAATTCAGCAGTTTGTGTCCCACATACCAAACACCGTAGAAGCAGAAACATGTGAGGACAGTCTCTTTGACAGTCCACTGCAGCTTGAGATAAATCCTAACATGTAGGATGTGCAGCCAAGAGGACAGTTTATGGAACCCGATTTTAAGGTTTATGCAAAATTAAGTCTTTAAAAATGAGTGAAATTTTCAATTGAAATACCTTTTTAACGTGTTATATTATACTATACAACTTTAATTCTATCGATTTTTTCTTATGGTGGTCAGTGGTATGATGGGATGTCGACTTTCCAGGGCTAAATATAGTTTGCAATAAGATGAAAAAGTTATCTATTTCTTAACAAAGATATTGGCTGTGCTACTGTACCAAATTTGAATATTTATGTATTTGTCTGGTGCACTATTTTTTAGCTACAAGCAAAAGATAAAATAAAATTCTGAAATTTAATTTATTTTAGGCTGCGATAGTGGTATGAGTTTAACTCCTAGGATGGTTAAAATTAAACAGATTAAATACTCAGGATTGCATGTCCGAACATGTTAAACACAAAACTTAGATAACAGATCACTACGTTATAACACTTTCTTGAACGAATACAAATATTAGTAAATGTCCTCAATTATTTTTAAAATACTTATAATAACTTTACTTCCAAAGTAACTGATGACAGTGTACTATACAACTGCAAACAGCTGGGAATACTTGATCAGCTGTTTTCCCCACTCTTACTTCGTATGAAGAAGGAAATGGTCATGGGTGTGTTTCTTTCAAAGATAGTATGGGGTTCTGGAAAGTCGCAAAATGTAAAATGCAATGAAAAAAAAATATATATATATATTTAAAACTTAATATTTTGGCTATACTACTTAACCGAATTTGGATATTTATATACTCATTTTATGCAGAATTTAATCCTCTTTGATATTATTAGGACGTTGTTTGCGTCCGACACACTGTTTTTGAGCAACTTGGAAAAAACTGAAAAAAGTGCTTAAATTTAATTTATTTTAGGCTGCCATAATGTAAGCTCACCTCATAGGACGGTGCAAACTCAGATTACACTTATTTGGGACCAAATGAAGGTATTAAAACGATTTCCAGCTTGCTGGGAATTAATTCCTCAAAATGTATTATTTTTATCTAATTTTACTGGCCTATATTGGAAATCTGTTTAAGTGTATTATAATCAAACAAATACTAAAGGTTTAGGTTCCTTGCATTTCTGTGGCACATAAATTAGGCCTATAAAGATTTATTTTGGAGGTATTTAACCTTCTAAAACCTAACAAAGATTGGTCGATTTTAAAACTTATCTTAAGACCGTGGATAAACGGGGGAGGGGGTGTGACATTCTGTGTTCATGTCAAATTACACACAGAAAGACTTGATATTTGATAAAAAAAAAATAATAATAAAATAGGCTTATATCAAACCCATACAGGCTATTGAAAAAATTGAGTAGTTGACTACAAACCTGACGGCAATCCAATCGTCCCTCTGTGATCCCGGTATTACATCTGCATCTTGGCTCTGCCAAAGAATAAGAACAATGAACGTTCCAGCCACTACGATAAGCACCCATGCCCGGCGAAACATTCGTCTTGAAACCATAGTGAACTAAAAAATAAATTTTCAAAGGTTTGGTAAAATTTTAATTGATTATTAATTAGACTACTAGGGTAGTTTTACCTACATTAAAAACATATTAATATTAGCCTAAGTTAAATAGTTTAGGCTAGGTTAAATAATTTAGGCCTTCATTTACCTAATATACTATTTTTCAAATTGGGTGTATCATAAAATAAAAATATAAATGCCTTAAAGGACAATAACATACTAAACTTTTATCAAAATCTTTTGGGCAATTTTTGAGAAAATCCCATTTTTTTCTTATTTTATGGAAAAAACACCATTAAAAATAAAAATTTTGAAAGAATTAAAAACTCCTGGAGATACTATGGATTAGTACCTACATACCAAATTTCATCAAAATTGGACTATACAGGTGTGGTCTGTAGCTCTCTGTACACATCCACACACACAGACTTTAATACTTTTTCTTTAATAGGTACTTTCTTATTAAATGGCGATTAAAAGTAGGTATTTTAAGCCAAGTATGAATGGAGATGAGCGTAGGATGAGTGGCGCCATCTTGTAGTCTTGTTAGTGACTAAGGCCGACATTCCTTAGACACAGCTGTTAATTAATAGCCCAATACAGCTAATGGACACACACATAACTTCGAAAACCACTTTTTTGGGTTCAGGGGGACCCAAAATGGATATATCCACTCAAAACTCAATCTCAAAAATTTTGATAAAAATAATACTTTCTCCATATAGGCTACTATGTAGTAAAAGATTGCAGAAAGAAAACTCAAAGAGTTTTATTTTCTTACATGAATCAATTATCAAACATTGAGATAGGAACACTACCTATGTGCATATTTTAACCCAAATATGATATGAGTGAGGGAGGGATGAGTGCAGAATGGTGTGAGATGATCTGTGTAACTTTGTAACCGTACTGACTAAGATCAGTCTGGTTTATTAGCCAGGGCCATTTATTTGAAGCCCAATGATCTGGAACAGCTGTATCCAGTTTCGAATCATCAAAAAGCTACTCTACTTACTTTTCTCAGGATAAGTTGAGAGTAATTAAACGCAGCCCCCACCAAAGCTTTGCAGAAGGCTTTCTCTGCTAACTGTCCTAGTGTTCTCAAACATACAAGTTAATTTCAATGCGCTTGCTTCCAGGCCAGGATAGTCAGTTAGTGTCTTCGCATCTGTTTAAAAAGGTTGGCAAAATCGATAAGTAGATCCTGTAGTTGAGTGAAACCACAGAACCATCAAGTGTATGGCCTCAAGATCTAGGGAGTATCCAAGAAAAGCTCTATTGGTACAATTTGACACCTTAACTCGTTCGCTGCTGACCGCTAGATGCCGGGACAGCGCCAGGAGCTGAAGTAAACGCTTGCCGCTGCGTGACATTGCCGCCGATACACTGAATTACAGTAAAAACAACAGTAGTTATACTGGATGGCAATGTTCTGCAATAAAACTGGCTTTGGACGTAGTACTAAGTGATTCTGATAGATAGCAGCACTACCCAGGTTACAGTCGATAAAGTAGTGTCGCTATCTAGCAGGAAAGAGATGGAACAAAGCCATGTTCCAAACGATCCTGGTGGTGATTTTGGAAAACTATATTTTTTATTGTCAGAAAAGTACGTCCCCACGAGCTTCAAAGAAATATAGGACGCTTGCGACGAGCGCTTATCCATGGCAACGTTAAACAACAATGAACGGTGACATTCCAGAACGTTCCTAGCTCCTGGCACCGTGGCCCGGAAGAATTGGATGGCATGTAAACCTTGCAAATTTTCTTGTACCTATGAAGATGTAAAGGTGAACCTAATATGAAGTGTGTGAAGAGTCACATTTTACAGTGGGCGATCGTGTTTGTCAAGCCGTCAAAACCATCCTGTACTTCGAGGCATGTATTCCAATATTATTAATGGTATGGAGTAAATATCTTAGGCCTACTGTAACATAATACTAACTAGTCCCATACCTAATTTACTTTAATGATTCATTTGACTTTGGAGAGAACAGGGCTTTGACTAGGACAAGATTATATTACGTTTGTGAACAAACTTATATTACGTTTTGTCATAGGCATCTTAGCCTATGAGTCGTTATTGGTTGTTTGAACCTTGGTAGGCTATGAATAAATAAATAAATTTTGCTTCAGACCTCTAGTGAATATCAAACACAGTTACCTACCTCAAGTAGGTTAGCAACAATGAAGAGTCATATGTACATAGTTATAGCTAGTGCTCGATTTGCGGGGAAACGTGATGGATAGGAGTTTCTGTACCCCTCTTTCGTGAAGATAAAAATATTAATTAAAATATTGGTTCAAAATTTCAATTGATACATAAATTGGTTAAAATAACATAAAATAACACTTCCCACACCCCTTTTTTTCCAAATCAAGCACTGGTTATGGACTAAATACCAAAATCATTAATCCTTCAGTTTTGTTCTCTGTAACTTAACTTCTTCATTGTCATGTCAAAATGTCAAGCTTTATTGGTTAGTTTATGCAGGTAACTTAGTTACACTACACTTTAATTAATACCAGGTCGGTAGACATAAAAATAAAAAGAATTTTGGTTTCAATTCAAAACTACTGTAGTTAAAAAAACAGTATCATAAGTCTATTGTCTATTAAGTATTTCGAGTGAGAGTTGATTGATATTGGTCTATTGCTACAGTATTAGGAAATGTAATTAATTGTAACTGGCACGGCAAATGCAAATTAATGAAATCAGCCTAAATTACCGTGGGTAAATTAACAAATAACAATTATAATATTAAATGTACACGTTATTTAAACACTTACTATTTTAATTTACATGAGGGTTACTGTAGAATAAATAACATTTCCCAAAGTTAAAAACAAAAAACTTTGGTTAACTCCCAGGTCAATGACAATTGAAAAGTAAATAAATAAAAGGAAACGCTGTTATTGGATAAGTGCTGTGCTAAAACCTGATTGGTCCCTAATCCTGGACGTCGCGTTGCAGGCTGGGTAGTATAACGTGATGGATATAACACATGTGTGTTTTTTTTACAAATGGAAACATGGATTAAGCACACAGAGCTATTAAGCATAAAACTATTGACTGGACTATTATTGTGGAGTATGTTTTATCTAAGGGAGTATGTTTTATCTATGGTTTTATCTATGGTATAAAACCTTATACCATAGACTAACCAACACCTTATACTATCAATAGTAAAAAATTGTTTGTTTTATAAAGTTTAGACCTAACTATTTTACGGATCAGCTGACGTAGCCTATATATATATTAAATAACCGCTTGATGATTTAATCTATGACTAAAGGAAATCTGGCCATTCATAGAGGTAGGCTGAGGAGTTAAAACTGAAAACACGTTTATACACCTAAGTTAATGGTAATACACAATGGTATTGGATATATTAACCTAAAGACTAATGGTCTATAGTCTGTGACCTAAGAGCCTTATTTTATTATGCGCGGTCACTCGAGTGGTGCGCGACTGTGACTGCTCAAAGGCCACGTTATCATATGGAGCTTATTAGGCGTCGTGACTGCGGTGGCGAGGCACGCGACAGTCGCCGAGACTGGCCACTACAGTCGTGTACCCTCGCTACTAGTCGCAAGCCCACGCGAACGTCGCGCCATCAGCGGGCCATGTCACGGCCGCCTTTAACTACAGGGGCCCATTTCATAATAAAGTACAAACTAATATTATTAGTAAATCAGCTGATCGCCCAATGCAAATCTAATGTAAATTACAAATTACAAGCTGTAACTTGCAGCTTGTAATTTCCATTAGATTAGCATTGAGCGATCAGCTGATTTACTAATAATATTAGTTTGTAGTTTATTATGAAATAGGCCCCAGGTCGCGGCCTGGTAGTATTGGCAACGTCGCAAGTGTTGTTGTCTAGCGCCAGACGTCCCATAAGATAACATGGCAGACAGGTGACATCAGCTCATTATTTCACGTATTATTCATTAAAATAAAAATTTATGGACATAAATGTATTGAAAGATTGAAAATAAAACATATAGAATTGAAAACAAAACAATATTTGAGTAGAAAATCAATTTGTGTACTTTTAAAGTGGAGTCAATACTGTCATAGTCCAGTAACGAAGCTTTCTTAAATACACAAATACCATTAGCTATTAGCTGCTGCCAAACTAAACAGGTGTTACAACACCACTTGCGACGTTGCCACTTCGAAGGCCTGTTGTTAAAGGCGGCCGTGGCCATGTTCTCGATATGCTGCTTATTACGCGCAGCCACAGCGCAACTCTCACTCCCTACCTCCTCAAAGTCACGACTAATATATTTAATTTAATGTAAGTTTAAGCCTCTCCTTAGCTGAAATATAAATGTATACATACACATTCTTGTGGGATACGGATTAGTCACCGTCTATTTGTCATAAAAGTTCACCAACAGAACGTTATGACATCCGGAAACCTAAAGTAAAAACTTATTGTCATCCTCTCTGAGGTTATTAAAAAGTGTGAAAAATACTCCTTTTGAAGATCTTTTGTTTAGTAACGGATGGACTCGAATAAAATTTGTTTTGCCTACGTTAATGATGCTTAAGTAAAAGTAGAAGAAACGGTCCATCTACTTCACTTGACGACTATATCGTTCACACTGAGAAACTACCCTAGCTATACCTGTGGCCGGGTCAAGCGACTGAGCAGACGCGGTCGCGAGCCACCCGAGTGACCACGCATAATAAGGCTCTAAGTTAATTTGTTAAAACTAGCCATCAAAGATCTACATCGAATTGCCGGACTCTGAAAACCCCCTAGATTGGAGACCAATGCTTTATGGGTTGGGTAGGGCCTGCTATTTTATAGCTAGAGAAATGCTTTGATAGCCCTGTTTTGGACCTGGGGCCCAGGGGTTGATTTGCGCCAATCCAAAAGCAAAGTACGTGTCTGTTTCAATGAAACAGAAGTTTCAATATAATATATTGTGTTTTGCTGTGTGAAATAGTTATTTGTGTAACTAGTGGGCAAAGGCCTTTTGCACTCGTGTTACACATTATATTTTTCCTACAGTCACTATAAAGCATAGAAATAATTAGTCTTTCAAACACTATACAACACGTTTTTAGGTTCAGCTGGCAACACAAATAGGTGCCTTAGAGAAAGTAGTACCCAGTCCGTATCACTCCACTACTTTTCCTAGGCAAGAAATGTGCTCCGCGTTTTAAGAATATAGTTCCGTATGTTTTTGTAATATTTGAAGTGGTTTTCGCGCCTAAAAAATGCTTTAACGGTATTTTCTTGTGTATTAAGATTGTAGGAATGTTTTAAAAACGTTTAAAAGAAAAGTCCAGAAAGTTCAGAAATACCGAAACTATAAACACGAAATGACAGGTTAAATCGTAGTTATAATAGTCAATCAGCTGCTCATAGTATTATTATTTTTAAGTGTTGCCAACCTATTTCCAAGCGTACACGGATTACGTGCATAATAGAACCACGCTGTTTTGTGTTGTTTCGTTGGAATCCTGATGTGCGGCAAAGTATAAATGCAGCAATTAGCAGCTTTCTGTACTATGAACAGTACAAGGAAGCCAACTTTGTCGGGTGACTGTAGGAAAAATGTGTTTTCATCACTCCTTCCCGAAAGTAACTATTTTCGATAACAGCGCTGATCTCAAGCAGCAGTTGTTTCCCAAGCTCTAATTTAGAGCTAGGGAAAAACGATCAGCTGATTTTCCTTCGCTCTAAATTTACTTTCCTTCGCCCACGATAAGTTCTCTATTTATCCACTACGCGCGCTAGTGTTTTGTTACCGTTTATTTTAATGATTAAAATCAGCTGTTTTCATTGTTACACAATCTAAATGTATACAGAAAAAATAGGCGGACGAGGCATTGGCATTAAGTTTGTTTTACTGTGTTTTAGCATATTGCAAGTTGCAAGTTTAAAATCGCTCATACAACAGTCATGATGATATAATGAAAACTGCTTCAGAGGTAACTACTAATGCCCTTCCACCAGAGAAATCACGGGAAAGATATGAAGAGGAATACAGAAAGTTTACAAACCAGTGCAAATTACAAAATGTTTAGTCGGAACATGCTATGAAATATACTATTTTTCTTCGGTTCAGTGTCAATCATTCACTACCGTATTCATGGTGTAGGCCTAAAAGACAGTCCTGGCAATAATGGTTGAAATGACATGATTCTATGGGCACCAAATCTATAATTAATTTATATTCCAATTGTACGTTATTTCCTTGGTTATATAGGCCTACTTATTAGTTTGTTATATACACATATTTATTTATTATTATTTATTTATGGTTGCGGCATTATCACTTAGATAAAATCCATTGGTGATTTGGCGGGATTTGAACCCGGGACCTCTTGGACTGAAGTCCCACGCTCTAACCACTAGACCAGCTTACCAAGGCTGTACCCAAGATCAAAACTAAGGGGGGGGGGCAAGAGCGTACTTGAAACAGGGGTCGCTGGGGGAGACCCACCGGTGGGCCTGGGAGGTATTGAATACCCCTCGGTCCGGGGGTTCTCCTCTGGAAAAATGTTTAAAACAATATGCTGAAATTAGCGTTTTTATGCTATTTTGAGACATTAATATAACAAACCTTAGCTCTATAATGCAGCGTTTATAAAGTCTTATTTTATAAAGTGGCTTTATGTCCGTCAATGGGGTCAGGTCAGGTTGCTTAGCTTTACAATACACATTTAACTGTATTTTTTGGGATAACTTATGCCGTAAGAGCAATTTTGTTTGTTACATTATTGTTAAAGGCAAATGAAAACAAAATAATGTCACAAAAAATAGGTTTATATTAATTAATTCATTCACTCATTCATCCACAAAGTTGTTAGTTTATACATATTGCAAGAAATTTGTCTGTTTATTATTACCTACTGTTGGAGAATAACTTAGAAACAAATGAAAAATGAATAACATGTGTCAAAAAATGTCATAAAAAACCTGTACACTATTACTTATCTTTTCTCATACTAATAACATTTTTCTTGGATCTTCATTTTTGATACCTTACACTATCTTGGCTTCTAGGGGGGGGGGGGGGGGGTGGACTTTTTGAGTACGCCCTGCAGCTTGCTCCCCTGTAGTCAAATATTAACAGCTTAGTATCAAATAATTAAATTTGCCAAGTTTTATAAAAATCCGTAAACAAGTATAACATATCAGTTGACTTATTCTGTATAAAAATTACATGCCAATTTTTAATTAAATTTTTTTTTTATTTCCTCTGTGACTAATAATTGTAAAAAAAAGATACTATTTTTTTTGAGCTGTACATAATGGTTTGGTGAGAAATTGGAAAATTTTATGTTTTAAGGGTCAAAAATGAGAAAAACCAATTTTCACCCCATAAAATGCTGTTCCTATAGTCTGATAGGTTCGCAAACTCGTTCGAATAAACGTAGGTTTACAGGTTTGTACAAATTTCATCAAACATTGGATGGTGTTACCATCAAAAGCACATACTATATAATTCCCTTGAGACACCAGCACACTCAAGCCTGAGTATTGAGATTAGATAGTTACACAATTTTATTTTGCTATTGTTAAACCTGAAATCATATTGAGCAGTTTCTCTTAATTGTAAAAAATCTACTTTTTTGTGTGTTCCTTTTCCAATTAAACTTCTAGGAGGCAGAATCAGTGGTAATGTATATACATAAATATATGTAGGGCCCTTTACAATATGATGTACAGAAAGTACCTAATAATATCATAGACTAAGCGATTTATCTATGATAATATTGACACTGAGTTACATTATAAAATATAAAATAATTGAGTATAGGGATCAAAATGCATTGAAATTATTTTCATCAATAAGAAACAAATTTATGCAGAAAATATATGTATGACTACAATAATATACTTTTGTTATCCAAGCCCTTAATTTGATTTGATTTACATGTTTTGCATATCTATTGGCATATCTCATATACATTATTTTATTGAGTGTTGCAGAGAATGGTCAGACATTTTGGATTCTGTGGAATGTTTTGTACAAATCAATAATTTCTTTATTAATAAAATCAGAGCCAAACATTGGATGAACTCTTTATCTGAAAATTGAATACATACCAGTAAGTTTACTTCAGGTTTTATTATTCATGGAAAATTTGCTTTCTCGCCAAAACTATTACAAGAAATATTAAACCACAGTAGTAAAAACTAATGCACAGTACTTTTACCTACAATTTATAGTTTTTATTACTGCATTTTATTTACAAAGTACTTTAAACAAACATGTATGATAAAAGAAAACATCCAACACAAATGATCACTGTACCTTACAATAAATTGGAAGAAGAAGTTAAGAGATTAAACAACACTTTTCTTTATCTAAGAGTTTTACCGTTTCATCTACATATTATAGGATGTACTGTAAATTAATTTAACTATATAGTAATCAGTTTAAAGATTATTTAGAGTTGTTTTTGTATACAGAATACAGTTAACATACTGGACAAACAAAGGCTCAACAGGTACAGGCATTGACTATAAATTAGTCAATGGTACGAAGATCTATTTTAGCAACCTAGTGTGAAGCTAAACCAGTACAAATTGATACCATTGTGAGATTAACTGTTAGGATGAAACCATTGAGGATTGAGCGAGCATGGCTTCTTTTGAACTTGGGTGTGAAAATGAGGATGAAAAAATCAATATACCATCGATTAAAGGGGTGAGTGTTTATAGGATAGAAAGATTAATATCTAATGAATTTAGGATATGATGTATATGCAGCCTTTCATTAAAACCAATAAAAAGAACAGAACTACTCACCATTTCTAACTGAACAGCTGCTAAAAATATTAAACAAAATAGTAGGCTACAGCCATTGCTGTAAAAATTACAGTTAAAAAGCTATTACAACTTTTGTGATTTTCCTTAAAAAATCATAGTTACTCCCACCAGTTATTGATAAAGATTTATGACAAGCTTATAGGAGAAAGTATGTGTCAGATTGCTGATACCGTTTATTTTTTTATGTAGCTAAACCCTGCAATCACATGTGGGTGTTAATGCTAAAAGTTTTGCCCTTAGTTTTTTAACAGTTGTTTTACAGTTGTGTTCTTCGCAAACTCAGATGAGGGGCATATTCATACTTTGGTATGGCAAATTTGACTGCTTTTAAAAAATAGTTTATGTTAGGGACATTCAACAAAAAAGGTGCAATAAACAAATTTTTTGCAAATACAGCCGTTTTTTATACAAACGTTGCGGGACTAAAGTACAGTAGTATGTTTACTCCCTAAAAAAGGGTACAGTGGTAAATGTCTATTGTAGCAATCGCATGGATCAAAATTATTTATCATTTGATTTATTATAGGTTTTAGCATTCTCTTGTGGGTATTTTGACAAATCCATGGTAGTACACAATCATATTATGATTGAATCACTTGTAACAGCTGCTTAATTGCATTAGCAAAATTGAAAACAGGCTGTAAATACACAGTTTTGAGAGGTTATAAAACAATCAATCAATTACCGGTACCAATTTTATAACTATCTTTACATGAAAAGTATTTTTCATCACTCCGTAACGAAAGTAACTATTTTCGATAACAGCTGACATCAATGAAAGTAGTCGTTTCCCAAGCCTCTAATTTAGGGCGAGGGAAAATCGATCAGCTGATTTTCCCTCGCTCTAAATTTACTTTCCCTCGCTCTCAATTAGTTATCCATTTATTTTCTACGCGCGCTAGTGTTTTGTTACGGTTTAATTTAATGATTTGAATCAGCTGGATGTATTGTTAAAAGTTGTTTTATTCTTTTATTTTCATGTTTAAACAAAATTTATTGAGAAATATACGTAGGTTTCCTTTTAGCACATTTTATTTTATTTTGATGTTCAATCAAATCAATTGAGAAATATAAAATAGTTATAATATTACTGAGGTCTGCTAATCTGTGTTTGTGTATTTTTGCGCCGTGATGAAAAGTATCATTCATAACTCGTACCGAAAGTTATCATCGGGCACTTGCTCCATTATTTCCGTCCTCGGCTTTGCCTCGTACGTAAAAATAGCTCTCACATACTCGGCTTCGCCTCGCACGTGAAATTGGGGTTCCCTGTGTTCGGCTTCGCCTCACATTAAAACTTGAGCGCGCGAGGGAAAATGCCACTTTCGGTCCTAGTAATGAAATATACTATTCTTTCCATAGCTTAGTTTTTGAATTAATTATGCAGTATGACAAAAAAATAAATATAGTTCATCACACGGGCAAAAAGTGTCTTTTCAACCCTCGCTCTTGAGCTTGGGTCGAAAAGAGTCACTTTACACCCTAGTCATGAAATATACTAATATTTGTCTGTTAAATGCTGACTCTATTCCAAGCCACTTTAGGATTGTGTGCCTTTTTCTGTACAAAATAGGGTTCTGAGCATCTGGATTTTATGTTCAAAATATATTGAAACATCATACAATTATATTTCAAAGGTATAAAATTATTTTAATTAAAAATGAAGCTTTTGATTTAAAATCATTTTTAAGTCATGCAGATCTGAACCTATTTTTGATAGGTTTAATTGTTTCAGGTTTTTAATCCCTGAAAAAAACACTGATTATCATTACAAAATAGGGGAGGGACTATGACTTTCAACAAACAACATAAAATACCGTTGTGAACAAATCATATATAAGTTTTTTGCTCACAACAAGGTAAGGTGTTAGTTTGTTATGCCACCAGCCTTGGTAGGTTTCAATATCACCAGTGAGATATGGTTACTGATATGGTGTTCATTTCTTTTAAAACAAGCCAGCCTAGTCATGCCTGTATCTTACGAGACTCGTAAACAAACTGTTAGCTTGATTGCCATTCCTGATAGTGATCCGGGTTCTGTTCAGGATGGCTTCTCATTCCGGAAACTATGGGCGTTTACGGGTCCTGGATTCCTACTCTCTGTCGCCTATATGGACCCTGGCAACATCGAGAATGACCTTCAGTCTGGGGTGAAAGCAAAATATAAGGTAAGCTTTTTTATTTGTATTTGTTTAGTGTATATAAATTATAAACATATCAACTTAATCAAATAATCAACTTATAGTTTTTGAGTTAATGTGCATTGCAAGTGCATTCAATTCTCTTTTATATTTATCTACTTAGGAAATGTTTTTTTTTTTATTTATTTATTGTCACTAAAGCATACTATAACTTAGTTGATTTATTGAAATTCTATTGTAAGCAATATTTAACATTAATTCACGAATTAAAAAAAAACCCCTCTTACAACATGACATACTTATTTTTATCAATAAGCAAAAATGCAAGCTATACGCTGTGAGAAACTTTAACAAAACATTACATGTACTTCAAATTAAATTTAATTGAAAGTAAAAGGTTTAAAATTGGTTATATTATTTTTAAAACTCTATTTTAAAATAGTAAAACAAAGAAAAAAAAACTTGAATTGTTTATATTTTTCATAAATATTATATTTTTATCAAACTAAATTATCATAAGCACAGCTTTTGAATCCACTGACCTCAAGTGTAACAACTATAACAATGAGAATCTTCTTTTCCTATTCTGTCATCAGATTCTATGGATTCTGCTGACATCTACTCTGATGGCTCTGATGATGCAGCGCCTGTCTCTAAGGCTAGGAGTGGTGACTGGCAGACATCTGGCAGAGATGTGTCACCTCCAGTACCCGACACTGCCTCGTCTCTTCCTCTGGCTGATGATAGAAGTGGCCATCATCGGTGCTGACATGCAAGAAGTCATCGGAACAGCCATTGCACTCTATCTGCTCTCCAACAAACTGTGAGTCTGAGTCTTACACATTGTCTTTTATGGTAGTAGCTTGCAGCCCTCAACATTTAAGTAGTACTTTTTCAACTTACCCTCTCCCATAGGCGCCCAAAGAAAAAGTGAAAAGGTGAAGTTTTACTTCTTGTGACAGGAGTTGGGAAACATTTTACGAATAGAGTGTGTGACTTGAAGCACTACCAACCAATCCCACCTTCAAATTTCTCTTACATCGCTACCTTGGAACTGTTCGGAACTTTAATTTTGGCTAGGCTTTTAAATTATGCCATTAGGGATTTCCATGATGGGGTGTCCGGTGATTCAAATCTGAAGAAGATTGATCTTTGGGGCCCAAAACTATGGACCAAATGAAACACTTCTTAATAAAGAAGATGGATGATGAATGATAAGGTAGCTTAAGCACCGACAAAGATTAGAATAAGTGGAAGCAGTTATAGTTGATGAGTCTATAGCTTCTAAGGTTTGAATGGCCATTGGTAATTTGAATAGGCTACTTTATACTTTTAATTGAAATGGCGACCATACTAAGGGAGGTATTTTAAGGAAAGTATCGATGGAGATGAGTAACGCGATTTTGTAGTCTTGTTAGTGAACATTCATAATTAATAATCTAAAGTAAAGAATTTCTTTGTTGTTGCAGGATTCCTCTATGGCTGGGTGTGGTCCTGACAGTTATAGACACCTTCATGTTTCTCATGATAGATAGATACGGTCTTCGGAAACTTGAGATGTTCTTTGCAGGATTGGTCACAATCATGGTTGTCACTTTTGGTTATCAGGTTGGATTGATTTACTTCTTTGTAGCAGTAATAGTTCCCGTAAACACCAGTAAGTAGTCTCTGTAATCATGAGAGTGTTCAAAGTGTAGAAGAAAGAGTTTATTTAAATTTCATGATGAAATTCTAATAAAATCTTTACCGGACAGTGGACAGTCCAAGATTTTTATAACAATAATTCATGCACAATATAAATAAAAGTGTACTTAAATCCCACAGAATATTGTACACTAAATCCATATTATGGTAAAATTGTTTCTAACACACATTTTCTTAACAACCTCATTTGACAAATTGTTAAAACTTCCTATCTATCTGTGCAGTTTTGGATCGCCAAACCAGACGGTGTCGAGATTGTGAAAGGTCTTTTTTATCCTTGGTGCGAAAACTGTGACAGTTCTGTTGCGTTACAAGCGATCGGAATCATCGGTGCCACCATTACACCTCATAACCTCTACCTGCACTCAGGGATGGTCAAGGTAAGTTGGCAAGAGAAATTTGATTCGTTTGAGCCATGAGAGTTCTTTTTGGATCTAGCAACTATTGCGTTCCTACAATTCGTAGATTTGTTTGCACCAACTGCGTTGTCAAGTGAAATTCAATGCCAGAGTTTTACCCTTGTTGTTAAGTGATATCTTTAGTAGTAGTAGTAGTAGGGCTAGTACTCATTAGACCAAGTCTCTAATCAACTCTAAACACAAAATTAAAATTGACCATGGAGGACACATCAATGTAAAGAAAACTAACTTACGTAATCCCAGGGCCATTTATATCGTAGGTGTCATTTAGCCTCACCCGCAATATAAAGGGTGTGGACCGTTCCCTTTCAATACGTTAAAAATGCCACTGGCGTAAAAACACACACACAAAAAATAAAACAAATCTTTGCCACATTATCCGGTCCTCTCTGCACCTTCCTCTACTGCTCCAATTCTCTCCATGTCTGCTTTCACTTATTTCCACCATCTCTGTTTTGGTCTTCCTTGAGGTCGCCTTCCAACCGCATTACCCTCTAATATTATATTCTCAGTCTGCATTCTTAGCCTCTTCTCAATACGGGTCTCTTTATTAACTGCTATTGAATAATTTGAGAATTGCAACAGAATAAAAAATTGAACAATTTTTTGCTACCTATTGAAGAAAATTAAACCTTATATAAATTGACCCATCAGATTACCACCAAGTTCATATCAGCTCTTCATCAAAGTTGGTAAAAAAAATTAATACATTCCAAAACCATTTTAAATATAATGATTACAATGAAGAGAAGATAATAGCTTTTATTAATGAATACCGTTCCTTTTCCATCTTTATAATTAATTATCCTATGTGAAGAAAATTCACAGACATTTTTAATGAGTGTCATACACAATTTTATCATTTTTTAAATTATTTGTTTCACAAACCAAAGCTACGTTGAAACATGACCTCCTCATCCAACAGTTTTGTTAGTGTCTCGACTGGATCAGTTAGGGTAATATTGGTTCATTCTGTAATGCAATGTTTTGCTCGAAATTCACATGCTCATGTATTGCTCGAATGTATTCCTCATACTATACAGCCATGGTGGGAACTGGCTTCAGACTGCTGTGACTAATGCTGGCGTGTTCTAATCTTTCCCTCCATTTGGCAACTTGATAGAGTGGGATGGATACGAAGACATCCTTTTTGAGTTTCACTTCAATCTGGGGGATGCTGGAACTGGAGTCTTTCTTTGCAGCTTTTGCCACTTTTTAAGTTCTTGGGACATTAACTCTTGGAAGGATGAAATAACCTACGACGTTGATCCTGAGCTGCATCCATTGCATACATAATCCACCAAACTTTCATCAACTTCGGCATTATCCTTCATTGAACAGTGAATAATCTCTGATGTGGTAATGCATCTCTTCTGCAGTTGATCAACATTACCATTACACGAGCAGAAACAATCACAAAAGAATTAATATTGTCTTTATACATACCTATGATTCATAGTTTTTTAGAAGAGGTTGACACTGCCTGTATTGAGGCAGTTGTAAAACGACGATTATTGCTACAGAACGACTGCTGCCGCGTAATGTTGCCTGGTTACCTGTCATCGCCCAAGACTGGCCCCAGCAACTGGTTGACGTCTCTGATACACACGGACAACACATTGAGGCAGTTGTCAATCGACGATTATTACTGAAGACGACTGCTGCCGCGTAATGTTGCCTGGTTACCTGTCATCGCCCGAGACTGGCCCCAGCAACTGGTTGACGACTCTGCTACTCACGGATAACACCTTCATTGAGGCAGTTGTCAATCGAAGATTTTTATGATAGATGACTCAGCTGCAGGTTTATGGAATAGTTAAATATTTATAAATTGTATAATGAGTACTTATCTTTTGTTGCAAAGCTCCTGCAGTTTATATTAACAATCTGCTTGAGCATCGACAGTGTCCTTCTTGGATCAGAGTTAAGATGCAGCAGAAAGGTACTGTGGTCGTAGGTTTCCTGAAGTCAGATATTCTAACAGCTCAGGTCTTCTAATAAAAGTCGAAAAGTTCAGCTTCAAGAGCGACAACAAATTACAAATTATCAGTTACAATAAAAGCAAACTTTTCTTCATTTTTTTTTACTAAAAATTCTCATTCTTAAATATTTCAAAGGGATGCTAAATATTTTAACACATTCACTGCTAATGATATGTAATACTTTTATAAATGGCTAAAAAACATAAACATTAACATGATCATGTTAATTGAGTGACAATATATCTTTAATTAAATAAATTTTATACTATAAATTGTGGATTAAAATATATTATGTAATTATATACATCATGTATTATATATCTGCTAATATACTTATGACGCACATGTGCGTCATTAGCAGTGAACGTGTTAAAATAGTTGAGGTGCAAAACCAACTACGTACCATAATTGGGATATTTATAAATTCTTACATTTTCCAAAAAGGTTCCTGAAAACACTTGCAATAACATTGCTACCTGTCACATACAATTATTGACTTGGATGGTAGTCAATAATTGCAAAAAAAAAATTAAATCTCAAACTAAATGAAATCTCTACATCCATATTGCTGTACGATTAAAAACTTACAAATGGATGATCCAGGCCTTTTGTTTTAGGCATCCACAAGTCCTATTTCAGAGTCTCTGATTTCTACTTAATTCGTCCAAAGTATGTGAAGTATTGTGAAGATTCTCTGTTGTATGATCTTCTAATTATTGTAGACATGCTTAAACTTGAAGTGCATATGTTTGTATCAAAAATTATAGTCTTTATGAAAAATTATGCTTTTAATGGGTTTTAAGAGATAGTTTCCATGGATACATAAATAAATAAATAACTGAAAATGTTTATAAATTAACTAGCTTACCCGTTGCACTTTGCTAGGAATCGAAAGGAAATGCCTTATTTTCAAACTATCCCAGGCGTAAACAGAGTAATTTAAGAAAGTTTCACGGCAATTGGATCAACGGTTGTAACGACCACGCACGGGAAGGGCGGAAAACTCAATGATCAAAGGCCGAGTTGAGAATTTAACACTTGATTTATTTTTTTAAAAGAACAAAGTTATGAGTTACTATCAATTGCCAATATATACAAAAACATATTTTAACGGGGACATGTCTACCGCGATGGACAGTTGCGAGAGAGGGAAGGAAAGTGCGAAGACCGCAACTTCTCGGCTCTTCTAACCTCACTGACTAAACGTCCTCCAGATTCGGCGGTCCCACACGTCACACGGAATGATGATACCTCTTCTGTGCAACTTCCTGTACTATAATCAGTGCAAGGAAGGCCACTTAGTCAGGGTTCTGTAGGAAATAGAAATTACTTTTAAATCCACCATATTTCTAAGTGTGACAATTAATAATTGCTACGGTACTGAATAGTAACGGTGGGGTGTGTCTATGTGGATTGTGGAATAATGAAAGAGTTGTGTGGATAGATGAGGGTTAAAACTTAGGAATATAAATTAATAATATAATTAACTGAAGAATTAGGAAGCGGTGCAACTGTCTATTTTAAAGGGAAGGGTTTTACCCTGAAACTGATTGTGTCCATTGCCGTAAACACCCTAAGCCAGCTTTTGATGAACTGTTTATTTACTAATTTATAACATAAAAACCTTATAACTAAAACCACTACCTGAAAATGTAAGACCTGCGTTAATATGAATAACTAATAATAAACTAACTGTAATCATAGTCATAGTCAAGAGTACTGATACATGGAATACTGAAATTTTGATTAAGGTAATGTTATGAAGGAATAAATTACTGGGATTGACAGCAGAGAACAACTGAACAATTTAGTACCATGTGATTTTGTTACATTGTTTCAACAAGTTTCAAAATATTTAGCCAAATTATCATTGGTGATTCGTTTATCAATTTTAAATTCACTAATGCACATTGTGACCGCGGAATTCAAATTTCCCGCGAGAGATAATAAATGTGGGTTTGTTATAGAACTGACTAAGCTGATCCAAGTTAGAGAATTTTGGGGTTGAAATTTATTATGAAGTCAGCGGCCCCTTTCAACTTTGTATTTGCCCAAAAATTGACTTTCTGTGGCAGTCCTGTGTGTAACCGATATCAAGAAAAGAGTGGCCGACGCAGAACAAGAATTAACAATATCTTCTGATAGCAAGCAAATGCTAACACCTAGCCAGTAAGTTATTTTTTTGTGTTTTAGTAAGTAAATATAAGTAAGTTAATGTAGTAAGTTAATATTTTCCCTTGATGTAAATTATGTTCTGAAGGATCACAAAAGGTTGTCTCTTTTCAGTCTCGAGCAGTGGATCGAACAAAGCTATCCAAAATAAAAGAAGCAAATCTTTACTTCTTCCTAGAGTGTATAATTTGCTTGTCAATATCCCTTACGGTCAACATTATCGTTGTGTCGGTCTTCGCTCATGGTTTGCACCACAGAACAAACGCGGATGTGGTAAGTTTAGTTTTTTAGTTTGATTTTATATTCTCTGTCATTCTAAAACGCATGACTTAAATATTAAAAGGATCCTTTATCTCATAAGTGTTAATCTCATAATGGATCCTTTTCATTTTTAAGTCACTTGCAAAAAACTTATAACCCCAATTGTGCTCGTACCTCTTAATTACTTATCTAAGAGTTGGCACCTTATATGTAGGCCTATAAATCATGTATTTTTCAAGTCAGTGAAAGTTTATATTTTCTTATAATCGATAGCATTTTCCATATATATTGTACATTTGACACCGAGTTTTACATTTAATTTGAAGGACTAAAGAAAATTTTTATATCTTGAACATCTACATTGAAACAACAAAAACCAGAGTACACCATGTTAAATTCTTTAATTAATTATAAACTAGATTTTGAGTATTTGAAACTTTATGAAATCAATAAAAGCATTCTTGAAACAAGCTTTAAAATTGTTTGCTTTTTTCAGATGAACATTTGCCTGGATAGTAAAGTTCCGTTTGATAACATTTTTCCGGTAAGTAAAAAATCAATTTTACCTGAATAAGTAATATATTTTACAAAAATATCATTGTATTATTTAGTAGAAAGTGTTAAAAGTGTGGTTAAGTACAAAGGAGTACAGGCAAAACATAGTTAAAAAGAGAAATAGCTTGCAAACTGCATATCTCAGAGAGAACTGTCCCCTGCTGATCCGTGAGGCTAAGGATCTATTAGCAGATATCTTAACCCATTGGGGAAGGAATTAATGCGCTGCCTGCAGCACCCTCTGTCGGCAATTAATTTTACCGAATTTGTAGACTTTTACTCTAATTACCATACAAAGAAAACCTTAGGTAGTAAATTAATAATTCTTTCACCATTTTGTTCTACAGAAAAGTGGTAATTGGACAGTCAAAGTGTAAAACCAAAGATTACATATGCTACGCAAAATTTTGCATAGCATATGTAATCTTTGGTAAAACTAAAAAAACTAAAATTATAAAGTTTATAGAATTAAAACTTTTAAAAACAATTTTTTTAAAGTAAACTTGATATACAAATTCCAAGATTAATCCAAACACCAAATAACACTACTATTATAAAGTACAATTGATTCCCTACGTAAAAAAATCAAAAGTTGTGTACTTTTATAAGTAATAATGTAGACAAAAAATTGTTTGTTTACCTTACCACAGCTGATTTTTGGTGATATCTGGTTTCCATGGTATCACAAAATTGTTTGTTATTCGCTAAAATAATTGAGTATAAATACGCAAATCAAGAAGCAAGATATTTATAAACATTATAAAAGTAAGAAGAAACAAAAAGGGAGGAAAATAATAATAATTAAATAACTAGTAGCGCTGCGTAGCAGTGACACGAGCGGCACTCATAAGTCGGCCGCCGGGCCTGCAGCAGCCGTACGAGTAACGCTCGTAAGTCGGTGCCAATGGGTTAATCCATGCTAGCCCAAGTAGCACACATCGTTGGCCCAACGTTGGGAAATGGTCGACACAGTTGGGAAATGGTTGGCAGAAATTTTAACGATTTGCCAACGTTGGCCCAACGGAAACTGGTATTCGTTGGCCCTACAAAGGAAAGAATCGTTGGGCCTTCGTTGGGCATTCGTTGGGTTTAAGTATAAAACATTCTAAAACGAATTTTAACAAATTGATTTATTGAGCGGAGCGAGCGAAGCGAGCGAAGCTCTTATACGTCGACTTTTATGCATTTCGTAATACGCAAACTCCTCCTAGACGGCTGAATCAATCGTTTTCAAATTTTGCATGGTGATAATGACCATATCGGTGAGTGCCAACATCTATATGGCGTTAAAAAAGTCTCTCAGGAATCCGCCCCACTGGGTCTCAAAGTTTCAATGTAATCCTTATGGAAGCAGTATTTGACACATTAACAAAGACATATGATCAGCTGTTGACTTTTGAATGCAGTAGATAAATAAATAGCTGATAGCATTTTTCCACAGATATTAGAACATAAACGGTGGTATGGATCATAAATATAATCAAATGACGACACTAGCTTGAGGTTCGTGACGTAAGAAGTGGCGAAGGAAGTAGTAATGGTGAGCAGTCTGGAGTGTGGGAACTGTTTATGACGATTAGATTAAGGTATCTGCATTCCTAAAATGCTATGGGAAGGGAGGAAAACGGGTCCGCGACGTAGGAAGTAGTGAAGGAAGTAGACAAGGCGGGCTGCCCGGAGTGTGGGAACTGTTTATGGCGATTAGATTAAGGTATCTGCATTCCTAAAATTCTATGGGAAGGGAGGAAAACGGGTCCGCGACGTAGGAAGTGGTGAAGGAAGTATAGTCAATGCGAGCTGTCCGGAGTGTAGGAACTGTTTATGACAATTAGATTAAGGTATGTGCAATCCTAAAATGCTATTGGAAGGGAAGGAAACAAATCCGCAACGTAGGAAGTGGTGAAGGAAGTAGTAAAGGCGAGCTGTTCGGGGTATGGGATCTGTTTATGACCATTAGATTAAGGTATTTGCAATCCTAAAATGCTATGGGAAGGGAGGAAAACAGGTCTGCGACGTAGGAAGTGGTGAAGGAAGTAGTAAAGGCGAGCTGTCCGGAGTGTGGAAACTGTTTATGACTATTAGATTAAGGTATCTACAATCCTAAAATGCTATGGGACGGGAGGAAAACAGGTCCGCGATGTTCGAAGTGGTGAAGGAAGTAGTCAATGCGAGCTGTCCGGAGTGTGGGAACTGTTTATGACGATTAGATTAAGGTATCTACATTCCTAAAATTCTATGGGAAGGGAGGAAAACGGGTCCTCGACGTAGGAAGTAGTGAAGGAAGTAGTCAAGGTGAGCTGTCCGGAGTGTGGAAACTCTTTATGACGATTAGATTAAGGTATCTGCATTCCTAAAATTCTATGGGAAGGGAGGAAAACGGGTCCGCGACGTAGGAAGTGGTGAAGGAAGTAGTCAAGGCAAGCTGTCCGGAGTGTCAAACTGTTTATGACAATTAGATTAAGGTATCTGCAATCCTAAAATGCTATTGGAAGGGAAGGAAACAGGTCCGCGACGTAGCAAGTGGTGAAGGAAGTAGTAAAGGCGAGCTGTTCGGGGTATGGGATTTGTTTATGACCATTAGATTAAGGTATTTGCAATCCTAAAATGCTATGGGAAGGGAGGAAAACAGGTCCGCGACGTAGGAAGTGGTGAAGGAAGTAGTCAAGGTGAGCTGTCCGGAGTGTGGGATCTGAGTTTATGACCAATAGATTAAGGTATTTGCATTCCAATAATGCTAAGGGAAGGGAGGTAAACAGGTCCGTGGCGTAGGAAGTGATGAAGGAAGCAGTAATGGCAAGTTTTTCGGAGTGTGGGAACTGTTTATGACGATTAGTTTAAGGTATCTTGGTATCTACAATCTTAAAATTCTATGGGAAGAGAGGGAAACAGGTCTGCGACGTAAGAAGAGGCGAAGGAAGTAGTAAGGTGAGCAGTGTGGAGTTTGGGAACTGGAAACCGTTTGTAGCAGTTAGATTAATGTATCTGCAATGCTGAAATGCTATGAGTAGGGATGGAAGCATGTCCACGACATATAAAATGGTGAAAGAAGTAGTAAAGGCTAGCAGTGCGGAGTGTGGGCAATGTTTGTGGCAATTAGATTAACGTATCTAAAATAATAAAATGCTATGGAAAGTGATGAAAACAGGTCCACGATGCAGGAAGTGGCTTAGGAAGTAGTAAAGTATGAACATATTGTGAGAACCGTCTGTGGCAGTTAGATTAATGTATCTTCAATTCTAAAATGCTATGAGAATGGAAGGAAACAGGCCCCACGACGTAGGAAGTGGTGAAGGAAGTAGTAAAGGCTGGCAGTGCAGAGTGAGGGAACCGTTTGGGCAGTTAGATAAATGTATCTAATACTTAAATGCTAGGAGAAGGGAAGGAAACAGGTCTATGACGTAGGAAATGGTGAAGGAAGTAGTAAGGCTTGCAGTGCAGAGTGTGGGAACTGTCTTTGGCAATTACATTAATGTATCTGCAATCCTAAAATGCTATGGGAAGAGAGGGAAACAGGTCCGCGACGTAGGAAGTGGTGAAGGAAGTAGTCAAGGTGAGCTGTCCGGAGTGTGGGATCTGAGTTTATGACCAATAGATTAAGGTATTTGCATTCCAATAATGCTAAGGGAAGGGAGGTAAACAGGTCCGTGACGTAGGAAGTGATGAAGGAAGCAGTAATGGCAAGTTTTTCGGAGTGTGGGAACTGTTTATGACGATTAGTTTAAGGTATCTTGGTATCTATAATCTTAAAATTCTATGGGAAGAGAGGGAAACAGGTCTGCGACGTAAGAAGAGGCGAAGGAAGTAGTAAGGTGAGCAGTGTGGAGTTTGGGAACTGGAAACCGTTTGTAGCAGTTAGATTAATGTATCTGCAATGCTGAAATGCTATGAGTAGGGATGGAAGCATGTCCACGACATATAAAATGGTGAAAGAAGTAGTAAAGGCTAGCAGTGCGGAGTGTGGGCAATGTTTGTGGCAATTAGATTAACGTATCTAAAATAATAAAATGCTATGGAAAGTGATGAAAACAGGTCCACGATGCAGGAAGTGGCTTAGGAAGTAGTAAAGTATGAACATATTGTGAGAACCGTCTGTGGCAGTTAGATTAATGTATCTTCAATCCTAAAATGCTATGAGAATGGAAGGAAACAGGCCCCACGACGTAGGAAGTGGTGAAGGAAGTAGTAAAGGCTGGCAGTGCAGAGTGAGGGAACCGTTTGGGCAGTTAGATAAATGTATCTAATACTTAAATGCTAGGAGAAGGGAAGGAAACAGGTCTATGACGTAGGAAATGGTGAAGGAAGTAGTAAGGCTTGCAGTGCAGAGTGTGGGAACTGTCTTTGGCAATTACATTAATGTATCTGCAATCCTAAAATGCTATGGGAAGAGAGGGAAACAGCTCCACGACGTAGGGGGTGGTGAAGGAAGTAGTAAAGGTGGGCAGTGTTGAGTGTGGGAATGGATTAATGTATCTGCAATGCTAAAATGCTATGGGAAGAGACTGTAGACTGTAAGTTAAAGAAGCACAAATCGTTACATATTTCGATACGTATTCAATCGTTTACAATATAAATTTACAACTGAGTTGACAACAGCTGAGTTTTACTCCATAGAGGCTAAAAACAAATTTTATTTCCCAAAGAGTAAAAATGTTACTTTAGACCCGCAACGCATGCACCAATGACGACTGTTTTTACTGCATTATGACAAAAACAATATAATGTGAACCATTGATGACTCCGCTCAATTTTGTGGATGCATCTGCGAACGCCACCTAGTTTAAAAGTACATAAATGGTATGGCAGCAGAATATAAGAAAAATATTGTAAAAATGTGGATCAATAATGAATGTAGTCAGATGATGTTGTGATACTAGATACAGTGGGGAACACCTGCTTAACATATAATAATTATTATTATATTTTTTTTTTAAATATTCTTTAACTTATTTAAGCAAGTTTTTAATAGTTGTAGAGAAAAGATTAATTAATTATATAACAATCAATTATAATAGTAGCCTACTAATTTAATGGTAATTAAATAATCTATATTCAAATACTATTATCCTCTCCAACTACCAGAAAAACAATTCAACTACTTGAGGCCTAAACAGATTAACAGAATCATATTATACTGTAGCATAAAAAATATTGTAAGTATTAATTGTGACCATTGCACCTCTCGGCTACTCTTTCACCACTTGAAAACACTTTAAATCAACAATCACAGTTAGCTCAGAGGTAAGGCGTGTGGCTCACATGTCGAAGGTACCGGGTTCGAGACCCGTCCCGGCCTAAAAATTTTATTTCGTTTTATTTCCAAAATAAGTTTTTATTAACTATTTAATCAATTTACTCAACTCATAATTATGCTTTGCATACAAAATCTTTATTATTTTGTGTTTTTTATGTTTATGCCCAATGGGATGGTTGGCCCTTCCGCAAAAATTGGTTGGTTGGCCAACCGTAAGACTGAGTGCCAAAACATACCGTTGGCCAACGATCGACAGAAACGTTGGGCCAACGATTTGCCAACGATTTTTGCTACTTGGGAGTATTTCACAAAATACCTAGATCTGTGGAGGATTTCTGCAAAAATGAAAGAAGTCAGATGATTCTCAGCTGAGCAAGAAAAAACTGACTTTTCCTACAGTTACCTAACAATGTACATGTTCTCTCACTGATTTGAGAAAGCAAAGTGGCCAATTCGCTCATCAGTGAGACAATGTTAACATTGTCTCACTCTGATTACTTTGTCTCACTCCAGATTTGCAACATGAAGGCACGAAATAGTGAGCGTGTAACATGCAGACAAGGTCGTATGCGCGCGAAATACGTTGGCAGCACTGGCTGTAAATCAGCTGGTCAGCTGTTGTACTGTTGTATTTGTCACTTCACATTAAATGTCATATTAAAAGTTCACTTCTGTGTAAAAATATCTCACGTTTCTTTACCAATTGATTTGTTTTATGGTAACTGTAGGAAAAATATAATGTGCAACTCGAGTGCATAGTGCAATTGCCTCACTCGAGAAACCATTCCTCACTCGCCTACGGCTCGTGAGTAAGTATTTCTCTCAAGTGAGTCAATTGCTCCCTTTGCTCACTAGTTGCACAAATAACTATTGTTTTTATCTTTGCTCATTTTGTCATGAATCTATCAGCCATTTTCTGATCGAAAGAGAACAGCTCCTCTAGCATTTACTCTATGTCTCCGGGCCTCTGGAATCGACTGAGATATAAAACGACCCTGCAATAAGTAAGTATGGAATCCTTATTCCTTTTTTGTTTAGAGAGAATGACATCACGATTGTTTATTTTATTTTGCAGAACAACACAGATGTGGTAGAACTGGATATCTACAAGAGTGGGGTATACTTGGGATGTCAGTATGGGCTGGTATCCCTGTACATCTGGGGGGTGGGGGTATTAGCAGCTGGAGAAGGGGCTACAATGATGGGATGTTACGCTGGACAACTGACCATGGAGGTAAATAATAATTTAAGTTATACTTGGTTGTTTGTTTAGAAAAATCTCTGCTTGGATATCTATATTTATAAAAGAGGAAGTTGTATAGTATATATATTTGAACATTATGGATTGCCAAACCGCTCGACAGATTGTAATGAAACTTTCAGGCATTTTTAATCATTATTCAAGGATGGTTTGTGTGAAGTTTGGTGCAGATCTGTCAAAAGGGCTCCGCCCCAGTGGCTCTGGAGTTTCCCATGTTAACTTTATGAGTACTTATATTTAAATGGAATTATTAAAGAATCTTAACAGCTGGTTCAACTAAACAATTTGATTCTGTGATGTTCTAGCATTAAAAAGTTAATAGGTTTACCAAGAGGGTGCAGCACTATTATTTTTTAAATTTATGACAACAGCTAATTTGCAACCAAAAGGTGAGTGAGCGTAGCGAAAGAACTTCAACCTGGAGGCGAGTTAGCGTAGCGAACGAGCTAAACCTGAAGGCAAGTGAGCGCAGCGAACAAGCTCCAACCTAAAGGTGAGTAAGTGTAGCAAACGAGCTTCAACCAGGACATGATTTAGCGATGCGAACGAGCTCATCTTGAAAATGAACGAGCATTTGACATAAAACCACATTAGGACAGGACGACGTCTGTCGGGCCAGCTAGTATAATATATTCCTTAAAAACATAATAAATATGAAATATACCTGTTCATACTGCTCATATATCACCTGTGAATTTAAAACCAAACTATGAATTTACATATTATGTGTACAAATATAAGGAAGAGAAATATGTAAAATAAGGAGCATTTATTCACACTGAAATTAATATTGTCTTAATAAATTGCCATACGATCTTCTTATCCTTTTGCCCCATTATATTTTTTGCATATTTGAATGTTTTTGACTTAATTGTTGATAGTAATTAAACATATTGGCCATATAAAATATACCAGGGGTTCTCAAACTTCACCTACTCAAGGACCCACATAGTTTTAATTATGTATGTAACACGGACCCCCTAAAATTAACTTAACCCCACCACCCCCTATTAACCCCCCCCCCCCGATGACCCCTTAATTTGTATTTTAAATTGATCATTTCAAAAGATGATTTATTTATAATAGGATAAGGATTAGGTTAAACAAATAAATAACCAACAAACAAACAAACCAAAACTGTTATTTTCAGAAATATGCACTTGTAAGTACTGCATATCTCCAGAGAGAACTGTCCCCTGCTGATCCGTCAGGCAAATCTATAAGCAAATGTCTTAAAGGCTTTCACAGTCACAGTAGGCTGTCCAATCTTCGTCTTGGCGAATTTTTGAATCTTCGTATGAGTGATTAAAAATCAATTTGATTAAAATGGTTTTTGTGGACCCTCAAAAACTGCTTGCAGAGCAGTTTGGGGTCCGCGGACAACACTTTGAGAAACTCTGGATACCATAGAAGAGGTGTGTAGTCAATGATATTGGCTATCATTAAAGTTATTAGTATGTTGCAAAAACAATATGCATGATTATGTTGTATGCAAGCCAAGTGATAACAACAATATGACAACAACAATATGTTCGACACATTAGCCAACTGTGAATTGCTCTATTTTCGTTACATATGTTTATCACCTGTAAAAATTCATCATTACATTGTTTACTACGGAAAAAGAATGTTTACTATACAAAAGCTATGTTTACTATCTTTTTGGATTTTGCCGACGTAAACAAACAAAGATTTGTTATTGTTTTGTTCACTTTTTCAATTTTCAACAACCAAAAATGTACAACCAAAGTAAATATTAACTATAAATTGAAGGCATAACCTAAAAAATGCTTTGAGTTCTGTAATGTCCCTAACTGTAATAAAGAAACATCCAATGTATGTTTTAATTAAGAAAATAAATTAATTTTTGTAGTGTAGCGAAAAGTAACGTTCAAAACACAAGTGAAAGTGGGTCTATACATATTCTCGACCATTTAAAGTGCAGGATAAATCTCGCACTACAAACTTATATGGTATCAAATAAATATGTAATGACTCACTTTCTACTCTTGTTACTAAATATACTATTTCTGAATAGCAACTAAAATGTCTGGGAAGCAAGATTTTGTCTGCTAGGCAACCAAAAGGACTTAGGTCTACGTTAGAACGGAGATAACATTTTATTATTAGCTATTATTAATTTCCCAAATTCAGTGAATGAAGTGATTTGACTCTAGTCCTCAAGAAATATTTCACTTTTCTACATATAACTACAAAAATTAATATATCGCTTACAATAGTGTAAATATTTTCCAAAACATAAATATTTAATCTTTAATTATACATTCAAAAAACATTTATGACAGACCAATTTTTTATTCAACGGTAAATTTAAAAATAAAAACGCCAATTAAAAATACACCAAAAGAAAATACCTCCTGGAATGACTTCAATTACAGTGTATCAATCATACACTACTCTTACATGAAGTGAATTTCATTGCCAGTTATTGCCTAAACATACAATTTCTGCTTTCTGCTTCGCAAACTCCTTCTTGAGGGAGGAGCCACATGTTCACCAGGGAGAGTGTAAGTGTTCGGAACTCGGCCACACAATACATCAGCCAATCGCGGGTCTATTTGCTCACTTGAACTATCTTCATCTTCACAGTCGTCCGTAGATGTTTGTGATTGTAATTCAATTGATTCAGAAGACAGGCAGTTGTTTACACCATCTTTACGCAGGAGATTTGAAACTCTTTGTAATCTAAAAATAAACAAAAGTTTCATAAGTAGATGCACAGACTAACCAACACAATTAGACTTCCCATCCCATTGTAAAATTTGAAGCTCGTTTTTCGTGTCTAGTTCATGTTGGTGACACTGGGTGCTATCAACAAAATTTTGTTTCTATTATTTTATTTAAATGGTTTGTGCTTTACTGTTTGGTTGTATAACTAGGGGACGAGTTGTTGTTTATGATTGAGCTTAGATCGTTTCATTTTGTTAATCGAGGTTTTAAATGACTGAAATAACAAGAAACAAATTGTAAACAAAAACACAAACTTAGCAGCACCAGACAGAAGTAACAATAAAATTATTTTCAGCTGATCCATAAGGATGACAAATCTACTAGGGGAGTTTTTTTTATATTTTTATTTATGGCACAGGTGATATTTTGAGTAGGTAGGTGTAACTTATTTAGGTAAACAAAGTTCAATTTCCAGGAATTGAAAATACAAAAAAATTTTTGTAAGTTAGGTATAGAATAATTTTTATTAGTAGATTATTCACAAAGGTAAATTATATAATAACTTTCAAAATTTACAAATTTACAATTCTTACAAAAAAAGACTAACAAAATTTAGGAAATCGGATGATTGTTTATGGAAAGGGCTTATGGGAAAAGGTTTTTGTGTTGTACTGTATGCAAAATAGAAAGACTTGATCCAAGTACAGTAAAATACTTTTGATAAACATATATAACACATAAGTTAATTATATTAAGTTAATAAATAAGTTAATATAAGTTAATAAATTAATTGCATTAACACACTATCATTTGATATTGATTTATTTTTTAACCTTGCAACTTAGTTAGAAAATCAACTAATTATCCAACAACATTTTTAAAGTTAAAGATTTAAAAAAAAAATTCTCTTTTCAAAATATACATGGTAAAAAACCCCGCATGGAAGAGTAGTAGGCTTAATAGTTAGCAAGGTTAAAAAAACAAATTCACAAAATTTATTGTAAAAAAATAGCAACAAGAATGTAGAAGAGTCCAAGATAAGCAATCATGAAACAATGATTTAATTTCATTACAATTGATTTTTATCAGTAAATTACCTACTTATTATTAAATAAAATTTTATTTTATTTTACTTACAACAAGTCAGACTTTTGAACAGTCGTCATTACAAATACTAAGCTTATAGACCAAAGTATGAGCACACAAGGAAGGTCCATATTCCATTTCAGACCATTTTTGAGCTTTATCTGAAAATTTATAATAAGTATAAAAACAAGTGAAAAATTGAAATAATAATGTACTTTAAGCATTTTCTAGGATAAAAATTACTGTACATAATTCCCCAGGTATGATTATTATTCAAAACATGAGAGCAGTGGGTTTCTTTTAACTAAGCTGGAGAATTGTTTAATGTTCCCGGTCTCAAGAACAATAATTGATTAAATATTTAGGTTTACCTTATGGTTGCCAGGTTCTGTAAGTGTTGATATGAGGAATGAGGCCCCCTTCATAAATAGTCCGCCGACCAATTAAGTAAATTAGTGCTTAAGTAGTGCTTTTAGTGCTTAGTAAATTAGTAAATTGCTTATTAGTGAGTCGGTGGCTCAGTCGGTAGCGTCCCGGACTTCAGGCCCAGGGCAGCGATGTCGTGGGTTCGGATCCTGGTCACTGCCGATAACATTTTATCAGTACAGTTCACCTTTGTACTGTACCGGCTCACTCCTTGCTTTGCTGTAAACGATCCACGCACGGGCGCTTAGTCTATGTGGACGGGCAAATGCAAGGTTAAAAGAGGCCGCCAACCTCTTAAAAAATAAATAAATAAATAAATAAATAGTACTGTATAATTATTTTTAGTGTTTTAAGTGATGAAAGTTATGCAAATATAAACTTTGCTCCTGATGATGCCATACACGTGACAAAAATTTACATCGAGCTTAGATCAACATACTTCATGAAACTGGCAACCATAAGATAAACCTACATATATTAAATAAGCATTCCATATTTTACAACCTCATATTGATAGGAGTTTTCCAATTTTAAACAGTGTTGAATGTGGTGTATGTACCTGCTTAATGCAGGTTTTCCTAGCTGTTAGGTATACATCGCAACCCGCGGAGTCCGCAGAGCACACAATCCACTTGATACGTAAGAATGTTTTCCTAGGAATAGTACGCCGCAGGCCCAGCGGAGTTCAGACTATGGGACTCGCTGACTCATTCTAGTGGAGTCTATGTTGCAACGGGATAGCGAGGAGTTCGTGTTGTTGAAACTTGAAGTCCGCACCCCGCAAAGTCTAGGAAAACACTAGCCTGTCTTTGGCTGCGGTAGGGTAAAAAAATTCACTGACCGCCGCACCCTGCTGCAGCGTATACTCCGCAGCTAGGAAAACCCGCCTTTATGGTGATCCACAGACTGCAGTTAGGTACCTACAAAAATTGTGCCATCTCAAGGATGTACTTAGACGTACTGTAAAGTATTGTAATAGTTCCCTGTTGGAAACTGTCACTTTTAAATATCATGACATAACAGTAAAAGCAAAATTCCAATTGCTTAAAAAATCTGCTAATTATTTTTTATGTGTTTTTGTCTTGGGTAGCCTATTTTTCGCAAGTGTTGAATTTCACACATATGGATTGAAATAGAAATTGTGGTAGGTACAGTAAGTTGGAATACTACAGGAATGCTAAATGGTTGTCTCTCTTAGTTCATCAACTGAGATTTTTTTTCCTGTAGACTATGTCTTTTATTTACCCCTTTAGAAGGAATCACATAGTGTGATTTCAGGAAAAAGAGGAAGTCATTATGACCAGTTTTGTTCATTGCATCTGCTAATAAACTATTTTATTTCTAGGCCAAAAAATCTATTCAGATTAACAAACTCTACAACAATTAATCATAAATCAAACTAAACTTTATATTGTAGCCGACTAGCCAATCCAACATACACTGGTAGAACATAGGCTAGTATGTTGATAAGTAACAGTGTATAGCTTATGTATGAAATTGTACTAATCTTTTGTAGACTCGCTTGTATCGTTAATATGACCGTTTAAGATGATGGAAAAGAGGAAAAGAAATTGTGCTGTTGGTTGTATAATAGGAATTTATGTCTAAGCTAAGAGAGTATTCATTGGGTTAGACAATATTCATTACTATAATAGGCTAATTGGGGAAAGTAGTCCACCTTTACTGTTACAAATGTGTACAAATATTAAAGCATTACCTCATGTAATGAAGTTGAGAGGACATCTAGCATCAGGTACTCTAATGTTTCCCAAATGAAAGTCATAGTAATCATAAATACCGGAAATACCAAACTTCCAATCAGCTAGAAAAAAAATTAAATTAAAATAAGAGGGAAATTTAGTTTTTTTGTTGAAATTGGAGCAAAGATAATTTTTGCATATTCAGCAATATGAATTTCTGTCTTAGCACTACGTAATTATATTTTAAATTTCAAAATAATACTACCTTCTTAAGCTCTAAACAGTATATTGAACACAAGAGCGCCAAAACAAAACTTCCACAACATCTGTAATGAAGTACGACTCAACAAAATAAAATTGGCTAAAAGCTAGGTTCGATAATACGATGGGCACTAAAATATATGCTTTAAAAGCTTATACAATGCAATAAAATATAAAAATTTGCCCAACCCAAAAAAAATATTCATAAACAAACAATCTAGCAAGCTATGTATTGTCTGTAAGGATAACATTGGAAGACCACAAAAAAACTGAGCTAAGTACTTTTAATATCTTTTTAACAAATAGACGTTGGATATAGGTTATTATAATCTGACCAATAAGAAATTGTGTTTCATAAATGAACTTCCATAAAAACCCATAGCGATTTAGGCTACTTACAGACAATATTGTGCAGTTGAAATATTTCTTCAGATGAATCAGATGACTATTGATCTTATAAATGAATAGTACAACACCAAAATAATATAAAAACGTGCTACCCGGATTTGTCTTTTTACAATGTGATACTTCTGATGCAGAACACAATAAATACTGCAACCCAACATATAAAATAAATTGAAAAACCGTCAAGATTATAGGCATCATTTCAATCGGTTCTGTTTTTGATTTGTTTGTTTGAAAACAATGAACATGTTTATAAGGTTGTGATAAACATATGACTTAATTTCAGTCATGTTTTTTTTTTTTTTTTTATCAAAACTGTGAGTTATTTTTGGCATTTTAATTTTATATTTTGTGCCTTTTAAGAGTTGAAAATTTACCATCACCTGTGACAAAATGGAACTGTAGGATAAATTCAATTGTTTACAAAACAAATCCATAAAAAAAATGATCATGCTTGATCATATTGATAATCTAATCCTAATTTGTTTGATTTTACAGGGGTTTCTTCAGTTGAAATGGGTAAGATGGAAGAGAGTGATGTTTACCCGTTCCATTGCAATCCTGCCGACATTCTTCGTAGCGTTCTTCAGCACGCTACCTGAACTCAGCGGCCTTAATGACCTACTCAACGCAATGTTCAGCGTTCAAATCCCGTTCGCAACTCTACCTCTCATAGCTTTTACAAGCAATCCTCGTCTCATGGGCCAATTTGTCAATGGGATGTAAGTAATATATTAATTAAACTAAAACTTGTAGTACATTTTCTAAGAAAGTATCACATTCTATAGTTGGTAGTCTAACTTGAGTAATACCATAGATAAAACATACTCCCTTAGTAGATTTCTCATCCTTATGGAACAGCTGAAGACAATTGTATTGTTAGTTCATGTACGGTTTATGTAGAGGTCGTGTTTTGTTTACAATTTGTTTCCCGTTATTACAGCCATTTAAAACCTCGTTCAGCCAAATAATACGATCTAATCATAAACAATAACTTGTCCCCTAGTTATATAACCAAACAGTAAAGCACAAATCAAGAAATGAACCCTGAAATAATGGAAACGACGTTTCATCGACACTAGTGCCTTTGTGTCACGTACATGAACTAGACACGAAAAACGTGCTTCAAAATTTACAATGGGATGAGAAGTCTACTTGTGTTGGTTAGTCTGTGTAATACTCATAAAAGGTCAAATAATTGGTATGCAAAAAGAATTATTTTGTAATGTTTGCAGTATGTTATCTTTCTTTCATCATCAATGTTTTCCCAAACATTAAAGTCTATTAACACAATTTTTTTATTACCTATAAAATATTATAATCCATTTCAATTTGTTTAAACCTAAATTATTGTTTCTGTCAGAGAACCTAAGTAAAACCACTGTAAAACTTTAATTAATATAGTGTAGTAACATCAAATTTTCTCAACAATTAGTAAAAAACTTAAAAATATTAAGTTATGATGGTTCAATCTTTTTTTAGTTTGGACAAGTGAATGGTTCCAAGGATTAAGATATATACTGTATTATTATATGACAATCCAACATAAATTTAAACTTTGTACATCAGATAATTAATTGTTTTTCAGGGCAATGAAGACTGTGATGGTGCTTGTTTCGCTTGTTGTGATTGCTGTAAACATAGTATTTGTTGCTTCATCAGTATTTTCCGCAGCCCTCGGAAACTGGTGGCTTTTGTCCTCGGTTGGTCTGTATGCCGTATTGTACGTAACTATGTGCGGTTACCTCATACTGCACATGTTTTCCAATATGTCTGCCTCTCAGAATAAGTTTACAAAAGTCATAGTCAAAGACAATTGGACAAATGATGCAATGGACCATTGGGTACATAATTAAAATAAGTGCCAACTTTGACCAAAAAATCATACAGTATTTTGTTAAGCAGCTTATATTTTCCGCGACAATGGTTAGTTTTCTCACACAATTATCGACTACACCACTGCATATGATATCACTCATGCTGTTCATGAGTGATATTGTAAATAAGTTTGTATATTGATCACCATTAATATTGTGTGTTTTATTTAATTTTTTACTTTAATATAGGCTACCTTCTGATCTGTTTCAGTAATGTAATGAACCAGGTGAGATGAGAATTATTATTTGTTGGTATCCTCTATTATTTTAAACTAGTGCATCTGTTGCTCGAATTCGAGCGATTGCAAAATATTAAAGGCGTTTTCTTAAACGAATAACAGTCACAATTTCCGTTGACTTAAAAGAGTCAACTCAAAGATAATGTAATAAATCACTCCACTCCAGTTATCGAAACTGGAAACGAACTCATACTCTGAAAACAAACGCTCACTCCACTCGATCTATCGAAACTGAAAACGAACACTGTTGTGTGTATCATGTGTTTACTATGAACAGCTGTCATTAATACAAATTATTCGTCTGTTTAAATAAATAAAATATTTTCTTCATAAGAAATACATTGAGATTTTGATGGCCTGTGGGGCAAAGCCCAAAGACTTTTATTACAGGAATTTGTGAAAGGGGGCGTCTACACAAAAAATACTTAATTTTGACACCTTGTTTGTAAAAATCCATCAATTATTATTGGGGGAGTAGTGTTTCGTAGAAATCGCCTTCACGTATTATATATAAGGATTGCAATAATTAAAGGGTTTTTTATATCTATCTCAACACCAACAATCCTTTCATTGCAACGTTGAGCATACAAACAATCAACATCCTATTATAAATTGGATTGTTGAAATTGAGGCAGGTAAACTACCCAGTCATTAAACTATACACTGTTTACCTTTACTAATATTGACTGGCCATTTTTTTATTAATTCAAAGTAAGTTTTACAAGTTGCCCTTTACTCGTTAATTATATACCAGAGGACAAGTATAAGTTTACAAATAGATCAACTTGGTTGTAATTATTTAAATTTAACACTAAAAGACTGTACAAATTAAGAGAAGACAACTGACTGAAATATTACTAGACATAAGAAAACATCGATATTGCTTTTAGCTGAAACTTTTGAACTATGGTAATTTCCATCCAAACTGTTTTGAATAAGCCAATAATTTCTCATACATTTTAATACCACCAGATTTTTATGATTAAACGGATAAGGTTTATAAGTGAAAAGTTTTTTTTTTTTTTTTTTACAAATATATGTATTAAAACCATAGGAATAAAATGTAAATTTATTTAGTATTATTTTTAAAACTAAAACTACAGTATTATTTTAATATGAATAATAGTGCATAGATTTATTAAAACATGTAAATTAATAAATTTTGCTGCTAATTTTGTACTTTATTTTGATACTCTTATGGAAAAATGTATCTTTATTCTATACAATAAACCGTGTAAAAAAGTACAAAACCTGTGGTTTAATTTCTTTTTTTATCAGTCAACAAGTTGTACAGTGAAAACTCTCAAATATTGCACCAATTTTGAATCAACCCAAATCTCTGATTAACAATATTAAATTGCAATGAATTCAATGATTTTAAAAACAAACCCACCATATGAGTTTTCTTTTACAGTTGTGTTCAATGGCGGATCCAGAGGGGGGGGCGAAGGGGGCGATCGCCCCCCCCTCGGGCATACATATACATATTTTTTTACTGCATGTAATACTGTACAGTAGTGCATACACATTGCGTAAAATAATTTGTAACACTAACTTTATACAAAGAAATTGTATAAAACTGCCATTTTGGAGACTTAGTTTACACAAATCTTTAAGGGGGGTACCCCCGTACCCCCCAGACTCCCTGTGACCCCCCCCCCCTTGTGACTGTTCTAGATCCGCCACTGGTTGTGTTCCCAAAATCAAATAAATTTTTACTTTTTCAACATTTATTTCTAATTAATTATTTCTATCAACCAAGCATTTGTATTGGTTTACCAACAAAACATGATGTAAAGTGAAACACTAAAAAAATTATTTCCTTTCTTACTTAGTTAACATTTACTGTTAATATTAGTCTGATCTAATTACAAAATTAGTTTTCTTTGTTATCTGATAAACACTTTTTTTGTTTTAAGCATAAAAGTAGTCCAAAAACTATTAAAAACATCCCCTTAAAATTTTCAAATTAATAGTTTATTGCTATAAGTCTGGCAGTAAGTTACAACAATCATATGGTACCGGTACACAACATAAACATTCCCAAATCATCCAACACCATAGAATTTTTTAACCTCTAAATTTTTTTGGAAATAATTAAATTTTTATTACAACCAATTTTTATACAGGGCACAGCATAAATTGCAAGCTAAACATGATGACCACAAGACATTAAGTAATTTGTGGTTCCTGGGAAAAGGTAGTGACATAAGACATGATTGCATGTATCTAGTGTTAATTATGGTTAACCATAGTTGTAGACAACAGTGGGAGTATTTCAAGGTTACGGTATGTGCAGAGTTTGTATCATTGCTTGCTTGTGTAAAGTACAGTCTGAGTCAAGCAGGGCTGTGTTGGAGGAAAGTTAACTAAAATGAAAGGTAAAAAGTATGTCTATACAATATTATTTTCTTACTCTCCACAGACCATTATCGGGGCAGCTCTTATTTTATAAAGTATAATTAATTGTGCTATTTTTATTGTTAGTTATATATCAACTCCAATGAATAATAGTAAAAGTTAAATGTAGATTTAATTAGTTTGTTTACATGAGTTGAATAAATTATAGCAACAATTATGTACGGTTGATGTTCTGTTTAGTAAATTTCAAGTAGGGACAAAATAATTCTTAGAAAGTTAAAATTATATCAAATTGTTAAATTTAGGACGATTTAACTTATTTATTATTATGTTTGATAACTAGTCAATTGACCCACCTAATCAGTAATCAATAACTACTGATTTTTTCATTATTAATATTACTGTAATTATAATCTTATTTTATGAGCGTCATTACACCATTAGTATTTAATATTTTTTTACTATCTAAAGCTGACTTTTAGCACAGTAAAAGGCTGTTAAATGAATTAAAAAAACCTTACATAATAATCTGTGAAAGATAATTCAATTCATTCATGTTGAGCTGTCATTAATCTATTGTACTTTTCACAAACAAGCCCACTTTATAACAACATACTCTTCATCCAAACTTGACAATAATGGAAACATGGATCATTTGAAGGATCAGAAATGTGAAAATCTAATTTTACTTCCATTTTGGTATTTGACAAGTATCTAGTCTACATTCTGAAATGTAATACACATTGAGATAATCATTCAAGAATTATTTGTTGACAGAATTTCAACTTATCGATTTAAAAGCAGCTTTTATTTTATAGTTTGACAGCGTCACACACAACTCACGTTCAGGCAATCTACATTGCACACAACTCATCACATTCAAGTATTCTACAACAATACGCACATCTTATATCCAAACATTCTACAAGATTACACAAAACTTAATGCATTTCCAGCTCCAGATTGCTTGCAGTGAGATATCAACTTGATAGATTTGCTGATAAGCTTAAGTTGTGAACTGCAATCTGAATGGCTTCTTCCCCAAAGATAAACGATTGATAACACATTATCTGAGAATGATGAGGACCTTACGAATGTGATCTGGAGTTGGTACTCAGGATTGGAGTGGGTCTACGTGAGGAGGGTCAAGTAACCTGTGTCGGTAAGTCAACATGTCAAGCGAACAAGATGAATATGACTGCGACAATGATACTCCAAAGATTCAGATACCCGAGACTGAAAATGTAAGTATATTTCAATGCTTGACTTAGATTTGACTATATGTAGCCTATAAACAGTCTAGTAGAATGGACAACCACAGATGTAGGGTTCTTGCAGCTAAATAAGTATTATTTTTAGTTTGGAAAAGATTAAGGTATATTTTATATTTCAATTAATTTTTACTATTTTATGAATTTGGTTAGTACACATTTTTAACCACGGTATCTAGTTTTATAAGAGGATAGCTTAATATTGGTTCTATGTTTTAAAGCTACCAAAATAGGTAAGGGAAATTTAAATTGTCGTTTATAAAGAAATTTTTATTTTGGAACACATTTATTTTTATGAATGAAAAATGCAAAATAATTTGAATTAATTAATTAGCTTTGAAATGTATTCTTTAGGTTTTGTAGATGCATCTTATAGGTGAGTATAGGCATACATATTATTTGGAGTTTCAGTAAAAAAAATGTGAAATTTTTCTGAATATTTTAGTTAGTGGTTATTCTGTGGTTGAATAAATTAATTAAGAAAAAAATGTTTTCCCTAGGCTATGCCTACTGCTTTTTACTTAGAGGCCTATTCCTTTAACTGAAAATGTTGTATTTCAATGAGTGACTTGGTTTTGAACTTTATCTTATAGGCAGCAGTTCTTGCTCTAGAGAGGTATTATTTTAAATATAAAATAAAAATATGGTACTGTAAATACAGGGTATCTGGGCTAGAGGTATCAAGAAATAACTATCTTGTATATTATTAAAATGCAAGTTTTATTTAAAAATAACAATGCTATGTCATACAACCAATTGGTATCATATTCAGTAAACAATGTGATCACCATAAGTAGTTTAAGAGTTCCAATCGATAATTAATCTCACTGACTCACTGTATACCTTTTATTGTGGCGTCAACATATTTCTATCATAAGAAACTTACAGCTTACAGCTAAATGAAAACCGTGACAGCAGGAATGACTACAAACAATGTTATGGATTTAAAACCAACAATTTTGTAAACATCATTAGGCTGATATTCACATTTAGTGGCTATGTTGTTGTTATGGCCAGAAATGATCCAGCTTGGTCTCATGGAAGGACTGCATTTTCCTTAACTTGTAGTTTTTAGGTATTGTGTTTGTAATACGACCTGTTGAGTCCTTGGAGGCTAGCAGCCATCTTGGATAATTTCAAACAGCCGCTGAAGAGTTATTTACCATCTAAAAATATTTGTTCAAACATCAGTGTGATTTTGATGTAAATATCTAGTATTCTGTGAGATTAGAAATTTTCTTTGTAGTTTTTTTTAATTGTTGTTAGAACGTCTATGCTCCAAGGACTCTTCGAACACAATCTTTGTTGTGTGTATGACATGTTGGCATGGTTATTTTGAAAATTACATTTTAATATCATACGGATACGAGATATTTCTTTCTTTGATACACACCTATTGTGTGTAGTTTATGAACAGAAAATTGGTCAAGCATTCTTACTAGAATGATGTGGTTTTATTTATTATATTGATTTCAAGCCTTTGTTTTGAGGCTTAAAAGTAGCATAATTTTTTTAATTTGCTTATACCCAATTCAATTACTAATAGCAATAGCTACACTTACCCACATTGGTGCGAACCCAAACAAAACAATAATAAAAAATAAACTGGTGTTTCCTCGTTAATTTTTCTTATCAAATTGAATATAAAAAAACACTGACTCAGTTGTTGTAAGCTTTCCACCCTCTGCAATTGTTTACAGGATGATTTCTCGTTCCGTAAGCTATGGGCATTCACGGGACCTGGGTTTCTACTGTGTGTGGCGTACTTGGACCCTGGCAACATAGAAGCTGATCTACAGGCTGGAGTTGTTACCAAATACAAGGTTATTGTCAGTTATGAGGCAACACTTACACTACGATCAGCTTCCCATTTCGTTCAATGTTTGGATTTAACCTAACTTAAAAATATGTTCAAAAATTGATTATTTATATGGTTTATAACTGTAGGAAAAATAGAACGTGTAATGCGAGTGCAAACTACCACTTCGCCCACTATAGTTACACAAATAACTATTTAAATGATTTACTTCTAGTACCACAGTATATTTTTAGCGAATTTCCCAACAAGACTACAAGATCGCGCCACTCATCATACACTCATCTCCATTCATACTTGGCTTAAAGTACCTACTTCGTATGGTCGCCATTTCAAAGAAAAGTACAAACTAAAAAAAAAGTATAGGGAAGTATAGCTATTAAACTGTAGGTGGCACGTAAGGCCTGGAACCGGGACCGATATACTTTTTCATTTAGATGTCCCTAGAGGCCAAAAACACAATTCGTTATGGAGAATATTGTAAAATGTTGTAGTTTGCTTGTTTATGGAAATATTTTGATCAAACTTGGCAAATTCATTTACTAAGCTACTAATATTTTACTAAAAAGACACTTTTAGCCTCCCTGTAGCAGCAAATCTAGGTACTCGTTAAACCTTATTCTATTTAAATAGATTTAATTTAAAATCAATTCAGGCAAATGGAAATTCGCTTAGTCTGCAGGTTTGTTATGGCGGAGGTATTTTTACCTACATGATGAACGCTTGACTTTTTATACTTCAACACCGATTGACATTTACAAAAGAAATTGTATTATGTTGAGTAATGTTTGATTCTAGCAATAAAGTATATGAATTATTGCTTTTTCTTGAGTTGGCCTGTCTGCACAGCACAAAACGTGGATGGACTTTAACGGCTTAACACTTCTTAAGGTTTTAATTGGTGAAACTTTTCATTATTTCATTAGTAAATTTCTCATGTCCTTAGAATATTTTGAAACTAAAAACTTCTCAAAACAAGACATTAGACCATTACAGAATACACACGGTTAATACCTCAGCGTTCAGCTATGATACAAATGTTTGTTCCGTAGATCTTATGGGTTCTCCTGGGATCCACGGTGCTTGGTCTGATGATGCAGCGCCTGTCTCTAAGGCTAGGAGTGGTGACTGGCAGACATCTGGCAGAGATGTGTCACCTCCAGTACCCGACACTGCCTCGTCTCTTCCTCTGGCTGATGATAGAAGTGGCCATCATCGGCTCCGACATGCAAGAAGTCATCGGAACAGCCATCGCACTCTATCTGCTCTCCAACAAACTGTGAGCACCAATACTTTGGGTGTTTTAAGCTGTATGTTTGAAACAATGTGTAGAGACAGACAGTGGCGGTTCTAGGACCTTGTCAAGGGGGGAGGCTACTGGGGAGCTTGGGGGGTGCCCCACACCCCCCAATAACACAGGGGGGTCCTCCCCCGGGAAAATTTTGAATTTTCAAAGCAGTTTGGTGACTTTTTAAAGCCATTTTTAACACCTAAAACAGTACCCAATTGTCCATAAACTCCCATTTCACTTGTTGTTTGTCATGAACAAACAGACATTAAAAACATTAAACTATGGTGATTGCATTAATGAATTTCAAAACATACTGTATCCTCCTAAAAGCCGTTGGGTGACTTCTACAGCTAGTTTTTACGTGTAGAACTGTGTGCAAAACCTCCCATTTCCCCATTTATTTGTCATGAATAAGTAGAATAAGTACTCTATGCAGATGCCGCACTGAGCGGCAAAATGCGCATCGAGTAGTATTAGTTCAAACTACAAGACCTTCAGGCAAAATAGGTAAATAATTACTGAGTGATATCTGTTCCAGAATCCCACTCTGGGTTGGAGTAGTAATCACAGTAGTGGACACCTTCATGTTTCTGCTGCTCGACAGATACGGACTTCGAAGACTGGAGCTATTTTTTGCGATGTTAGTAGCCGTAATGGTCTTCACTTTTGGATATGAGGTAGGTACTTAGTTATTTTAATCATAAATTATTATAATTTTCTTACTATTTATCAAGTAATAATTTTACGGTTCAAATTATGTTCTTGATATAAAAAAATTAAGTAGAAATCATTTAAGATAATAATTTATTCCAAGGAATCACAAAATAAAAAGTAACTAGAATTCAAGCACATTTTTAGTGCCTGGAAAGTAATAAGTGGAAAAAGTTAAGGAATAAATTGTATTACATGATTGTAGTTAGTTTGTGGTGGCTCGACCTAGTGGTCTGTAGATGTTAAAGAGTCTGGCGGTGTGATAACTGTGGCAGTTATGTGTTACAACTGCTTTTATTTTGTTTGTTGACAGTTTGTGGTGGCTTGACCTAGTGGTGTGAAGATGTTAAAGGGTCCGGTGGTGTGATAACTGTGGCAGTTATGTGTTACAACTGCTTTTATTTTGTTTGTTGACAGTTTGTGGTGGCTCGACCTAGTGGTCTGTAGATGTTAAAGAGTCTGGCGGTGTGATAACTGTGGCAGTTATGTGTTACAACTGCTTTTATTTTGTTTGTTGACAGTTTGTGGTGGCTCGACCTAGTGGTGTGAAGATGTTAAAGGGTCTAATGGTGTGATAACTGTGGCAGTTATGTGTTACAACTGCTTTTATTTTGTTTGTTGACAGTTTGTGGTGGCTCAACCTAGTGGTGTGAAGATGTTAAAGGGTTTGGTGGTGTGATAACTGTGGCAGTTATGTGTTACAACTGCTTTTATTTTGTTTGTTGACAGTTTGTGGTGGCTCGACCTAGTGGTGTGAAGATGTTAAAGGGTCTAATGGTGTGATAACTGTGGCAGTTATGTGTTACAACTGCTTTTATTTTGTTTGTTGACAGTTTGTGGTGGCTCGACCTAGTGGTGTGAAGATGTTAAAAGGTCTGGTGGTGTGAGAACTGTGGCAGTTATGTGTTACTACTGCTTTTATTTTATTTGTTGTGTTGACAGTTTGTGGTGGCTCGACCTAGTGGTGTGAAGATGTTTAAGGGTCTGGTGGTGTGAGAACTGTGGCAGTTATGTGTTACTACTGCTTTTATTTTATTTGTTGTGTTGACAGTTTGTGGTGGCTCGACCTAGTGGTGTGAAGATGTTTAAGGGTCTGGTGGTGTGAGAACTGTGGCAGTTATGTGTTACTACTGCTTTTATTTTATTTGTTGTGTTGACAGTTTGTGGTGGCTCGACCTAGTGGTGTGAAGATGTTTAAGGGTCCGGTGGTGTGAGAACTGTGGCAGTTATGTGTTACTACTGCTTTTATTTTATTTGTTGTGTTGACAGTTTGTGGTGGCTCGACCTAGTGGCGCGGAGATGTTGAAGGGTCTCGTGGTACCATGGTGTGAGAACTGTGATAGTTCTGTATTGCTACAGGCCATCGGTATCATTGGTTCCACAATAATGCCTCATAACTTGTATCTGCACTCTGGCCTGGTCAAGGTAAAAATGATCATGACTATTTTCTTTCATGTAGTCTCTCTACTTAATTCAATAAACAAAACTCCAAATAACTTATTTTTTAAATTCAATTTAAATTAGAATTTATTTCACAAAAGAAACATTTTACAGGCAAATATACATTAAGTTAGATTTACATAATTACTGAAGCTAAATTTTTAGGCTATGTCTAAAATCTAAAGCCAAATACAGTTTTGCAATTTTGTTTTGTCTTATTATTATCTGTTAACTTCAGCAGAAACCCATCTCGATACTCCAGGATGGTCACAAGTGTTCCAGATATATTTTTAAAGTTTTGTTTACACAATACAATATGTTTGACATGTGTAAAGATCTTTACAATAAGTAGTTTCTGTGGAGGGGTTTCGTTTCCTTAAAAACTACCACGGTTTTCCTCAAAACTGACTTGAAACAAACCCTTGCAATTCTGTTTTTAATGGAGAAAATTATCACAGAAGATTAAGCAAGATTTATTTAACTGCTTGTGACCTCAACTTTTTCATTAACCTATTCATTACCACATTAGGTTAATCTTATTAGGTTAATCTATTATTTTTTAGTCCAGACAAGTGGATCGGTCCAAAGCCAATAAAGTTAGAGAGGCCAACAAGTACTTCTTCTTTGAGTCGTTCATGGGCTTGACTGTCTCCTTCACTATCAACGCATTGATTGTATCGGTGTTCGCCAGCGAACTCTACGAACACACCAATGCGGATGTGGTGAGTTGAGATGTGTACAGAATCATTATTTCTTTTTGTTTTCATGTAAAAAAAGCTAAAATATAGTACTGTCAAGTGTTCCTGTTTTTGCTTGGCTAACCAATGATTTCTAACCTAAAGGTTGTAGAATACCATGCAACAAATAATCCTCTACATTACTAAGGTTTTGAATATTTGCCATCTTCAAAAGTAAATGTCATCATATTAACAGTAAATTGTTTTATGTGTGTCTTGAGGTGAGTGTATGTGTTGAGGATGACTCTTCACAACCACAGATCAAGAAGAGGGTTATTTAGCCTATAGACTCTAGTATTTTATTGGAAAAAACCGTATAATTTTATACCATTTATTGTCCAACCAAAATAAAGGGATCATGAGTCAATTAGTTATTTATTTTTTTTATAATGGAAATCCTTTGTTATTAGTTTAAATTAATTTTTAGTAGTACATTTATTTTTAGAAAATAAAATTGACCATTTTATGTTTCTTTAGATGAAGATTTGCTTGGACAGTGATGTCCCACATGATAACATTTTCCCCGTAAGTAAAACAAAAGATATACATATAACATAGAAAATAAAATAGCTTATTGGTAGGTTATACATTTTTATAACTGAATATCGTTAAATTATATCAAGTAGGCTGGCTACATTTCTCATCACAGGTTAAAAAAAAGGATGGTTCAACACATTTTAGAACTTGGAATCTGTTCCCGTCTTCACTTGGGTTGGATCTTAGAACAAAAATGGTACATAAACCAGAAAAAACACAATATCTGGAGGCAACAAATGTTAAGAGCAGTTAAAGGAAGAAAGACACAACAACAACAAAAACACTGCACCACACAGTCTGATGACTGTAGGATCTGTTTTATTTAGAGCAATCAATACCAGTTCCTGAACACATTGTGAAATTTAGTGTTTTACAAACCAGGAATGGAAAGTATCCACAATATCTAATTAAAATAACCGATTACCTGCAAGTTAAGTTGTTAGAAAAATAATACTGTTACAAACAAATTTTGTTTGAATTATTTCAGAATACTTAAGTGTTTACAATGATAATATTGATCAATAGATGAATCAGGTTAAATTATCACCTTAGTTTTAAACGGAAAAGGAAAAACAACAACTTGAAGTAAAATGCAATCAATAAAATCTATTACAGCTGGGTAGGTATGCGAGAGAAGCGCATTCCTATCAATAGTGAGTAGTAAGGTTGCCAGTTCGGTACTAAGAAAATTGAGAGACTTTTTGTTGGTTTGAAGCTGAAACCAGCTGAGCTTAGTAAGTAACAAAGCTGCAGTTCATTCATTCAACACTCATTCTAATTTATCTTGTCCACAAAATATACCCTCGTGAGGTGTGTTGGTGTTGTAGAAATCTCGTCTAATCCAATCAACATTTCAGAAGAAAAATTTCTTTACATAACTTTAAGGTTTGTTCAAGAACAACACAGAGATTGTGGAGCTGGACATATACAAGAGTGGGATCTTCCTAGGCTGTAGGTTCGGCCTGGTAGCCATGTATATCTGGGGTATAGGTGTGTTGGCTGCAGGGGAGGGGACGACAATGACGGGATGTTATGCAGGACAACTTGCAATGGAGGTAAGCTCAAAAGGTATTTTTCTATTTTTTGTTTCTCTTTTCTCTAAACATCAAGATTGTTATTCAAGTAGAACCCGGGTTAACCGTAACAGTTCCATAAAATAATACAGGGATAGAATATGCTTTCGTAACATCAGTGGTTTAGTTTAAAGTATTTTGTAACCCATCGTACTTTGTAGCTGAAATAAAACACTGTGTTATATAGACATCTTTTTACATTCATTTTTCGTACACACTGTGGTAATACATAGGCTATTTTTAGCATTAATGGGTTAACCCAAATATTTGTTATCCGAAACGGCTCTCCCCCCTTTATTTTGGTTAGCCGGGGTTCTACACTGTAGTGAATTTCTCATATAGGGAATTAGCTATTACCATAGATCTCATGGTAAGACCTGATCTGGGACTGATTTACTTTTTAGAAAATTTCCCATAAAGGGAATAAGCTATTACCGTAGGTCTCATGGTCTAGGTGAGACCTAGACCCGGGACCAATTTACTTTTTCGTTTCGAGGTCCCCAGAGGCCAAAAACACCCTCCATTCAAATTCATATATATAAACTTTAAGGGTACTAAATGTTTAATGTACTGTCGATGCTCCCTGGTGTGGATTAACGTCCGCACGGGCGAGTACTACAACTATTTGCGTACTATCCTGTAATTAGACCAATTAGTTAATTCCAAGGCAAAAATGTGGTTCGGATTTCACGATAAACTGTAGGTCCCTTAGTTGCAATTAGCTGTATGGGTTATTAATTAACAGCTGTGTCTAAGGAATAAGTCGGTATTAGTCACCAACAAGACTCGCACCACTCATCCTACACTCATCTCCATTCATACTTGGCTTAAAATACCTACTTTGTATGGTTGCCATTTCATTGAAAAGTATAAGTATAAGTATTGGTTACAGAGAAAATTTCAAAAACTGTAAATTTAAAATTGTTTATGTTATTCTTATGGAGAATAAGTTAACTCTTATAGTTTGATTGTTTATGAACATAGTTTGATGAAACTATGTAAATTTATTTATGTTATAATAAGGTACGGTTTTTAGTAATAATATTTTACTAAAAACCCCATTTCATTACCCTCACTGTAGCAGCAAACCTAGGTACTCGTTTAACTTAATGTTATTTAAATAGATTTAAGTGAAAATCAGATTGCGTGACTGTGACAATTCTTGAAAACGAAAAGTTAACTGTTTTGCTGCGGAGATAATCGAGACATATGTAAACACAAAGTTAACACCAACTGTAATGAATAAAAATTTACAACTTGTGTTACGTTTCATTGTTTAGGGGTTTCTGCATCTCAAGTGGAGCAGATGGAAGAGAGTTTTCTTCACTAGATCCATCGCCATCGTTCCGACATTCTTCATAGCGTTTTTCAACTCCATCTCAGACCTAAGTGGACTGAATGACATGCTCAACGCAGTCATGAGTATTCAGATCCCCTTCGCTACTTTGCCTCTGGTTGCCTTTACCAGCAACCCCCATCTGATGGGAGAGTTCGTTAATTGCCGGTAAGAACAGTTCAACTTGTTTTCCTTGTGATAATTATCTACAGAATTTTAGAATTCCCAATCCAGTTAGTCAAATATTTATGAGAATAATTTAAAAAAATATCATACATCGTCTGACAACATTGAAATGTGCATCTCTCTTTGTTTTCACTTTAGTTGTACAATTATCAATTGTACAGTTGCAAATATTGTTATTGGCTGGTTAGTTAGAACAGTAGATTGTTCATGGTCTGTAAGCTAATGAGTTTATCAGATATAACTTCAAGGGCAAGGAACAGTTTACTTAAGTGATGTAAAATGCTTAGTTATCCTTGCCTGATAATAACTAAATAGCTGCAAACATTTTACGTTTAATTAAATTACTTAACAAAGTTTACAGTTTTCTCATGAAAATTGCAATGTAAGAAATTTAATTTCTTTTGTTATAGACACTAAGTTCCACGTTTATTTTTTGTATAGTTAAGTGTATTCTATAACTAATTAAAGAATGCTAATACTATGTGTTTTATGCTGTAGCTTTAAGATTGTTTTTTACCCTAGGATCATACCCTGTTGCAAGCACAGGTAAAGCTAATGTAAAAAATAAAGGGGAGCGAGCTGGCGTAGTGGTTAGAGCGCGGGACTTCAGTCCCTGAGGTCACGGTTCGATCCCCGCCAAGTCACCAATGGATTTTATCTAAGTGATAATGCCGCAACCCCTAGGTCTAGCCTGAAGTAATGTGAAAAACAATCCCAGGCTCGCGCCTAGCATCCTAGGGGGGGAAAAATATTAAAAATAAAAATAATACACCATATTTATTTTAAAACATTAGTCCTGTTGTTCAAATCCGTAATATAGTTCCATAACTCAAGGCAACAGCTTTATCTGTGTTGTAGAGTCGAGCCAACCCATCTACTAAAGCTCTTAAAGGGCAATCATTCACTTTATAGTCAAAGTCTGACATTCAACACCCGTCACATTACCATCCCTTTTTTCACTTGAATATTAAGAGCTAAAAGTTAAACACCTTCTAAGTTACAAACCACAGAGACACACCACACTTACATTGTTAAACTTTGTTTATAAAGTCAAATCGACTTCAGTTGTTTATTTTTTCCACAGAATGAATGTAATTTTCATGCTACTGGTCTCTGTGATGGTGATTGCCATTAATGTCATGTTTGTGATATCCTCCGTTCTACAAGCAGCGCTACAAGACTACTGGTTGCTCTACGCTCTCGCTGCGTATTCTCTCATGTACTTTGCTATGTGCGGATATCTTGTGTTACACATGTACGCTAACTTATCAGAGTCAAAACCCGCTTTTGCTAAGATGTTTGTGAAAGGTAGCGACTGGCGGAATAAAAATATCGATAGCTGGATAGAATTACAGAAGAAAAGGTGAATGTTCAGTGACAAGGTAATATTATTTAGCAATTATTTTATTACTTTGTTTTCTGTATTGTGTTTGGTTTAGATTTACCGTAATTTTGCACTACTTCCAAAATCTCTTAGTTAATCATACCCTTTTTTAAGAGCAATCTGCTATGTTTGAAATACATTGTATTGTATATAGCGACCTTTTTTACCAGTATGGAAAAAATAATTTGAAACTAATAAAATATTAGAATATTTTGCTTAATATTAAATGTTATTGAGATCAAATCTAAATGTTAATAGTTTCTACAAGTTAACTACCTTTTAATACCTTTTTGAATACAGTACCAGTACTACAAAATAAACAAAACATCTCAAAAGGTAGAAACAAGGTAAGCCTAGGAAAGTATACCAATTTATTGTTAGTAAATGTACATTGCCCGGATTACTTTACATGCGTTCTCTATTGTGTTATTTTTACATACAGTAAGTTTTAGCAACTGTCTAACTAAGGTGATATATTAGTCAGCAGAATGTATTAAATTACTTACTCATTATTTGTTAAACTAATGAGCAGTATAGAGTGAGAGCAATTTCCAATTCATGACTTTGCTCTATGAACCACATCATTGAATTATAATTTTTGAAATGTGTTTCATTTTCTTCAATATTTTTTCTTTAGACATCCTTCTCTTTCTTTACTCCTTCAGTTGATCTGAAAAATCAATGATGATTTACTGTATGAGAGCCATAAATAGATAGACTAACAGATAATGCAGACAACACAACACCTACCGGATACTTTGAAAATCACATAATAAGTTCTGATAAGTTCTGGAGCCAAAAGATTTTCTGCTACAGGGATCTCATCCCTGACTGCATTTGTACAAATTTAACTGAGGGCAAAATTGATTTCACCCCAATATTCATTTGAAAATGATTTGGCAATCAAATAAAATCAAATATGCTTTGTTAATAAAGTATATTAATAATGCTGAATGGTTTTAACTAATCTTAATATTAATAATGCACAGGACCATTATTAACATTAAAATATTATTTTTTGTTAATACTTAGAGGTTAAAAGGTCGCCAAGGGGTCCAAAAGCTTTTATACAAAACTATCAAGACAATATACAAGCGCCACAAGCCTGCAGATTGGTTAAGGCGACACCCATCGCTGGTGGAGTAAAAGATTGTGAAAGGTAGTGAACGCACAGTTCACGACTATTACATATTTAAATAATACTGATCGTTCAAACCACCGTGCATTCGATCCACTGTACAGTAAAATTCAAAATCAAATCAAATCGTCTTTATTTCATACTGTACATAAATTAATTGTACATACAATAATGAATGGTGGAGTGAACGAACAGACAAATAATTTCAAAAAATCACTTGGTGGAGTGAACGGTCATGGAGTGAATGAAATATCCCAGTATAAAGAATAAGGAACATGAAAATAACACTATACAAATTAACTAGAATATTTAGTAATCATCGCCATACCACTACTTGGTTATTTTAATTTGACCCTCAAAATATCAAGACATTTTTAAAGGTTAAATATGAAAGGTAAGTAGGCCTAGTTGAATATGTTATACAGTATGTAACATTTTTCAAGAAAACAAGATAGAGCTGCAAGCCCTAAGAGTAAATCAAACAAACCAGATTTTTTGTCATTCAGTAAATAGTTACTTTGCTGTCAGATAGTTTATAAACTAATTCATTCATTTGAGCCCTGACAGTAGAAGAGTACATTACATGTATGTGAGTGAAAATTTAAAAACGTACGTTTTCATGTCCCTGGCCTTTTACTTCGTAGATACTGGATTTGTAGTTTATTATTATGTGTTTTAATATTTTTTTGGGACGGGGGCAACATGTTACACACATTTATTTGGTTTTAAATATGTTCTAGGTATTTTTTTTGTATTTTTAAAGTCTCGAAATTTACGACCATGACGTGTCCCTAGGGTACATTTTCAAACTTTCACGCTGTTTTTAGACTAATTATTCATGCCGAAATATATAAAGCCATATTTTTATGTCATCAATGGTTATTAAATTTACATAAAAGGAGCATATTATAATTTTATTGTCATTGCAAACTGACTACCATGACAAAATAAGTCTGTCCCTCGATTTGGCGTCACGACCATTTGGGAAAAATTTTCAACTTTGGAGCACAACAGTGGCAAGCCTGGCGTCGATGGAGTCAGTTGGTTTTAGAGACTAGTTCGGGGTGTACGTCAGGATTGTAGGCCGGTCGTTTCGAGTCAAAAGGAGGAATTACAAGATTAATAAAGAAAAGATTGTGTTTTTTGTAATTTTGGTGTGTCCATGACCGTACGTAGTCATTCGATGAAGTAGACATGGTGTTAATTTTTGTTTATTAGATATTTCAATTGCTAGATTAACCTAGAAGTCCACAATATCCTCGAACATGAGGTGCAGGGCTACCGCCAGAACAGAGCCAAATAACACGTAATTTCACGACCAAAGTTTCACGACCATCGCGGGTTTTTTCACGACCAATTCAGCCTTATGGATTATAGTGTGTTTGGTTGTGACAATAACTTTAATATAATTGTAAATTGAACAGTTTAGTTCAATTGAAACACATATTTTTATTATAACTAACGTTTTTAAATTTTCACTCATGTAAGTTATCATAAGTTGGCTTGCTTTAGCTTAACCTCGTTTAGATAATTTTAATACTATTTTTGTCATCCTAAGTTTTGGGATCCCATTAAGTCGGTGTTGATTTATGAGTACTGTACAATCAACTCAAACATTCAATTCAACTATCCACATGCAAAACAAATAAAAAGACTAGTGAAAAGAGTTACCTTGATTTGCTGGATAATAGAACATCACAGACATAAAACTCGTAGATCCCAGCACAGGCAAAGTTAATTAGGCTTAGTACAATGCAGAATATTCTAAAATTAACATCCATGGGCACAACAAGTTCAAACTGTTCCTGTAGCCATTGATTTGGACAGAGGATCAGATAGGAAATGAAGAATGTTGTACAGACAGAGACCATCCAGAAACTCCAGTTCTTGGATAAAGGCATGCGATAAGGGGCTCCCTTGCAGAAAACTACAGCTAAAATGATATACTGCATGGACGATATGGAGAATAGAGCGTAGTTTTCAAAACAACCAGGGCTTTTAGATTTGGTTGAACTGTATGGGTCAAACCTGAAATAAAATAGCAAATATGTCAAGACATGATTGAATTTTTTTCTGTGCTAATGTTGATAATGACGAAGTATACTCTTAGAAATGTAATGTTGTTATATAGAGATAAAATTTTCTATCAAAATGTTCCATTCACCAATAGTTTTTTTCCTTACCCAATCAAACATTTTTTTAAATTAGTATTTGGATTCGGATAGAAATAAAATAATTTTGTGTAAATAGACTTGACTTTCCAGTTGCACAGCCAGTGAGAAATGTGATCACGCATGGGTAGACCATGTGATTATTTCTATGTGTACACTTAAGTGTGACTCTTACTAAAATGAAAGATTACTTTATTTTAATTCAATCAATGCATTTCTTAGGCTTTACAATACATATTACTCACCAGTCACGCTGTAAGAGAGAAAAGTAGCAAATGATCTGGAAGACAACGACAATAACCACTTGCCCGACGAGGGAAGAGACAGTAACTGGTGACAACAATGACATCTCTGGTGCTCGAGGTGACAACGGTCCGTAGTTAGCTTCCGTACGGCCGAGCAGAAAGGCAAACACGGAAATGATAAACAGATCCACAAACAAATACTGTATGTCGGTCAGATTACTATCCACAGAGTAGAGAATCATCACAGAGACAAACTGTGCAATGCTATAGCCAGCCATGAATTTGAATATGGAAAATGATGTAACCAAAGCTGCCCTTCCCTCTTGGATCAGCTTGACGACACAGTCGACAGTAGATTTCCTCGATGTGAACGGTGAAGCCACTGAAGATTCTGCCTCAGAGAGTGATATACCAGTGTGAGCTGTCTTTAGAGCACCACAATCATTGGCTCCGTCACCACACATCCCTGCAACAACCAACATGTATCTCATTTCCCACTTTTTTCCATTTCGGAGGAATCTTTTACGTTTTGTTTTTGTTACCCTCTAATGTCAAACTTTGGTTTGAAAAATATTTTGTTGGGGTCTGTTTCCAGCCTAGTGTTTACCACAGAGGGGACATGTTCACTGTTCAATCCTTGGCATACCCACAAATATTTTAGGAGTTTTGACCACTTTCCATTAAAAGCGTTTTAGATACCATAAAAAATGGCAGTAGCATAGATTAAACTGTGAATACTGTTTTACCGAAAGTAGTGCATACTGACCTAACCTAGCCAAACTAACCTAGCTCTGTATGCAGAAGCTCTGGACGTCGTGCGACAGCACAGTGCTTTTGGACGTCGTGCAACTGGCAGTGGCTTACGTGGTGCCACTGCTAAGTTTTTAAAATTATAAAGCGCGCTTTCACATGACGACCAATCCTATGATATTCTAAGCTTGTCCAAATGTTTCTTGTAGTTACTGTGCTTTTGGATAGGATGCAATTTGGACGTAGTGCAACAGTTTTTATTGGACGTCACGAGACAGCTAAAAAATTATACTTTGGACGTAACACTGACTCACTGATCATTGGATGTTGTGACATTTGGACGTTGTGCAACACTCCCAAAGTTACATACTATAAAACTAATGAAATAATACACATAAGCTAATCCTCAATAAAATTATGCATACAAGTTGCCAAAATCAGGCACACAAGTGCTAGAGACTCACTTATGCCTGTTTAAATTCATTACTATTCTTTCTTATCACCATTTTTTTTTGTAAAAAATTCTTTGGGAAATTTAAGACAGCTTTACATAAAACTTAATTCACTTACCAACATAATAACCAAAGGATTGCAAACACAGTACTAGCTGTTGCTTTTGATCTGGAGTCATTCTAGCAAATACAGTACATCTTTTGACTATAGCAGGTACTTGATCTGGGCAGTATGTGTGGATAGAGTCCCAAGTAGGTCCAGTTAAAGCAAATATCACATCTGGTTTTGACAGGATCTCATCATGGCTGCTGCAAAATAAGTATTTTCTTCGTACGCAAGATTTGAAATTTGTTTGTACATTGAATAAACACGCTCTTATTCTTTTTCAAACAACAGCCTCATATCGAGTGAATCTATTGGAAACTTTTTTGAAGAAATTCTCCTTGAAATAAATCAACTAATTTCTGAACAGATTAGAAAATTACAAAAATTCTTTATTGCAAATGGCAAAGCTTGAGGCAAATACATTTTCTTGCACTTAATCTGCAGTCAATACAAAAATTTTAAACATTTTAGTTATACTTTTAAATCGAATTAACTAACTTACACACTCAGACAAAATGTACACAAGCACAGTAGTTGTAGGTCACACTAACCAAGGCTATACTTTAAATACAGTTTTTTTAGTGCTCCCGGTCAATCCTTTAATTTAAGATTACATTACTTACGTAATCCCTTTAAGCCCCGAAACAGCTTTAAGCCCCTTGACACCAAAGCAGAAGTAAATTCCAAAGGCAGGTAATCATGATTAACACAACTTAACCTTCAATAGATATAGAAGCAAAACTAAATAAAGGCTGTAAGCTCAAAAGCTGTACCTGACATGTATTGCAAGCTGGGAGCATATTATTATTTATCTTGGTTGATTTTTGTATTTAGGCCTACAGTACAACCCCTTTATAACCCAAATACTCACATTTTTCTTTGCCCTTTGGTTATTTCAGATTCTGTTTCTACATGTTTCTTATTGGATGCAAGTTCAAATTCAATTTCATCTTCAAATGGTGGTGTCTAAATTTTTGAAAAAGTTTTAATCAATCTAGTACAAATATTGTGAATGAATAGGGATATAGGGAATAGGGATGTACAACCTAAATATTATTACTGTATGTATATAATCCTTATTTTAAGTATTGCTTTTATTAATTTTTAAGACACAGTTGTAGTTATTTTATTTTATTTTTTCCACGATTTCTTGGAGTGATGTGTGTAACGTATGTTGTATATATTATCCTAAGAGCTAAAAACTCATCTGTGGGATGTATTAATAATGTGTATAATTTAGGTTAGGTCTGACTCTATTCTTTGTAAACAATTTACATGTGACAGAATAAAGATGTATTGAATTGAATTGAAATACATATAACATTAATTTAAGTTAAAACAATTATGGCAGTGGTGTAATCAATAACACATAAAGGTTTGGGAAGCTTGAGTTTATGTTGGTATGATCAATTTTATACAGATTACAACCAATCTTTCAAACAGTAACACAGATAACTGAAGCCTTTATTTGTTAAGTTCTTACAATATAGAGAGAGGCCAATCTTTCTTGTATTTAATTGATACGTGTAAAAACTTTATATATGTAGAAATATATCCCAGAAATAACATATTCACTATCCAGCCATCTTAGGCATACATACATTTTTTTCAATATGTATTTCAAAGAAAATCTATATAACTGATTGAGGTTTTTTGGGAATGAATAGAGTTAGGTTGGCTTACCTGAGTCATACATACTCAAAGGTCTGTCTATCTGTGTTGTATACACTGTACCTGTATAACACTGGTTTGTCTTGTATCTATTAGCTCTTGGAATCTAAAGATCTCTAACTGGTGAAATAGCTTAAGAGGGTTCCCTACCCCCATTGATAAACGTCAGAAAACCGCTTCGCGCGGTATCATATAGCGATTCTAGTTTTGACATTTAAATTGTGAACCAAACACCATTTTGTACATAAAGAGTGGTTCTACTAAGTTTGCTTTTTAAAAAATGTCTATGCTTACGCAATCAAGGGCAACGACTTGTCAAAGTTAGTGAACTTTACAGTTAAAGTTCACTAACTTTGACAAGTCGTTGCCCTTGATTGCGTAAGCATAGACATTTTTTAAAAAGCAAACTTAGTAGAACCACTCTTTATGTACAAAATGGTGTTTGGTTCACAATTTAAATGTCAAAACTAGAATCGCTATATGATACCGCGCGAAGCGGTTTTCTGACGTTTTTCAATGGGGGTAGGGAACCCTCTTAACTCTATCTATAATCCTCCTTCCTATTTACTTCAATCAATTTTTTTTTGTATCTGGTTGTTTATTTTTTTTAAGGCACTTCACAAAAATCTGATATTGCGTGGTCTGCCGTAAACACATACTAAATTTCAATTTTAAGAAATTAAGCTAAAAACAAATAACAAATTACAAAACACATAGGTAAAATCCATAAAAATTACTTTTAGATAGATATACCAATTTGGCAATTGTTTTCAAACTTACTTGCATTATGTGAGACACTAGCCCTTCTCTACAAAGTTTGTAGTGAAGTTGTGCTTGTTTATCATCTCTCGGAGGTATTACGGTGACCAAGAACACCGCCTCATTCGCAGCTACTATACCACACTCTCTGGCTACACTTACTGCAGTTAGTTGATTGTCACCTGTTGCAGCAATGAAAAGAAGATGTTACTTGAGTAAACATAGTTTCAATGCTGTAACATGAAATATTTTTTAAAGAAAGCATCATTAATGGATAGCCCAATGAAACCCGGCATCTTGGTCCATTGAATTGATACTTTTTGTAAAGGAAGACACAAGAATGCATTTTTTCAATTTCATGAAACAAATCTAGTGTTTTACCTGTCACCATTACAGTGTGTATATTCGCAGCTTGAAGTGTTTTAATGACCCCAACAGTTCCCGGCTTCAGTCTGTTCTCAAAGACAATTAGTCCGAGAAAGGTAAAATCTTTTTCAATCTCTTCTCGAACCAGTTGGTCGACAGATAAATAGTCATTCTTGTAAGCGATTCCCAAAACCCGACAACCTTTTGCAGTATATTCCTCTAGCTTCTTCTCAAAATCCTCAGGAACTAAAATATAAAATGGAAAAGTGTGAAATAACTATTGGTAACACTGAGATAAATAATAGAGATTAATTACTTATCACTTTACTAAGACAGCGATAATATGTGAATAGTTGGTTTTTTTTAGCTAGAAGCGGTTGACAACTTTGACAATGAACTTCTTTGTCTGTTGTGATCAGACTTGTCAAATTTTAAGGTTAAGTCAAAACAAACAAACTGTTATAATCATAGAACAGACTCTGACATTTTTAAAGCCTATAGGACAAAGGGCTTTTACGAGATATCATCCAATCCCACAAAAGGCACATCTACAATATAAGAGCTTTAAATTGATACCCAAATGTGCCTATAAAAATAAATATTTAAGGGTCGATTTGCTGAATACAAAATTTGACAAGTTTGATCACATGATCACACAACAGACAAAGAAGATTATTGTGAATGATAGTTTAACTGCTTCTAGTTAAAAAATCCAACTGTACCTAAATATTTTAAGCTGAGTATCAGTGCAAGTGTGTGTGCAGTGAATAAAGAAAAATTGCATAGCTTTTGTAACCAAGAACTTTATTTAGATAGGACCATTCACTAAAAGTCTGATGAAGGATAGCCGAGTCCAGTTTCAAACCATAAAAATACTTGACTTTTCTCAGGATTGAACCAGCAATCATTATATTACCAGGCGAGCACTCTAACTTTAACACTTGTGGGGGTTTTTTAAATAGTGAATGTGAATTAAGGGTGAGTCCTTATTAATGAAAAAAATATTAGAGGAGCAAAGCAGGGTCTGTTTTTGAACCTTAAAAAGCTTACAGCATACTTGGAATATCAAATAAATTAATGATGGGTTAGCCTCTGGATCGTAAATTGCAATATAAAAATGGTTTATTTTACCTTTTTGCGTCGAACGATCCGTGTGTAGTTAGTACAACTACAGCTGTTTCATACCACTAGGGTACATCATCAGGTTGTTATGACGCAACATCCATCGGCGCCTGTCTCGTGTGTTCGTTACTCGGCCAAGTTCTTAAATTCGTGTTTTTTAAATGTTTTTCGTGTATTATGTGTATATAGACATATTTATTTCGACAAGTTCATCTATTAATGAATGCTGTTTTATCTAACGTTCTGCCAACAACCTGATGATGTACCCTAGTGGTATGAAACAGCTGTAGTTGTACTAACTACACACGGATCGTTCGACGCAAAAAGGTAAAATAAACCATTTTTATATTTTAAATAAATTAAGAACCCTTATTAAAATTCCTTTGTTTTATCAGTTATCAAGTCCTTAAATTATATAATAAACATGATACAAGAGAATGTACAACCTATTTTATTCAACCATTTTGACTGAATGAAAAATATATAAACACAAACATAAACATTATAAAACAATAACATAAACCATGTGTTAAGAAATCATATGTTGTTGACAAATCCTTATTAATCCTCCCCCTCAAATTTACACGGCCGAATGTGGTTAATGTGCCTTCTCCAAACCTGCCCATCGTCCATCTTGATTTGATAATGCACCAATCCTTCTCTCCTTCTTATGTTTCCAAATTTCCACTTTCCGTCTTTTCCGAAATTGCGCACCTGAACCCTGTCCCGCACCCGAAACTCTCTTTTCATTTTTGTACATCCGTCGGGCATTTCTGTGTGATCTTGGGGTTTCTTCATAAGATCCAGCCTTGTCCTTATTCGTCTCCCAAACATAAGTTCATATGCCGAGGACCCTGTAGCATTTGTGGCATTCCTTAGTGACATTAGGATGTGATTTATTTTTAAGTGCAAATCTCCTCCATCATTCTCCATTGCTATTAACTGTTTCTTTACAGTCTGAACAAATCTCTCTGCTTGTCCGTTGGTTGCAGGGTGATAGGGGGCAGAGAATTTGTGTGTGACGCCACAAGCTTGTAGGAATTGGTTGAAGATAGATGATGTGAAGTTAGGACCATTGTCAGAGACTAACGTGAACGGGTAACCAAAGGTAGAGAAAAGTTTCCTGAGCTGTTGAATGCACCAATTAGATGTTGTAGTTTTGGTTGGTATGACTTCAACCCACTTTGAATAGGCGTCAACGATAATAAAAAGGTATTGCCCATAAATTGGACCTGCAAAGTCGATGTGTATTCGTTGCCAAGGTCCTGATGGAACCAGCCAAGGATGGACATCTACTTTTTCAGGAAGATTCTGCTTCAAACAGCATGGACGACAAGACTTTGCTAGATCTTCTATGTTACGGTCAATGTGTTTCCAGTAACAAAAACTTCTTGCAAGATTTTTCATTTTCACAACTCCTAAGTGTCCTAAATGAAGTTCATTGAGTACTTTTCCTTGCAGTTTTTCAGGAATTACTACTCTGGAACCACGAAAAATGCAGCCATCATGAAGTGAATACTCATTATTCTTCAAGCCAATATGTTCTAAATCAGTACCATCTTGAAGTGCTTTCAAAAGAGGTTTTAGGTCATTGTCGTTTGATGTTTCATTTGCAATATTTTCATGTGTTACAGGCATTGATTCAATTTGATTAATGTAAAAGGCTTCGTGTTGATCGATTTGATTTGTCGGTGGATGCTCATTAGGAAAGCGAGACATGTAGTCTGCATTACCATGTGATTTGGTGTTCCTATATTCAATAGTATAATCGAAGCCAGAGAGGAAGTGAGCGTAATTGAAAATACGTGTGGCAGTCATAGTAGGTAAGGTTCTGTATGGGTCAAAGATTGAAACAAGTGGCTTATGATCTGTTACAAGGACAAACTTTCTGCCATAACAATACTGGTAGAACTTCTTCAATCCCCAGTAAATCGCCAGTGCCTCTTTGTCTATCTGACTGTACTTTTTTTCACTTGCAGTGAGAGATCGAGAAGCGAATGAAATTGGCCGTTCAGTACCATCTTTGTAGCGGTGAGAAAGAACAATTCCTAATCCGACTGGAGAAGCGTCTGTGGCTAGCACTAAGGTTTCATTTGGATCAAAATGAGCAAGAACCCGGTCACTAGCTATCTCAACCTTAACTTTTTCAACACATTTATCACATTCTCTGGTCCAAACGAACTTAGTGTGCGCCTTTAATAGATTGTGTAGTGGATTCAAGATTGTGTTCAAGTTGGGGATAAATTTCTGGTAGTAATTGGTCAAGCCCAGGAATGTTCGTAGCTCTGACACATTTGACGGGTTTGGTGATTTTAAGATTGCTTCCACTTTGTCCTTATTCTTGTGTAGACCATTTTGATCTATAGTATGTCCAAGGTAATCAATTTGTGTTTGAAAAAACTTGCATTTGTCTTTATTTAGTTTGAGGTTGTGTCTCCTGATGACTTTCAAAACACTTTCTAGCCTTGTTAGGGCCTCAGGCTCAGTCGAACCTTGAATAATAATATCGTCAAAAAAACACTGAACGCCATCAATTCCAGAAAGTATTTTGTCCATAAACCCTTGCCATAGGGCCGGAGCAGTCTTAATTCCGAACATGAGTCGATTTACCTTATACTGTCCTTTATGTGTACTGATTGTTTGAAGTAGAGCACTTTCTTGGTCCATTGCCATGTGTAAATAAGCGTTACTGATGTCTAATGTACAAAAGTACTTACCTCCACTCATTTTTGCAAAAATGTCCTCGATACGTGGAATAGGGTACTTGATGTCCTTAATTTGTTTATTTAAAGTCACTTTGAAATCTGCACAGATTCTGACCTTGCCACTGGGTTTCACGACTGGAACGATTGGAGTTCCCCAATCACTTTGTTCGACCTTCGAGATGATTCCTATTTTTTCCAATCTGTCCAGTTCTTCTTCAACTTTAGGTCTTAAAGCATATGGCACTAAACGAGGTTTCATGTAAACTGGCTTGGCATCTTCAAGTAGTTGTATATGTCCTTCTACCTCGGGAATAACACCAATATTTTGATCAAATACGTCCTTGTAATTCTCAATCAGTCTATCGATATCTGCATGCGTGTGAGAACTTGTAATACTCCTAAGGTCAGCCCAATCTAGTTTAACTTCCCTTATCCAATCACGTCCAAAGATAGGATCGACCTTCCTGTTGATTACGTATAGTTTACCAATGAAATTGTGATCTTTGTACGTGCATTTCACAAATACATATCCAACAGGCTCGAAAACCTCCCCAGTATAAGTGCGAAGTTCTACTTTCGTTTTGTGAATGGATTTGTTTAATCCTAGATTCATGTAATCCTTGTAAGATATGGTGCTCAATGCGGCCCCAGTATCTAGTTCCATTGTAATTTCATTTCCCTCAATGTCCACCTTCAAATTAAACTTATCTGAGTTTTTTGAAGTTATTAAGTTCATTTCATAAGATTCATCTTCTTCAAGTAAGACATCAGCTTGACATGTGTTTCTCAAGTTCTTAAATTTTGTTAAGGAATTCTCGCTCAGACAGACTCGAGCGATGTGACCCATCTTTCCACATTTTCTACACCAGTGTTCAGTAAATTTACATTTGTTAGCTTTATGTTTTTCGTCACCGCATCTGTAACACTTTCCCTTAAGGGATTGGAATGTGAATGAACTGTTGTTGGGTCCTGTACATTTAGTTCTCATTTCACTGTTTGTATTGAATTGTTTATTAGTAGGCTTTGAAATCAATTGATTGATTTTGGCTTTATATTGTGAAGATGCAATCATCGTATTTTCAGTTTTAGATAGTTCCATTATCTTAGCAGTATTTATGACTTCCTGGAAGGTCTTGTCTGATTCTACTTGTAGTAGTTTCGTTCTTATCTCAGCGTCTCGCAATCCCCTGATGAACTGTAAACGTAGCATAGTTTCGGCTGTAGATTTTCCACAAGAACATTTGAATTCACAAGGAGTAACAAGTTTCTTTAGTTCAACTGTAAAATCTGTAACGGATTCACCTACCATTTGCTCTCGTACTATGAAATTATGTTGCCGTGCCCAAACGCTTGGTTGAGGATCCAAGTATTGCTTCAATAAAGCTAAAAGGTCATCATAATCTTTCTGAAGTGGCGTTTCAGGTGCACAAATGTTGTAGAGCTTTTGATGTAACGTAGGAGGTAGGGCATTAAGTAGGGTGAATGTCTTTGTAGTTTCATCTGATATGTGTTTCAGGTGCATAAATACTTCAAGTCTTTTTGTAAAATTGTCAAAAGATTCATCTTCACTGAAAGGTACAAATGAAATATGGGATGTTGAAGCTGTATTGCCAGTAGAGTTGCTTGCATTACCATTGATTTCTTGAGTTGTATTCGAAAGTGAAATGGGTTTCAACTGCCTCAACATAATCTTCAACTTAATGAATACTTCTTCAATGTCCATCTTGTAATTTACTTCTTCATCCAGTTCTGTGTCGTTTATTATTAGTTCTATTTTCTCTTGTACGTCAAGAAATTTAGTCCATGTTGAGTCCAGAAGTTCTAGACGTTCGTCAACTTGCCTAGGATCAATTTCATGATTGTTCAGCTTGTTTGTTAATTTAGTCAATTGTGCCTTGATTGACGTTCTTATCCTTTTGTAACTGTTTAAATGTGATCTAATGTCAGTTGACTCCATTTTGGTTTTCCTCGTCGCCAGTTATCAAGTCCTTAAATTATATAATAAACATGATACAAGAGAATGTACAACCTATTTTATTCAACCATTTTGACTGAATGAAAAATATATAAACACAAACATAAACATTATAAAACAATAACATAAACCATGTGTTAAGAAATCATATGTTGTTGACAAATCCTTATTATCAGTATTTTATCAAAGGTTAATATTTTCTTAAATTAAATTTGGAATTATAATAAACAATCAAACTATTATGACTTGTGATCAAAATTAGCATTTTACTGACTAACAAAGAATGGAATTTCAGACAATACATAATTTATAAAAAAGATATACTTACTTGAAAGATGATTGCAAATATTCCGGATAACCTCTGGAGCACCTTTGGAATATATAGTCAAGCAAGAATCATCTTTTTCATTTTCTTTCCCCTTTAGCCTCGTGACAACTGTCATTCTTTGAAGACTAGAGGAAAAGGGAAGCTGGTGAACTATTTCAATTTCTTGTAGTTCCTTCAGAATAACCAACAAATTACAATGTAATATACTTCCATATACAAGTTGTGTAAACAATGTGAAAGTTCTAAATAGATTTTTTTTATCCTCCTTGAAAAAGAGTTTAATAATCTGATGATAATTTTATCTGGCTAAATGAACTCTTACATCTATGTATTTATTCATATTACATATTTTTGAAAATTTTTGACAACTGAGATGAATCAAACCACTTTTATTCAGAAAATAAATAACAACTACCATCTTATATACTAAAAAACTTTTGCAAAACTTAGGACAGCTAGCTTGGCCATACCACTGGACCGAATTACACGTGGTTGGTACCAAATGAAAGATATTTACCTGTAGATGTGCAGAATCCCTTTATAAATTGAATTAGGCTCACAAATAAGCACAAAAAATGAATTTGAAATCTTAAAAAAAAAATAACATGGGTCTTATGGGTTGCTATGGTGATGACGAAATAACAACAAAATATAAACAGAAAATCAAAACAAATGGAATATATTCCAATCACATGTTTTATTTATAGTGTGTGGGGAAAATAGAGAAGTCTGTACATTACATATTTTTGGTTGGGTTTTCAACCACGGGGCGACCTCTAGGAACATATTATATAAAAATACTTATGGGGACTTTTCTTATGGAGGTTTAACATGGGACAAAATTTTAAAGCTTACGACAGCTAGCCTGACCATTACCCTGGGCCGAATTACACGCGGTTGGTACCAAATGTAATTGTCTCTATATTTGTCCATTTTGCTTCAATTTCAGATATTACTTGACTAAGTGTTATAAAAACAGAAATTAAAAAATCTATTGACAATTTAACATGGGGTGAAATTTTAAGTCTAATAGGAGTGAGATCTGGAGATCTATTAAACAGATTTACATGCAGGTTGCGTTAAATGAAATGTTTCCCATGTGCCTGAAAAGTTTACTATTCCTTTAGTGAATCTTATATATTAAAAAGTTTTGGAAAACTTATGACAGTTAGCCTGACCATATTACTGGGCCGATTTACATGCACGTTGTACCAAAAGAAGGTTATGGAAGAAATTCTAATCACATGTTTTATTTACAGCGTGGGGCATAAATAGAGAAGTTTGCACAATACATACTTTTGGTCAAGTTTTTGACCACGGGGTGAGCTCTCGTAATGACTAAAACAGAACTTAACTATGGTATGTCAATTGGTACAATAATTTTAATAGTTTAATGCCATCAAACATTGTTATTCTTACAATAGATATACCGTAATGTACTGTAAACTCTATTTGAAAAACTTACTTCTTTAGGAAAACTTGTTGATGGTAGAACAACCATATGAGTTGATCTTTCATTTTTAGGAGCCGATTCTTCTAAAACCCAACTAGTCCACTCAAACATCTTCAACAAAGTATCATGAATTACAGCCTACTTAAAGGTATAATCATAGATAAAACATACTCCCTTAGTAGATTTCTCATCCTTATGGAACAGGTGAAGACAATTTTATTGTTAGTTCTGTACGGTTTATGTAGAGGTCGTGTTTTGTTTACAATTTGTTTCCCGTTATTACAGCCATTTAAAACCTCGTTTAACCAAATAATACGATCTAATCATAAACAATAACTTGTCCCCTGGTTATATAACCAAACAGTAAAGCACAAATCAAGAAATTAACCCTAAAATAATGGAAACAAAGTTTCGTCGACACTAGCGCCTTTGTGTCACGTACATGAACTAGACACGAAAAACGTGCTTCAAAATTTACAATGGGATGAGAAGTCTACTTGTGTTGGTTAGTCTATGGTATGATACTTAAAGGTATAATATAATCAGAGATCAAACATATAACCTCTGATTTATCATGGTTTATTTGAAGGCAATTGTAAGCTTTGTACAGCAGTTGTAACTTGTAAGTTTTTCTGACCTTTTTGACATTAACTTTTTTTGTTTGTTTTTTTTTACTCAATTTAAAACTGTTGCGACCAAATGAATGGCACATCGATATACTATTTCTTGATCTCTGGCAATCTAGTTGAAGAGCTAAGTGTGTGTATCCTGTACAATTTAACCTAAAATGAGAGAAAACCGTTCAGTCAAATTCAGTTCATTCAAACCGGACATAAAACGCACATTAAACAGGCTTCATATTTTACATAAGATGAGAAGTCGACTTACAATAAACAAGGCAATCGTACAATGCTGTATAAAATATCTTATTAGCTCGAGTTATTCAAATTGCACATCAGCCCAGAGTCGTGTTTGTAACTGAAGCAATCATAACCAACAATATTGAAATCCAGGGAGTTGGTTTATAACACAAACCCAATCAAAACTTGTTCTTTATTCAGTTTCAAAATTAATTATATTATCAATGCAAAAAATATACAAACGGGCACCAGAAAAGTCACTTTTGTAACCTGTAATGAAATACACACTGTTACATCACATCTTACCTTAATATCCAAAGGATCGCCACATAACTGGTCGTCAATTATGGACAGGGAATGACATGTCGACATTGCTTGGAGCAGATGTTTTTGTCTCAGAAGATTTACATTTTGGATGGGGAAGTCAAAACCATCTTGTCCCACAGGCACAACTCCCCAAAGTTCAGGTTTGTCTTCTGTTAATGTACCTGTCTAAAATGTAAATCAACTGCTTTATTTACATTTTTGGATTTAGAGACAATTTATTTGTATGGGTATAAATTTTTAGTATAAAAGCAATGGAGATTTTGTTTTATCACTGTCAATTATTATTAGTAGGAAGTAGAAGTTGTAGTATAGCATAATATAAGATGTATTCAAATAAACAAAATTGTTCTCAACTCACAATTGAGAATGCCCTGCATTTAAATACTATTCATTCCTAAACTTTATATTATTTTATGGATGGAGAGAATTCTGTCAATTTAGTTATCGAGGAGGCACATTGTATGACGTTTCAGTGATTATATCAGCACACTCCAGCAAAATACCAATGCAAGGTGGGTGAAAAATGCAGCTAATGACCTTTATAGCTTTGACAACAATCAGGTGTTTCTTAAGGTAGGACTTTATCAAAAAGCCAAATGGCCTTGGTCCAGTCAAACATCAAAACGCTACTGCCTTATGAAAATGAGATAGCCTATCTAAAATAAAACTTGTTAATTCCGTAGTGTGGAACAACCCAGCATGGACAAGTCAACTAATAAGAGGAGAAAAAACTCCAATGGCCATAAACTAACGGAAAAAGTATTTATTAGTAATGTAATCCAATAAACTCCTGAATGGCGAGACATTGAAACATTTACTCATGCTAAAAGATCAATATAATGTATTCAAATTCAAATGAAAATCTGAATACTCTATAGTGAGTCATTTTGAGATGATAAAAGAGAGAGTTATTCAAGAGACTGAATATTCTATAAGATATGAGAGGTTATACTGACTGTATCTAGGCCTACTTAATATCATTATTATCTGCAACAGTTTTCATTTTACGTAATCAAACATAAAGGTTTGGAACTTTAAAAAGTAAAAATAACGGCTACTTTAGAAAGTGTATTAAGATCAATTTTCACACCTTATCAAAGCAAACACAGTCTATACAGCCGGCCACATTGATCATCCGTGGACTGACACAGAAGATGTTTTGGTCCTTCAAGCGAGACTGCGCAGATATACAACCGACGGCCATTGCTGCTGGAAGCGACGGTGGCACAACAATAGTCACCAAGTCTAGAGCTTCGAGAACAATAGTTGCGGTCGGAACACCACGAAAAGCCTGTGGAGAGTGAGCAAACGATTAACACATAAGGCAACTTTTGATCCATTGTGTATTGTCTATTGCCAATTAATTATTTAGAACTATACACTCTTATCGTATAAACAAATGGTTAGGTGAACAGTCTATATATTTAGTCAAACCTCAACGATTACGGCTGTTAGCGTATGTGACTGTATGCCTTGAGAGGCTAAAGTTCTTCTTCTTATCCCTCAGGTAAAAAAGAATCAGCTGAAGTCAATGACATCAAAAGTGTGTTTAGTCTCATTTGAAAAGCCATACAATAATGCCAAGTATAAGGTATAAGGTAAAGTATAAGGTGGGAAAGTAACAACAATAAATAACCATTCTAACACTAACATATTTTTGCTCTTAACACATACTAACCTTAGTAATAACAGTATATAAAAAGCCGAAACAAGCGAACACAGACATCAACTGGATAAACTTGTACGAATCCTCTTCAAACTTGAACGTGAGATGGGCTGGGTACAATATGGACCTTACAAGTCCACCTTTCATCGTGGAGAAGCCAGTTTGAATGACTACAGCGTAAATTTCCATCTTACTCGTGGGCCGAGTCTTGATAACGCGTGTGCCACAATACAATGTGTGTTTACCATGATCATTACTGTCGTAAACGACTGAAGGTGAGTTTGGAAGAGGTATTTTGGTCACTGGCACACTTTCACCTTAAAAATATTATCATTGTTAAACACATCTACTTGATATTTGCATACATACTGTAGGTAATCAATTCATTTAGTAATATGTTCATGCAAATTCTCCTTCAGTGGCGTAACTAGAACATGGCTTTGTGGGGGCGAGGGGGATAGATAGTCCGGGAGGATTTGGAAAAATTAGAAATCCTAACTCGCGTTTTCAGGCATTCTCGAGGTGTATTCACGTTCAAAAGAACTAAAAAAATTAACCCAATTGAGGCTATCTCTGGTCAGTCAGATTCAGGAAATACTAGAACTAGAACAACCCGCAGTTACAGTTACAGTGTGTTTCTTAAACAAATCTGTCAATAAAGTCTGAGAAACTTTTCTCTTTGACATTTCTTTAAACCGTCCACAATGCACACTGATAGTTGGAAGTAAACAGCATAACAATCTTTACCTACTACAGAGTACAGAACAGAACTGCGCAAAGTAAACAACTAACCTAAAAGCCGGCTGGTGTCTACTTAGTGCTTACCGCGCCTGCTTGCAGTGTTACCACTACCACTCTCCAAATTTACTCCCGCTGCCTGGGTGTATTCATTAAATAAACCTTTTAGATTAGTTAACTATACAAATCAACTAATTCAACGAATTATATTAATGAGACCAAATCCAAACTAAATCATCAGTTTCAGTTATAAACTTCACGCAACTGTATTTTAAAGAAGTAGGATTGCTGTGATACAAATATTTATTTTCATTTGAGGATTCTGGGGGGGAGGTTTTATCTCTCTCATCCCCCCCCCTCAGAGTTACACCACTGTTCTCCATTACATTACCTAGGAGTATGAAACTAAGTAAAAGGTTTGGATACCTGGAGTACTGTCAGGTGATTCTGGGTTTTTGTTTGATAATAAATAGTTAATTATTGGGTAGTCGAGTGGTTACAGTGCTCAGCTTCAAATCTGAAGGTCGCAGGTTTGATTCCAATAGAGAAACTTTTGTCTTAATACAGTAAAACATGTACAGTAGACTCCCTCTTATCCGTACACCTTTTAACCGGACATCGGTTTAACCGGACTACACTTGGCGGAAATGACATCTCTTTAACTGAACAATTTTTATCAGCACATTGGTTGAACCAGACTAGATCGGCAGGAAATATGGACAATACTGAAACAACTGTTCTCGTGGGAAAGATTTGAGACCACTGATCACGTGTCTAACAATGCTCTCCTAAATTTAAGTCGAATACCACAGTAAACGGTCTGTTTCAACGAGTTTTTGGGGACGTCGGTTTAACCAGAAAAACCGTTATCCAGACTGGCCTCGGTCCCGAGGAGTACGGATAGGAGAGAGTCTACTGTTTTTCAATTCATGAATTGCAGGGGTCAAAGTAATGAAGCTTGTGTCGAAGAAAGTTATTTTAGGCCCTTGTGGTGGAATATACTATTTTTCGACTTGTTTAAATTTCTAAAATATTTTTACCCGTGAGGATGCTCTCGTTGACAATGCAGCTGCCAGAGAGAAGTACGGCATCACAGAACATCGTACAGCCGTGAGACGGAATCACAATTACATCTCCTGGTACCAACCGATCTGTAGAAACTGTAGAAAGCTCTGCTTCTTTGCTGTTGTTGGTCTGAATCACTGATACATAGTCTTTTGAGCAAATCGTACTGTGAAGTTTCTTCTGGTTCTAAACATATTACAGTTTTAACCAAACAGTTTAACTTATACCTCAGGAGAAAAGTTTGGAGGGGAGTGTAATGTACCAATACCACTATGAAAAAAGGGGAAACTTTTTAGCCAGAGTAGGGTTACTACGAGACTCAGGAGGGAGGGGGGGGTGTAGACTACTGGAGTTACCAGAAGCCTTTAACTGGATGATAAAACATATGACTGATACACTTGCTTCTACCGAAATAATCACTTTTATTTTTATAATTCACTTCATCACTCATTTCACTCCAAAATCATATATTTAATTTTTTTATTCCATAAAAATTCAAACTCACGATTTGCAACTGTTCCACCCTTCTTTAAAATTAATAAATTAATCAGCAAATATAAATTTAAAAGATTATAGCACGCCATCAGACACATAGGCAGAGTTTTGTCTGTTTCTGGTGATTGTACAGACCTTAATTTAAAATTTATAACAGGTAGCCTACATAATTGTTGAGTTTTAGAATGGTTTTAGCCAAGACCATAAATGCCCAATGACTATAAGAATCTTTGATGGAAAACATTTAGGGCTCTAAAGTTGAAAGAACATGTTTGTGCTAAATAAATCATTACTATTCACTATACTTACGTCTCTAGTTTGAATGACAGTCAAGATGATGCCTACAGCAGACATTGTGATGATGGTGACGGCATAACTGACATATTCATAAACAAACCATAGGCAGAAAGAGAAAATTTGAAAAATGTAAAATGGGTTTAAGACTTCTGAAACAAGTAGTTCTACTACTCCTTGCAATGGAACAGTGATTTCGTTTTTCCCATAGAGCAACGATCTGAAAAAAATAAAAAGATTAGAGACAAATAAATATTTTTGTCTGATGTTTTTCTTTTTAATTTGGTTGGCACTTAATTACCATATTTAGATTTAAATAAATAAAGAGCTGGGATTCCCTAAATCTACTTAATCAGGGTGTCTACCAGATTTCTCAAATGGAATTCCCGACTTTTTCCCGACTTTTCATTACCATTTTTATATAAATCCCGACCAAAAACTGGGTCCGTTCTCCATGTTACTACACCTTTTTCCGTCTCGCGATCACTCGCGACACAGCGAAATCACTGACGATCGAAACAAATCACATGCCGAGAAAATCCCGTATGGCAATGTCTTCTCAGTGTATGAAATGTACGTGGATGGCAATAACCTGTATGGCTAAGCAATGTCTCAGTGTATGCCATGTACGTGGATGGCAATTAACCTGTATGGCTAAGCAATGTCTCAGTGTATGCCATGTACTTGGATGGCAATAACTTGTATGGCTAAGCAATGTCTCAGTGTATGCCATGTACGTGGATGGCAATAACCTGTATGACTAAGCAATGTCTCAGTGTATGCCATGTACTTGGATGGCAATAACCTGTATGGCTAAGCAATGTCTCAGTGTATGCCATGTACTTGGATGGCAATAACCTGTATGGCTAAGCAATGTCTCAGTGTATGCCATGTACGTGGATGGCAATAACCTGTATGACTAAGTAATGTCTCAGTGTATGCCATGTACTTGGATGGCAATAACCTGTATGGCTAAGCAATGTCTTCTCAGTGTATGAAATGTACGTGGATGGCAATAACCTGTATGGCTAAGCAATGTCTCAGTGTATGCCATGTACGTGGATGGCAATAACCTGTATGGCTAAGCAATGTCTCAGTGTATGCCATGTACTTGGATGGTAATAACTTGTATGGCTAAGCAATGTCTCAGTGTATGCCATGTACGTGGATGGCAATAACGTATGGCTAAGCAATGTCTCAGTGTATGCCATGTACGTGGATGGCAATAACTTGTATGGCTAAGCAATGTCTCAGTGTATGCCATGTACTTGGATGGTAATAACTTGTATGGCTAAGCAATGTCTCAGTGTATGCCATGTACGTGGATGGCAATAACCTGTATGACTAAGCAATGTCTCAGTGTATGCCATGTACTTGGATGGCAATAACCTGTATGGCTAAGCAATGTCTCAGTGTATGCCATGTACTTGGATGGCAATAACCTGTATGGCTAAGCAATGTCTCAGTGTATGCCATGTACGTGGATGGCAATAACCTGTATGACTAAGTAATGTCTCAGTGTATGCCATGTACTTGGATGGCAATAACCTGTATGGCTAAGCAATGTCTTCTCAGTGTATGAAATGTACGTGGATGGCAATAACCTGTATGGCTAAGCAATGTCTCAGTGTATGCCATGTACGTGGATGGCAATAACCTGTATGGCTAAGCAATGTCTCAGTGTATGCCATGTACTTGGATGGTAATAACTTGTATGGCTAAGCAATGTCTCAGTGTATGCCATGTACGTGGATGGCAATAACGTATGGCTAAGCAATGTCTCAGTGTATGCCATGTACGTGGATGGCAATAACTTGTATGGCTAAGCAATGTCTCAGTGTATGCCATGTACTTGGATGGTAATAACTTGTATGGCTAAGCAATGTCTCAGTGTATGCCATGTACGTGGATGGCAATAACTTGTATGGCTAAGCAATGTCTCAGTGTATGCCATGTACTTGGATGGTAATAACTTGTATGGCTAAGCAATGTTTCAGTGTATGCCATGTACTTGGAGGGTAATAACTTGTATGGCTAAGCAATGTCTCAGTGAATAACTTATATAATTAATGTCAATCATTTGAATAATGTCAATAAGTTATATGGATACTGATAGTCAAAGTAACACTATCAATGTAACAGTCAACTACGTATATGGATACTGATTCAATAACGTATGGACACTGATTCAAAAAGGTATTTGGATAATGATTCAATAACATATATGGATACTGATTCAAAAACGTATTTGGATACTGATTCAATAACGTATATAGATACTGACTCAAAAATGTATGGATACTGATTCAAAAACGTATTTGGATACTGATTCAATAACACATGGATACTGATTCAAAAACGTATATTTATACTGAATCAAAAACGTATATGGATACTGATTCAATAAAGTATGGATACTGATTCAAAAACTTATTTGGATACTGATTCAATAACGTATATGGATACTGAATGCCCATGATTCAAATTGTTATTTTGATCATCACTGAATCAAATTGGAATTCCGATGCATTTTCATCCCACACCCCTTCAATGTAATCCCGTCCCAATGATCAGGAATATAAGATCCAGAATTTGTTTTAAAGTTTTGGGACCCGTTCATCCCTAATTTTGAAAGGTTAGATTATTCCCGACTTTCGGCCGAAATTCATGACTTTTTCACGACTTTTCCCGACCTTTCAAAATCCCCGACTTTTTCCCGAATTTCCCGGAATTCCCGACTGGTAGACACCCTGTTAATAGAATAATTGGTTTACAATTAAATAAATATTAAATATAAACCTTATTTTTCTTTCCGAAGCGCTTAACCCAATAAGTTTGTGTAGATATTCAGCAGAAACCTTTTCCAGCCCGCTGAGCCTTACAAAGCATTCCGTTTTATTGTCCCAAATGTATCTTTGTTTTTTTAGTTCAAACATTTCAACTGTAGTTAGACCTAAAACAACAGAAATAAAAAAGTTTTGGAAAATTGTGTTACTTTTTAAGGTAAAGGTAAATTTTAGAGATAAGTCAAGCAGGAACCAAAATGACTTCTAAGATTTCAGTTATGATTGGTGCATCACAAAGTATTTCAACATCTATGACCAAATTATGATAAAATTTACTTCACTGTCTATTTTCATCTACAGTTTTTTCTATTTTTTTATAACTACATAATACCTTCTCCACAAGAAGAAAAGTCACGTTTTGAAGTTTTTCTGAAACAAAACATATCAAACAATAGTTATTTGTGTAACTAGTGTGCAAAGGCAATTTGCACTCGTGTTACACATTATATTTATATTTTTCCTACAGTTATTACCAAATAATAGAAATAATTAGTCTTTCAAATACTAAACATAATAACACAACCCAACTGTAAGACACCTTTTTAATGACAAAGCAAGCTCATATTTTGGTATCCCTTTTTAATTAGTAAATGGAGAAAGTATTGTTTTTGTCAAAATTTTCGAGTTTGAGTGGATATATCCGTTTTGGGTCCCCCTGAACCCATAAAGTGGTTTACAAAGTGATGTCTGTGAGTTTGTGTGTGTGTCTGTGTGGATGTGTACAGAGCTACAGACCACACCTGTAGTCCGATTTTGATTAAATTTGGTATGTTGGCACAAACTTATGGTATCTGAAAGCGTTTTTTTTTCTTCATTTTTTGAAATTTTGATTTTTAATGGTGATTTTTCTATAAAAAACCATAAAAACCGGGAAAATTTTAATTTTCTTGAAAATTGCAGGAACAATTTTGATAAAAATGTAGTATGTTAGTCCTTTAAATTCTGAAGAAAATGGTACAAATCAGATTTCCTTCAAAACTACGGTTCAAAAGTTATAGTAGCTAACGTTATTTTTCAATTAAAAAAAAAAAACTATAAAATTACAAAAATTGGATTTTAGAAAAAAACTGTAGGTATTAATAATTAAAAATAGTATGTTATGATTCTTGTGAAAAATGGTAAAACTACCATTTCCGTATAAATTACGGTTTAAAAGTTATTATAACTTAATTTCCCATATAAACTCCCTAAAAAAACAGATTTTAGGAAAAAAAAGCCAGTTTTGATCAAGTTTAAATGTGTTATGGTCCTTATAATAATAATTAAAAAAATAGTGCAACGATTACTGAAACAATTACGGTTCAAAAACTATTGCAACTTTTGACATTTTCCTTACAAAATACCATAGTTACTCCCACCGCTTACCCATGATAAAGGTTGATCACAAGCTAAGGGGAGAAAGTATGTGCCAGAATGCTGATACCATTTATTTATTTACGCCACACTACATTATTTTGATGAACTTTCCACGCAAGGATTTAGTCTAGAAAACAGCTGTTTGCCGCCAGCAAATTCAAATGGGGTTTCATTGCGTAATACTGTTCTGCAATGAGTTTTACCGGACACCTATCAGCTGATTATACTGTATTTTCGTGGAAATTAGTGGTTATAAACAAAAACATAACCTCTCTCAGAGGTTATGACTAGTGTTTATTAGTCCTTTAGTTGGTGGAAATATATAAGGATTTGTACGGATTAAGTAGTATGGCGTAAACTATCGTACGTAACTCGTCCAAAATGTGTGTACTCGACTTCGTCTCGCACGGGAACGACCACACTCGTCCGGTAAACACTTATTTTCAGGACTAGTAACGTAATATACTATTACTTCGTTGCCAATCAGCTGATATGCATTGTTGCATGGTTATCTATGAGTTAGTGTTGTTATTGGAACTGTATTGTGAATAAGACTCAACAAGGTGTTTTAACAAGCTCAAAGAGTACATGTCTTGTACAGTACCTACATTAAAAGTAAATAATTTTCTTTATGCTATGAAAGGTTTGAACTTGTTTAAATCTGTTTTTCTTTAAAAAAAAGGGGGCGAAAAATTCAAATTTTGAACTGCCATAACTTTTGATGGGATTGACGTAGAGATCTCTAGTTTGCATAATTTTTTTCTTTATTCATGCTCTCACATTTGATATTTCAAAAGGGGTGTAACTAAACGCAAAGCTTGAGTATAACTGCAATAAGCATTTTATACTTATATCGCCAACCCCGTACGAAGGACAGGTACTCTGCTAGTCCGTCATAAATCAGTAGGTATTCAACAACGTTACAAAATAGGGTAAAAATTTTGAACGTGCATTTCCTGTTATGCATGAGAAGGGAAATCCCCTCTCGATCCTGTCTCAAAATTTTATGAGAAATAAAAAATCTCGTCTCGAACTAAACCCAATCTCATCCATCCCTTATATATACATACATACAAATTTGAACGAATGATGTTTTTGGCTTCTGGGAACATCGAAATGAAAAAGTAAATCAGTCCCGGGCCTAGGTCTTACCGTGCCACCTACCGTAATAGCTACTTCCTTATAGGGAAATTTCGCTAAAACAAGTTCCCCTGTTGTAGCAAGATTTTCACCTCCACTTATTAGGTGCTTTCATGAGTTCCTAGTAGCCTTTAGGATTAAATTGTAACAAGAAAAAATATTTTTGAGCCAAAGAAAAAGTCCTTGATTAGTGCTTTAATAGCTCCTAATGAGTCTTAGTGTAAAATTATTTTATCAACTGTCACAATAAAATTAATTATTACTTACTCAATAAATATTCCATCTACCAATGTTTTAACAGTTTCAACATGATAGCCAGGAGATGAATTTTTAGAATGTTCCTGAAACAAAACAAATCATTTGTGGGAATCTGATTGCAAAACAAGTTCTGAACACAAGTTAAATTAAACTGAATGTAACACAATGACCCGAAATTCTCCACCGAATGTAACTAGTCAGAGAATCGACCTATCAAAGAATACCATGAATCGAATAAGATCATGGCTGAAATACTGAACAGCCACAAGACCACAGGAAAGAAGTGAGTTGTAGGACAGAACAGATAGGAACGGACACTCTCAAAGATAACATCCAAGAAAAAAAATATATATATACAACAAACTCGTCCAAAAAAAAGTTCCAGACGGTTGATATAGAACAAAAATTGTACATTACAAACTTGATTTACCCCCCTGCCAGACGGTTATTTTTTTTATAAGAGTTGTTTTTCAGTTCCTAATTCAATCTTCCTATGCCAAGTAGTGTTTTTTTCCAAGAAAAAAAAAACTCTTAAGGATCAGGCATCCAACTCCAACCAATCAAGCTCCACATGACCCAGTGAAAAGCATAAGACTTGGCAAGCATGTTTAAACTGAATCTTATAAGACTATGATCTGAGAATTAGTGTAAAAGAACTGTGGAAGGGGGGGGGTGGTAATTATAATGATGGGTGAGTAAGAATGGGATCATAAAAGGAGGAGGGTTTTAAAAAACTAGAGATAGGAAATGGGTTGGATAAAAAAATTACCCATTTTAGTACAGAGAAAAACCTACATTTAATGCTTGAACAAATACTTGCCACTATGAGTAATTTTTCAGCAGTCCGCACGGAACATTGACGATTTGTACAGTAAAGCTGGATATGAGGCCACCAATAGAAGATCAGTTTGACAGCACCCAATGACAGAACAACAAGCACCCAAGAGGCTATTGTGAACCACACATGTCTTCGGTATCCGTAAATATCCTGTGGATGATACAAAATAATGGGGTAAAAGTTCCTAATTTCAGAGTATTTGATGTAAAAATTATATGTAATGTTTCTTTTTCTGAATAAAATTGAATTGAATTGAAAAGTTTTATTTTTTTGTATAAGAGGTTGAATATGTTTAATGGTAAAGAAATCAACCAAAAATAAGTAAAAGACACAATCACAATAACAACTTTTATTTGAGCTGGAAACACTTTTATTTGAGCTGAGCAAAGCCTACCTGCCTTACACAGGTAACTTGAAATACACTAGAGGCACGTAATATGACTGCCTACTGTGCTCGTGTAAACACGGCTTTTGAGCAGCAACCAATGGGGCAAGAGTAGTGTTAACAAATGATCATATCCTCGCTCTGTCATAACAAAGTTACTGCACTGTTCAAGGTTACCTATACTGTACTTTAAGGTTTACAGTTACCCAAAATTTACAGTTGCCATGCAGTTGTAGTCATAAAGAGGTTAAAGAGGTTAGTTAGAAAGTAACTTGAAAAAATTCTTGTTCACATTCATGTAAGATTTTATACATTTTGAAACCTTCAAACATGTAAAATTTGCTGCAAACAACATTGTCTTCTCAAATTCAGCATTAAATAAATTTCAGGAAACTCGAATTAGTATTGACCAATTGAGCCGAAAATGTTTTATGCACTTTTTGGTAATTCAAAATGGGACTCGGTTGTTATAACAATTATTTAAGATAGGGACGCCACCACGTGCCTATTTTAACCCAAATATGAGTGAAGGATGAGTGGCGCATATTAATCATTGGCCTCTCAACACAACGATGATTCTTCAGTAAATTTCATCAAACATTTTCGGCACAATTGGTCAATACTAATTCGAGTTTCCTGAAATTAATTAGCCACACAGGTCTAATGAATAGTATTTGACTTAGTTTGATTATATAATAATGCTAGGTTTAAGTCTCACCCATTTTAGACCAAATGGGTGAACTTAAATTAATTATTTTAATGTTTAAGACTAATAATAGGCCGTAAAGTGACTCTTTTTGTCCCAAGCTCAAGTTTCACACGAAAATGAGCAAGGGTTTAAAACACTTTTTTTACCTGTGTGATTGTGATCAAATCATTTTTTTGTCAATTTGTTTTGTTAGACAACAAAAATGCTTTTTATGCAAAGATAATTTCTCAAAATAACTTCCAACTTGTTTTTTATTTTGCTAATGCAAACAAGCAGTTGCTTAGTAAGTGATTCAATCATTTTATCTAACTTGATTGTGTTTGTGTTTACTATACTATTGACTATATACCATAATGGTATAGTCAATAAATGTACTATCGATATTTTGTACTATTAAAAAGAATGCAACAATAAGCTACAAACCGATTAATAGAATCGATACATACATTCCAATAAAGCGATTGCTAACAATTAAAGTTTACAATTGAGTTAAAAAAAGCTGATTTTACTCCCTAGAGGGATCAAAAGCTTTTTACTCCCTAGAGGGATCAAAAGCTTTTTACTCCCTAGAGGGATCAAAAGCTTTTTACTCCCTAGAGGGATCAAAAGCTGATTTTACTCCCTAGAGGGATCAAAAGCTGATTTTACTCGCTAGAGGGATTAAAAGCTTTTTGCTCCCTAGAGGGATCAAAAGCTGATTTTACTCCCTAGAGGGATCAAAAGCTTTTAACTCCCTAGAGGGATCAAAAACTTTTTACTCCCTAGAGGGATCAAAAGCTTTTTACTCCCTAGAGGGATCAAAAGCTTTTTACTCCCTAGAGGGATCAAAAGCTGATTTTACTCCCTATGGAGGATAGAAGCAACTTTAGACCCGCAAAACATGTATTAAAACTGCTGTTATTGCAGTAGTATGACAAAAGTCAATTTTAAATTACATTTTACTAAAAAAAAAGGTAGTTAGTACAGTAAAACTTTACTAACTCGACACTCTCGACAGTCAACAGCTGACCAGACGCTTATCTTGCTGGCTTTGTCTTACATGCGCATACAACTTTTCAACTTCATATTGATCTTCTTTGTCCAGGATCACTTCTTGAATAATAAAATTGTATAAAAGTACCTTTTTCCGTCTTTGAGCCTAAATTTGTTGTATTGAGCGGCCGGTTTCAAAGTTATAACCTAGACAAAACATCTGCCCGTGCCGCGTCGTGTGGAACTAGTTCCTGAATTTATGTAAATTGTCTATGTTTCAAGTTTTATTTATTTAAATGTTTAGTGTCTTTGTGTGTATTCAAAACTTGAAGATCTTGCAAGAGGGACAACAAGAGCCTGATGATGAGGTTATAACCATGAAACCGGTTGCTCAATACAACAAATTTAGGACCACAGACAGAAACAGGTAATCTTATACCATTTTTTATTCAACTGTTCAAGCACAAGCCTGAAGATTTTTTATAATATTCTTTACAGATTGTTTACTAAATATGTAAAAATACTTGTGTAAGTAATACATTTATAGTGAAAAAATTAGTCTGTTATGTTTCCTTTTATTAAACCCACGAAAAATGTCAATGTTCTGTATAACTCAACAACTTCCAACCTTGACAACCTCTGGGTCCACACATTGTCAAGTAAGTGAGGTTTTTCTGTACTTGGTTAAAGGAGAAACAAGTGTGATTGGAATGTATAAATAACAATCATAAATCAAACCAATTAAGAGAGTCTGGTAGGCTTAAATGCTTACCATTTGATCTTCCAGTCCTTTGTTGATAAATGACACATAATCTGTAGTTATGCCTTTTTCACAGTTACCTGGATGGGAAAGTTACAAATGATTAATAAATAACCAAGTATCTTAAATGCTGAATTGACTACTGGATTATTTTGTGACATCATTTTACTGTGATAGAAAATGTCTGAAATAATCTTTTAAATAGGCGTATGTAACATATTTTTTTTTTACTATGTTACAAAAGTGTATTTTATTTAATAGGAAATAGCCGGAATACTAGAATAAGATTACACCTCAGCTTGAAAATAAATAATTTAAATATTTAAATTAGTTATCAGAAATTATTACTTGAGAAAATTACATATATGATTAGTTAATTTTATGGAGTTGGGAATTAGTACAAGTTTAGAGTGTTTGAAAAGCCCGCCAGTCCAGTTGACAGTGTTTAACGTGTAGGCCACCAACCATGCGCCGTGGACTCTTTTGGCCGGACCGGCGTGTCGATTCCTGCACACCACCGGACATGCGCACAAGCGGCTAACCTTCTCTGCGGCCGCGATCGACTCCAGGGGGTCGGGCAGTTGATCTACAACTCTAAATCCGAGCAGTTCGAGTTTTAACCTTCTTAGAATCCTTTTACGGCCAGCGTGAACCCTTCGAGTAATTAGTGTCCTGGAATTCATCTGGCGAAGGTAGGAGACGGCAATCAAACCTTCTCTAGTTTGTATTGATTTTCACTGTTTCATCAACCTTTTTATACCGCTAGTTAATCAGCTAAACATTCTGCTAATTCTTTGCAAATTAATTATAAATTGTCTCTTAACTCCCCGAGATCCCGGTACTGACACTAACCTTCTTAAACCGTTAGTTAGTCAGCCTAACAGTTTGCTAATTATCCCCTAATTACCTACTAATTGTCACTTAACTGACACTAGCACTCCTCTAGCTAGTTGGTCAGCTTAATACTCCCCGAGATTCCTGTACTGACGCTAACCTTCTTAAACCGTTAGTTAGTCAGCCTAACAGTTTGCTAATTATCCGCTAATTACCTACTAATTGTCACTTAACTGACACTAGCACTCCTCTAGCTAGTTGGTCAGCTTAATACTCCCCGAGATTCCTGTACTGACGCTAACCTTCTTAAACCGTTAGTTAGTCAGCCTAACAGTTTGCTAATTATCCGCTAATTACCTACTAATTGTCACTTAACTGACACTAGCACTCCTCTAGCTAGTTGGTCAGCTTAATCCTCCCCGAGATTCCTGTACTGACGCTAACCTTCTTAAACCGTTAGTTAGTCAGCCTAACAGTTTGCTAATTATCCGCTAATTACCTACTAATTGTCACTTAACTGACACTAGCACTCCTCTAGCAAGTTGGTCAGCTTAATACTCCCCGAGATCCCGGTACTGACACTAACCTTCTTAAACCGTTAGTTAGTCAGCCTAACAGTTTGCTAATTATCCGCTAATTACCTACTAATTGTCACTTAACTGACACTAGCACTCCTCTAGCTAGTTGGTCAGCTTAATACTCCCCGAGATCCCGGTACTGACACTAACCTTCTTAAACCGTTAGTTAGTCAGCCTAACAGTTTGCTAATTATCCGCTAATTACCTACTAATTGTCACTTAACTGACACTAGCACTCCTCTAGCTAGTTGGTCAGCTTAATACTCCCCGAGATTCCTGTACTGACGCTAACCTTCTTAAACCGTTAGTTAGTCAGCCTAACAGTTTGCTAATTATCCGCTAATTACCTACTAATTGTCACTTAACTGACACTAGCACTCCTCTAGCTAGTTGGTCAGCTTAATACTCCCCGAGATCCCGGTACTGACACTAACCTTCTTAAACCGTTAGTTAGTCAGCCTAACAGTTTGCTAATTATCCGCTAATTACCTACTAATTGTCACTTAACTGACACTAGCACTCCTCTAGCTAGTTGGTCAGCTTAATACTCCCCGAGATTCCTGTACTGACACTAACCTTCTTAAACCGTTAGTTAGTCAGCCTAACAGTTTGCTAATTATCCGCTAATTACCTACTAATTGCCACTTAACTGACACTAGCACTCCTCTAGCTAGTTGGTCAGCTTAATACTCCCCGAGATTCCTGTACTGACGCTAACCTTCTTAAACCGTTAGTTAGTCGCTACTTGAATCTTAACTGACGCTAGCACTCCTAAGGCTAATTGGCTTTGATATTAGAACATAGTACAGGTATCATAGAGTACATTGCTGTATATTGCTAACCTCCACTAACAGTCCTGAGCTTATTGACACCAACCTCCCTTTGTTGGTTAGTCAATCGTGTCCTCTCTACTCGACAAACGGCTATTTCAAATATTATCAATTAAAGTATTCGAGCTGAATAGTCAAGAAATTTGTTAATTATCACCGTTCACCAGTGTAAAGTCATTCAATTTTCCCGATCAACGTAATTGATTATGATGTTATGATGAGTGGTTAAACCACCAACACCTGTGGGCTGGTCTCGCATGAGAAATACCACACTCTGAATCAATTACGTATTTTATTTTAAATTGTCCATATCTTTCAGTAATCCTAATTTGACTTGGAAGCTTTAATCCATCTATCCCAGAGAGATTATAAATTACCGAAAGTATTCAGTAATAAAAGGTTTGCCCTTATCTTTGTTTACACATTCGGCCTAATATTATTACAAGCTTATCTGATAACTCCCGATTAACTCTGTCCCCTGGAATTTTCTTAGATAAAGAAACCCCACACTGCTAGACTGTCTATCCGACGCTCAAATCTATTTAAATTCTAACGTACACAAAAATGTGCGTTATCATAATAACTCCGTTGCGTTAATTTAGGAGTACAGTAGACTCCCTCTTATCCGGATACCTTTTAACCGGACATCGGATTAACCGGACTACACTCGGCGGAAATGACATCTGTTTAACCGGACAATTTTTATCAGCACATTGGTTTAACCGGCCTAGATCGGCAGGAAGTGGGCAGTACTGAAACGACTGTTCTCGTGGGAAAGATTTGAGACCAGTGATCACGTGTCTAAATAAAATGCTCTCCTAAATTTAAGTGAAATATCACAGTAAACAGTCTGTTTTAATGAGTTTTTGGGGACGTCGGTTTAACCGGAAAACCCGTTATCCGGACTGGCCTCGGTCCCGAGGAGTCCGGATAAGAGGAAGTCTACTGTATGCCAATACTTACCTAAATTACATGTTTTGCTACTTTTTTATTGGTTGGATTTTTTACAGGCTATCGAGTTATATATCGAACGAGTATTTCATCCAATAATAGATCATAGATACAGTACTCTGTGTTATTGTTCCCCATTTTAAAACAGCCAGTTTTTAAACGAGGTGTTAAAGCTCGTAAGCTGGCGTTTGGGCCTAGCGCAGGCAGTGTATGCGGGAGGATGGTGGAGGTAAGGAAAAGACCAGACCATAAACATTTTCTCTGACTCGCTGTGTTTCATGTACTTAAGCGCCTTCACGTGGGTTGTGAGGACAGTTGACACAGCCCGCATGACGGCACATAACGTTTTTGAACTAGATGCTAGTTACAGTAGCGATCGGTCAAGTGTCAGCTTACGAGTCACGAGCTGAAGGCCTAAATAGGTAGGTATGTAGCCTAAATACAAATTTTTAAACAGATGGTATATGTGATAAATAAGTGTTTTAACAGATTTATATTGCAAATTAATTGTGTATTATACTATGTAATACTTACTTCTTGAACTTTCCATTATGATGGTACAGATCCTGTGGCAGGACAAACTTCCAACCTTCTCTTGGTAATCGAAACAAGGAATTAGTGTAGGCCTAGACTGGCAGAATATTTAAGTAAGTACCGGTAGGCTATACTGTAATCAGAAAATATTCTAGTACAAAAATAGTGTATTTCTACTTTCCTAATTAATTATAGTAGGCCTACTTGTAGGGCGGAGATAAAGAGTGTTTTCCTGTTAAGCTCGCATCACGAAGAGCCGCTTTTGATCTTTTACAACTCTTCAATATCATCAATGGTCAGGTGGACAGTCCTGAACTACTTGAACTGATTAACTTTCATGTCCCAGTCTCCACCCGGAGATCTCGACCCTTCTCCAAGCATCACCAGCAGTACAACTTGAGTTCTTTCTTTGGGCCTTCCTTGCCACTCTTTAGGAGATTAGTGTTTAAGTGGGCTGCTGACCAGATCCAGCTTTAGTCTTTGTGCTTTTGGTGGTGCCTCTAGAGGGTCACACTTCCAGTGCCATATGTGCAGTGAAGTGAGTGTGTTTTTGGTGGTGCCTCTAAAGGGCCACACAATCAGTGAGAGGAAGTGCCAACTGCCAAGCAATATTATTCCGTCAATTTAAGTTTTTATTTTTGTCTAGAGTATTTATAACTGTATCGCTTTCATTTTAAAATATTTTTAATCCTTGTTATTAATTTATGCAATCTTTATCAATTGTTGTTACTCTTTGTTGTTGTTTTTGTATAGTTTTTTAATGATATCTTTCTTTCAATTAATTGTGTTCTTTGCTATTGATTATCTTGAATATTGATTATCTTCTTGAATATTATCTTGTTAAAACCCAATTGTAAAATGGTGTTTGCCGTTTATGTTCAAATATAAAATAAAGCAATAGGTGTACTAAAGAGGTGATAAAAACATTGATACTGAAACTTATCACTAGCCTACCTACTGTACTAAAAAAATTGATTTAAGGCGAGAAAAAGTATATAAGTTATTTTACCCCCACCTAAAACGTCCTATAAGACATTTTAAACTGTTTCTAAACACCAACACTACAACTTTCTCAAAAGACTGTTTGGTCACCAAGACTTCCTGTAGACACCGCTAGATTACTAGACACCACCCCTGAAAAACTCGCTTAACCATTGTAGTACAGTTTGTAGGGTGGAATTAAAGAGTGTTTTCCTAGGTACTAAAGAGGTGATAAAAACATAGAATCTGAAACTTATCACTAAATTTAGCCTACCTAGGCCTACTATACTCAAAAAATTGATTCAATGCGAGAAAAAGTATATAAGTTCTTTAACCCCATAACAGTATTTTTCTATTTTCTAACATATCACGTCCAAGCGGAACCGATTAATAAAAGGCCTAAACTAATGAAAAATTAATAATAATGATGGCATATTATTTAGTTTAACAAACTAACCTGAAAGGAACATAACATAAATATATGTAAAACTATAACATATTGTCTTATTTTCTTAACAGCCCTAATAAAATATCACAATTGTTGCAAAGTAATCAATTTAACCAAAGTAAACATACTAGGCCAGGCCTATTTTAAACTATGATTAGTCTATTCTACGTCATTGCAATGGAACGTGAACGTGTCAACAAGCAGGGAATGAATTGAATAAACAAAAACAAACACTTTAGTGTTGTCGTCTGTCAAATTGAACACCACGCAAACATTCCCGCCATAGGCACACAAAATCAGCTGTTTGGGAAATGTTAAGGCTAAGTGGAGTGGAGATAGCTTACAAATATTACCATTGAATAATATAATAAGCCTCAAACCCAATTGTTACTGTACATGGTTGTGTAACTTATTTGTAACCTGTAGACATATTTTTCTGCGTAGACTTCCCAGCTGCTGAGTTTATTACCGACCAAGCAGTCTTGCACTTGTTTTCTAGTTTATCTCGGTGATTGACGGATTTTCAATTTTTGAACATCTTATGGCTATATGTAGCAGAAATGTAAAATGGTGTATGCCATTACTGATACATAATTAAATAAATTTAATCAATAGCCTAAATGATTCTAACAAACAAAACTTCACCAACCTGAGTCAACGATATGAAGTGGTAACAAGACAAGCTTTTGTTTTGACCATTGGCCATTCCCTAAATAAACACTACAAAAAGTAAAAATGCCAATGTTGTAGAATGTAGATGAACATAAACTTAAATAACAACTTTATCTAAATCTGAAAAAATTGTCGTTCTTTTTGTCGAGTAAGGTTTATTTCAATTTATTAATAAATGAATAGTGCTGTGGCTGAACTGTCACATTCGCTGATTCACACTAAAGTTAGAGAGGGGAAATCGTACTTTTTAGCTACTCCAAATATGGTTAAATTACCGTATTAGTAGCAATGATACATTTTTACCCTTTTACCGTTGACAGTAAAAAATATACATCCAAAAGTTTAATGAATATTATTATAATATGAATGTATAGCTAATTATTTGGCATGTATCTCTCATTCTCCCAAGTCAATCAACGATGTCTGTCTTTGACTCAGCTGTTTTTCAGGCAGCGGGAATCCGTTAAAACCGTTAAACCAACCAAACGTGATTGTTCATCTTCATGTTGACTTCTTTTCTTTTAGGTTATGTTACTTTGTGAGTGAAGTTGTACCTGCATTATGTTAGTTTCCTTTAAAATGTTGTTCCTTAACTTGTGATTGAGTTGTATGAAGAAAAATCTGAATAACTTTGTGACGATTAATTCCAAATACTTAAATATTTTATTGTTTCGAATTCAGTTAATTACTAAAGTTAAGATTCTGTGTGAACCCGGCAAACTCGGCTTTCAACTTAAAGTTTGGTAAGCAAGTTTCAACACTAAAATGACCAATATATTGACTCGTTTACAAGAAAATGGCATGCCAATTTCTTCTAAGATGGACAACCCTACCAATGGAGAAATACATATTTGGAGAATGAGAGTTGCTGTTGTATGGAGTATTATTATTCAGCTCATGATGTTCTTGACTTATATCTTGTTCATAAGTGCAGATCCCTTTCATCCTTTGTCATGGATAGCAAATTGCTTTAGTGTGTTTCTCTCTCTTAGTTTGTGGCCCAAGCTCGTTGTACTCGTACTCACAATTTACTCACAAGGAGAGGTTTGCAAAAGAGACTATGTAACTGGCCCTGTATACCATGTCACAAGATTTCAAAAGATTCGTCACATATTCAGTATCCGCAACATTTTATTGATGTTGTTACATGTTGTGATTGGAGTTACAGTATTTTGCATCTATAGCTCCATTCATGATAGCACGTCTTACTTTCTCGTCAAACCCTGTGTATATAAATTTCAGTCAAAACTCATGGATAGTTGCCTCGTTGAGAACAATCTATTTCTGTTGCTCGGAGGAGTTTGGATTGGAATTTTTTACTTCGTAAATGATTACATGTTTGGTTCTAGAAACTTGATATTTCCTTTGATTCAACAATATAAGTTTTATCGGGTAAAAGCAGCATTGAAGGAGAACATGAAGCATTCCATAAAACATTCGGTTGTGCCGACTGTTATTTTCTTGATTCTGTATTATATTTATGGCGGTTTGATTCGAAGTGCTATAGCTGAATTTCTCTCCCTCAAAATGGACAAAGAACCTATTGATTCGATTCGAGGATTACTGAACATCAAGTTAATTTTCTACCTTTGGTTATTTTCATCTATTTTTGTCACTGGATTGCACACTATGGAACTGTTATTCAATGTGCATCTAACTGAACACTGTGTTTTTCCGGTTTCTAATGAACTGTTGCCAACTGGAAACCACATGAGACTGATTGATTCCCTCAAGAAGGCTGATGTCCCAATCATTCACCATTTGGGTTATTTAGATCTATTCATATTATCAACAAAGTGTCGTCAAAGGAGAGAAGAAATATTTACATTGAGTCACCCTGGAGGACATCCACATGACTGGAATAGTATACATAAAGAGTGTATCACCTTGATAAAGACTTTTACTAGCGACTTGAGTCAAGCATTGCTGCAAGATAACAGTAATAAAAAAGACGCTCTGAACAAAGTGTCTAAAGTTGAAGTGACTGGTTTCCATTTTCATAATCACAACATAAGAAAACTAGCTTCCCCTATGGGTGTCAAGATGGTTGGTGAGAGAACCCTGGAGGCTCAGAGTGCTGTTGAAGTCGCCTTTAACAATATCCAAAACTGGGTGAACGCCAAACTAGAACAGTTTTATAAGAAACCTTACATCGCTTATTTTTTTGGGGAGTCTCCAGACACCAGAATAAACTTCTTGCTCTGTAAGTCACAGCCTGTTATATGGGCCGTTCAAGGTTTGGCATTCTTGTGTTCAGCTTCCTTGACTGAAGACCGCTACGGAATCGTTCAAAAAGATTTGCCTGATATCATCAACACAGTTGTAAATCTCAAACAGGTTTTGGACAAGCTTTTTAAACAGAACCTCATTGTCAAGAAGTCGTTTGCAAACGATCCTTTGGACGTTCAAATGAAGTACTTATTGAGATCATCAGTGAAGAGAAGTTTGTACTTGATAGCTGTCACATTTGGTCCTTACATGAAAGATATTCAGTTACCAGTGGATGTGAAATTGCAGTTGGACAACTTCAGTGCATTCAAGGAGGTTTGAATTTTCTATCTGGGTATAATGCATTTTTCTAGTCCAGTTCCTGATAAAAAATGAATTCTTACATTTTTGTACTAGTTCACATTTATTTTTGACTTAATTGTAATTTTGACATGAATGTATAGCTAGGACTACTTCTATTTATTAAGACCATGGCCGATTTGGTATTCAAGGGTATTCTGTGCAGTATCCCCGCCTTTAAACACACGTTTAACTCATTCCATATTTCTAAAATAATCTCAACATGACAAGCCTAGTACCGTATCACTAATTTTAGATACCATTTAAGTCGGTGATGTAAACCGGATGTATTATATTTGATAATCCTGATGAATGTAAATCTACTTTAAGTGTAAGTTAGTAAAATCCATTAGCTGGCTCCAACTCCTTCAAATTTAAGTCGAGTCAGGCCAGGTTAGGTTAGGATACTTATTCATTATTTTATTTGTAATATCTAGAAAATTGTTTACATATGATAAATGTTATTACCATCCTACCCTAACCTGATTGATCTTGCATTTAAAAAGGTCGGGGCAGCTAACAGGTATTTGACCTTATTCGTAAATGACATGGAGCCTATTCAATCAAGCAAAGCGAGTAGGTAGTCATTACAAATTTCTTTACCTTTGCTTATCAGGAGATATTAAAACCAGACTTAAACTAAAAACAAACTAACCCAAATTCTTTTCATAGCCCCTAATACAATAGGTATGGTTCTATAGCCTACTCTTGCCAGGTTTTTCATCCTGTGTCTTACGTTTGACACCATTCAATATAGGCCTATAGGCTAAGCCAATCAAGCAACCCTTTATTTCTTATGTCAGCTGTGTGTCCTATAAGAAAATCTGCTCCGGATATTTTATAAACGGGATAACAATTTTGATGTTAAATCGTAGGAGTGTTAACAATTAGTATGATGGTAGGTTAAACAATTCAAAGCTGTTGTGGTCTTATTAAAAGATGTGCTGTAAATAATATTGTAAATTTAATGTTGATCGTAGATTATTTAAGATTCATGTATTTCAAGTTAAAAACAGTTTTCCAACTAGGTCAAACAATCTTTTTTTTCAATTTGTATTGCTTCTGAAGGTATCAAATTATTATGTATAACACTATCAGCCTATACAGTTGTGGTGCTACTGTGCAATAAACCTATAAACTAAACCTTACCTAACCTCTGCAAAAAACTCGTGTACCACCAAGTGATCCTACTCTTTTAGTCAGAATACCATGTTTTGAAGGCAAACTGGGATCATCCCATATTTTTTGTCTCATGACACTAAAAAACCCCAGAAATAAATCAACAATTTATGGAAGTATAAGAATATATATCAGCAATATATTTAATACCTGGCACCATGGTGGAAGGAAAATACATCTAGGTGTGCTATTCCCATCATATTCTGACGTCACTCGGATTTCAAACAAAAGATCACCTGATTGTAACTTTCAAATTAGTACAGTACCTATGTATTTGTTTTGATTTGATTGTTATTGTTTTTATAATGTTTTCAAAATGGTTGAATGTGTTCATTATAAAAACAATAACAACCAAATCAAAACAAATCAGGTGATCATTTGTTTGCAATCCGAGTGACGGGAATAGCACACCTATGTATTTTCCTTCCACCATGACCTGGCACATTTAGGGGACAAATAGGGGAACAATTGGGGCTTGATAAATATTAACAAATCTAATAATGATAACCAAACTATAAGCTAAGAGAAGCAATGGAAGGAAAAACAAAATTGGAATGTAAGAAAGTAATAACTAGGTAAATGACCTTCAATCACTAGTTAAGTGCACATAGTGCACCAATGAAATGTGAAATGTACCTGAAAGTTTACTACAAACTCTCTTACCTGGGCAAATCAAGTGACAATCAGTTGCCTAAAGGCAAAAGTGTCTTTTATACTTAAGATCTCAAGTATTTGCTATAAAAAGATGTTGGTATTTTGATAACATTGCATAAAAATGCAAGATAGCACTCTGATCCCAGATTAAGACTCTGCAGTGTATTGTACAACACACATTTTAAATTTGAATATTGTTATACAACTGACTGCAATTATTAGGATAGGTTTTTATTGCAGATTACAACAATAGTATCTAGGAGAAATTTTAAGTGATTATAAGCTGGAAACATAAATTATATGGTGTACAACATTGAATTATTATTAGCAACAGCAACAACGATAAGTAGGCTTATCTACCTTGTAGCCATACAAAGCAGGCTAATTCCTTTTGATATACCAATAGTACATAATCATGAATTGTAATCCAATCTTCAGGACTAAACACAAAGAATCCTGTTTAAGGTTTAGTTTATTAATTTTATGTGATTAGCTCTGAAGGTTGAATTAATAAAAAAACACAATTTCTTAAAATGACCTAAATAATTGAATAGGACTACAGTATGTAATTACAAACAAAAAAAAAAGTAAAAATAAAAATAAAAGTTTAAATGTTTTCCAATTTTAGTTTACTTTCTGTAATTTGGTCTAGGCTATCTATTATTTATATCGAGGTTGTTTCAAAATCATAATCTTATTTGGCATCATTGCCTTTAGCCGCCACTCTTGTTAACTTATATAAAGCATCAACCTCCATGATATAAATTAGTTGCAAGTTGGGTCCACTTACTATTTCTCTTTTTCCTATAATATTTGTTCATGTAAATTGTTAATGTTGAGAATAAATTGTTTTGTATATATAGTAAAGTAAATTGTATTGATTCAAGTAAACAACACTGTACAATAGTGTTGTTTTATGGTTAAGCATTATTATTTGTGTAAAGAATTAACTTATTTGTTTTTTTTTTCATAGATAGGTTAGAATTTTGTTACAGTAGCCCTGAAATATAGTAAGATTTAAACTGTATTATGTTTATTATATATTTCTTAATGTCATTAACATATACCTTGATAATTAATACGTTTGTTTAAAAATAATATTGTCTCTATTTTACAAGCATGAGTACAGCAGCTTAATCTCATTTATTTTTTTTACTTTTCAAAGCCTCACAGTTAAATGAATTCTAATACAAAACAAAAATCTGAAGTTTATTTTATGAGAAGGGTAATTTAAACCAATAATATTAGTAAAAAATTTATGAGTTAAAAAATATATACAACAAATTGTGTCCCAACAAATAAAGTTCTTCTAAGGCTTTAATTTAGAATTTCACAAGACAGTTTTCATTGTTGGATCTAGATGTTTTGATACCATCTTTGGAATTATGTGGCTTAGTTTTTTCCATCCAATTCTTGTAAAAAGCTTAAATGTCAGGTTTTGTCTCTTAATCCCACATAAAATCCACCCCTTCTCAAGGGACCTGGATTTTTGTTAAAAGAATAAAATAAAGTTTAATAATACATTGTAATTTTATTACTGCCAATGGGACTTAGAATACTTTGAGTGTTTTAATAGGATTGAAATTGTCTCAAAGTTATCTTTAAGAATATGTTGTTTGTTAGGCATAAACATTGTTTTTTACTTGTATTAATGTGTGTTCTTTTTGGAAAATAAATAACATTTTTTGTAAATTAGGTTTTTTACTGTCCTACGTACCATAATATATTTAAACATAATAAATATGACAACTTATATAAGTTAATATACAGTTTAATTTCAAGCAGACGTACGGTACATTTATTTTTAATGATCTGCAATTCTATTACTTACAAGTTAACAAATTATATGTCATAATTAGAACAGGAAACATTGAACAAACTTGGAAACTTGAATTAGTTTAATTAAAATGAATTAGAATGTCAGCTCTCCAAAAGATATGATCTAGTTCCAAGTTCATTATTTTAATCATAAAATCACTTAAACCTTCACTTACGACTTAATTATGTGGTTATCACATCAAAAACAATTGGTAGCTGTTCATTGAAGAGTATTAAAGTATTACCCATCGATATTAACAACTCATGGATTGCTGTTGTCTTGATATTAACAACTTGCTCAGTGTTGGCCATGCGGTCTAGCTTCCCCCACTCACGACTGGCAGAAGCAGACGCAGCCAATACACTCACCATAATAAAACACACATTTTTTTAGTTGCTGCTCTGTTGAAATATACAGGAAAAATATTGCTAACACATGTCAAACTCTTTTCACTATACAAAACTTTATGTCTGTTTTGTTTCTTGCACAAAATAACCCATTTGAACTCTTTCAAACTGCTTATTAACTAAACTCGATTTTAGATGTTTTTAAACAACTTGCTAGTTCCAAATTGTACATGGCAAAATAAAGTAATTGAAAAGAAATTATAGAAAGTGCAATATTTGTAATGTCAAACCTATTTTACTTAACTTATTAAACATTTCTGAATAGTATTATTTTGTTAAGTTTTTGCTTAAGAAATATGTTTGACGTAAGCGCATTACTTTTTCCATTCACTCTGTGATGACAATGTATCTTACAAAATAGGTCGCAAAACAGATAAAAAAGTGTCACGTTTACGTCTAACATAGATATGAGGCAAAAACTGAACAAAATTATCCTATTCAGAAATATTTAATGGGTACTTTGGTACTATACGGAGGCCACCCTTAAACAGCGTGCTGCGGCGGTTAAGTTAGGTTGGGTTATCATAAATATGTTTGTAAGACTTTACTAGTTTCGTTATGAATTGAACGAAACCAGATGAGTCATACTTTCGCCCGCCAAATCCTCTCCAAGTAGGCCAAAATCAAGGCGCATCACCTGTCACCGCCTGTATCTGGGTCTGTGCCTGGAGCGATTTATTGTTGTGCACTAGGTCAGTTTTGTCCCCATAATGAGTGACGTTCTTTTGAACGAAATGAGGAAAGTCCTACAAACATATTTATGATAATCTAATTTAACATAACCGCCGCAGCGCGCTGTATACAGGTAGCCTCAGTTTCAACTCAACCCTCGCCGACATCGCTGCCTTCTGGGAAGCAGAACTCAAAGGCCGCTAATCGTAATCATGTCAAATTTGGACAGTAAGTCAATTTAAGTATGTTCTTTCCAATTATGTAGTTATTTTTGGTATGAGGTACAAAAAATCCCTCTAAAATAAGTGGCCTCCAGATAATAACAAAGTACCGTGTAATGTGTAATAAATTGTTTAATAAGGGGTTTGAAATTACAAATATTGTATTTTCTATCCTTTCTTTGCAATTACTGGTTATTTTACCTAGTACAATTTGGAGCTAACAATATCAACAGTTGTGCAACTCATTAAAACCGAGTTTAGTGAATGTGTAGTTTTAAAGAGTTCAAATGGGTAATTTTCTACAAGAAACAAAACAGACCTAATGTTTAGAATAGAAAGAGTTTGACATGCATTAGCAATATTTTAACATAGCAGCAACTAAAACGGTGCGTTTTATAATGGTGAATGTATGGGCTGCGTCGGCTTCTGCCAGCCGGAAGCGGGGGGAGATAGACCAAAAACCGAGTCCGCAGTGCCACTGTGAGCGCAATACATAGAGTTCTTTACATCGTTGGCTGTACCTGACATTTGCACTCTGGAAGTTACTAGCTTAGAACTGCAACACATGGTAGAATTTTAGGTCTAATCATTGGAAACGGAATTTCTTCATACTTGACAGTCTGAGCGGGTCTGACAAAAACAAACAGTAAGGCCCTGTCTACACTGGGGCCAGTTGTGCTAGAAAGAAGGGACTGGTCTGACAAGAAATAAACTAGTTTGTTTTTTCTCCCTGTCACTTGTTGAAAATTGCTGTTTTAGAAGTAACTTTTCTTGTTGAGAGATGACAATGTACTGAATTCTGAGACTGAGACTAGCTACATTATAGGATCCCCGGGTGTCTTCTGGTTGGCTGACCAAGTAAGAGGGCCAGGCTTACAAGTGACCATGGGATTGCATCACAGCTGGGACAGCTTATTGTGCACCACCTCGATTCTATGTTCACTGTCTCCTAAGCTAAGCCATGAGATAGCACCATAGTATAAGGTATTGATTACTGTCTGGTGTGTGACGCCAACCTGACTGTAACTGAGCTTGGCGAGAGAGGCCCACTTACAAAATAGACTGTGCCAGCTTATTGGACATGAAGGGTGTCTTAACCAATTACAACCACTTACAACCACCACCACCACTTACTTACAAACGTCTTTGTTAGCAAAGAATGGTACTTATAAAGGAAGTACTGTAGTGTGTAAGTTGACAAGATGGGTGGTTTGTTTGTGGGAGATTCTTTTCTAGGGTAATTTAATATACATGTTTTGTAGAACAAGAAAAAGTATACCAACAGTTGGTTATCCCCACTGTGTGTATTAATTTAATATCATAATCGTTTGAGATTGAGACTAGGTGCATATTTGAACCCAAACATGAGTAGAAAGAAGTTAAATGCCTTGTGTAACTTTGTTACCGACTAAGAAGACCAGCTGTTTTATTAGTCAGGACCATTATTAAAAGTCCAATGATCAAGGACAGCTGGGTCCAGTTTCGAACCATCAAAACGCAATAATATTAACTTATGAAAACATTGGTTTAGTTTACAAATTATTAAGCATACACCAAAAAAGAATGTGTTAGAATGCCTACACAGTAAATAATAAATTTGCTAAATACTTTGGTTTATGGAAACATCTTGATAATTTTGTTACTCACACAACAGCAGTCATACTACAGCAAAAAAAGTCTGTTTTTAACACGTGTTGCAAGGGTCATTTTGTTTTTTTTATCAGCTCGAGTTGAGGACATTACTTATGAATCAAGAATGTTATGCAAGCTTCTATCTTAATTACTTAGATTACTAAGTAGTTATGGTTTGTATGACACCACTCTTTGCTCCTTTTTCTTACAAATATGTTGCAGTCTTTTGTAAAATCACAGTGGTGGATCCAGCCAGGGGAGCGTGTGCCCCCCTCTTGGCAAAAGAATTGCCTGCGGTCGCGGCAAAATTGTGGACATCTCCCACTATCACAGGGAAATCTTTGTCGTTACTTGCGAGCGTGGAAAATAATTTATCTTAGAAAACAATTGTTGTTTATAAAAAGTGGTTTTTGTGCTAAACACATCTGCCCCCTTTTGCTTACGGCAAGTCCAGCACTGGTCATACTTCTATCTCGCGACATTATCATCGCCTTCCCCGATTGCGGTAAAATCTTGAACATTGCCGCGAACACCAAGATTCGTTCTCGTCACCTACGGGCTGCGATCACAGTTAAATTATTGCATAGCAACCAATAAACAGAAACTGACGTTTTTAACTCAATTTAGGGGGGTTTCAATTAAAAAACAGTTAACGAACGGACACCCAGTTTTAAAAATAGTGTTAATTTGAACCCTCTCAAAGAAAACACTACAATTATGTTGCTATATGAAAAAAAAATCAATGTGTTTCTCTCTCAACAATATCCTGGATCGGCCTCTGTAAAATCATACATGTTCATCAGTTAAAAATCATGCTAAGTACTTTGCCTAAGGTTTATAACATGGACATTATGAAGGTTAAACGAAAATATCAAAAATAGCTTTCAATGCAACAACTTTTTATTTTATTACATAAAGCCTAAATTAAGAGGATGGAAATATTTTTGTATTTCGCTTGGAATCATTTGGATTTTACACAAAAAAAACTATTATACTATTAGCAAAACTAAAACTCCAATACAAATTTTTCCTTTAATGATAGTAAAATTCTATACCTAATAGTTTATGAAGAATATATAGTGTACTTATTTAAATTTAAATAACTTACAGTACACTTAGCACACAGTTAAAGAGGTATTTTGTACTATTTAACTTTTTCAACAACATTTTGTCTTCAGAAAATAGTATTTTGAGCATCGACAGAGTTGTTTGATAACAAAGAGCTGTCTATGTTATTAGCCTGTTACTACTATAATCCCGGAAAAATAAGAAAACATGAAAATAAAGAATTATTGTAATTGAAATCAGTTAAAAAACAATGTTAATTACAAAACTGTAAATAAAACCTTAACTTTTCAGGAGCTTTAAAAATTAAAAAAATCATTCAACACATGGCAGTGATAAGGTTAACTGGTTTACATATATTTAATCCAAATTACCTACACATTTCAAACATTTTATTTTCATGTTTCAAACAAGATTTTAATAAATCGGAAATGTTGTAAATTTGTGTCTGACAAATTTCAAAACAATTACTGGTAAGTACAAAGACACCTCTTGAACCACTTTCATATAAAAATAACCAAAATCTATGTATATGATTCGTTTTAGGCCCGATGATCATCACAAAGTTTTACAGTTTACAAAATAAATCCTCCCACTTGGAAATTTCTAAATTACGGCTACACGTATTACTTTAAAATACAAAACCGGCTTGGCTCCGTATAAAAACACGAGTAGAAGAGTAGCTAGGCTTCTCAGGCCGTGCAACTGAACAAGTGGATTAACACCTCAACAACATAGTTAGGATATGACGATGCTTTGAAAGCTATGAGTCCCTAGTCTATACAACAGCAGGATAACAACAATAGTGATAGATGTTATATACATTTAGGTAACAAACCTTGACGGACACCGGGGCCAATGTAATCTCCGATTTCTTCCTCTACGACTAAATTTGTACAAGATAAAGGAAAACACAAGGATTTAGGACAAAAAAGTAATACGAGGCAAAGTTTCAACAGATGTGCTTTCCTTGACATAAAACTAGTTTTAACAAATTACCTTTGTGGAAAATTGAGATGAATTAATCTGGATTGGTTAAATGTAAATGATAAAAATGTGTTCACAAATGTACTGAATTAGTCAAGAACAGATTAGTTTATACTTCCTGAGCTTTAATAAATGTCATATTTTCGAGATGTTTTGTGTTTGTAAAAGGTAACAAGTTTTATCATAACAAATAAAGATTGATAGGGTATACAAAAGCAAAATTGTGCATCAGAAATATCAAGATTAGCACCTCCAAGTGAAGGAAAAAGGTGAATTTTTGTAATTTTTACTTGAAGGATATAGTTATTCTGCTTTAAAGCAGCTTAAGTGACTTCATAAAATACATAAACTTTTAGATGTTTTCAAACATTGGAATAAGTGTTTTTTTTTTATATTTCATCTTCAACAATAAAAACTGAAAATAATTAAATACACCTTAAAATGCATCATACATAGATAATGATTCTGTTATAGAATAAGTCTAATCAAACTTATAAAACCTTAGAACTACAACTAAAAAATAAAACCAGCTATTTTCTGGGGTTTTAAAACTTAACATTATACATCAACATCAAAACTCAACGGATTCTTTTAAAGATGAATCACAAAACACAGTATCGAGACTGTGAGAGATTTACAAGGTTTGTTACTTCATAGCAGCAGGTTTAAAGGCAATATGTGCATATATGACAACCGGACTAACCTACAATACCGGTATAATACAATGGAAATAATAACTATACCGTATAAATAATGTGTAAAATCCACTCAGTGATGATACATTTAGTTTATAAAATCAAGTTACTTCAAAACGTAACGCAACTCATGACGTGTGTATAAAAGTGAGCATCGACTCGACCAAGGAACAAGACTGAAGACTCCGCGGCAAAACTGAGGAACTTAACAAAATGGCACCAGAGTCAGATATAATACAAGGTCAACCTATTAACCCGCAGGACATTTTCAAAGTTTCTCACCGGATTAACGGGAATATTTTAATATACTACCGATCAAAAACAAAACAGTTTTGTTTTACGATGGGTAATCTGATTTCCTCATAACAAAATTAGCTAAGTTAAACTCATTGATACTGGCACGGTTACTTGGCTATAGTATCTCGAGTTCAGTGTCTTAGAAGTCTCTGGCTGGCTACAAAGTCTATCTCCGCGTAGGTGAAGGAAGGGTCGGCAGCCACGTTGGGACTAGGGGTGGAAGTGGAGGAAGACTCGGTGAGCGAAGTCTGGGACTTGAGACTTCTGGCTTGGCCAGTGTCATCCTCCGAACTGGAACGAACCAGGTCTAGTGAGGCATAATGGATCTCCTTCTCACTGTAACAGAAATTAAACAACATTGTTTCGCCTTTTAGTATCGGAATAAATCTAATAAAACTATATCCTAACAAGATCTTACCTGTACTACAAAGGTGGGCCTACTACTTAGGATCGGCTTGAAATTATAACTTAAATAGCGTAAATTGACATTGTTATTTAGCAAGATTTTAACTTAGGCCTTGAGTATGAAATTCTATCCACTGGAGGAAAATCGTAGTAATCTTATATGAGGAAACTCATTGGGCTCCTCTAAAGTAAAATGTAAAGAAATTAAAGTTTCAAAATTGGCTAATTAATTTACAAACCTGTATTTTTTTCCTTTAGACATTTTCCATCGTGATTGGTAAAATAAAACAATCAAAAGGTTTTACATTTGGGGATCTAGAACCTGATCCGATTCTCAGGTGACTTTTAGTACCAAATGTACTAAATAGAAAATTGTATTTGACTAGACCAGCCACCGGCATATCTTTTAAAAGATTAACAGTTGCACTGGGTGGAAAAAAGTCCTAGGACAGTTAAATATTTAAAAAATAAACTTTGATAGAGAGCTACAAAACTTGGTACAAAGTGACTGGGCATTAAAACCATTTTAACACTTTATTCAGTGATACGCTACCCCCTCAGGGGACGGCCAGCTAGAGAGAAAATCTTAAATGTAAGCATAGGTTGATATGTACATAAAACAAGAGGCTTTCACTAGTACTCTATTAGTGAAGCATTGATTACAATGCCGCAAATATAAACTCAAATGGACAACCAAGTCGATAATGGCCGCTCTTCAAAGATTTCTTGAATCTGCCATTTTGAATTTGTCAATGGATGCCATTTTTTACTCACTAGTCCTTTTGAGTCAAAATTTGCAGCATTGAATTCTGCTAACAAAGACCTTTAATTTGATGTGCATATCAACCTATGCCAACATTTAAGCTACCAGTACACTATCGCCGAACATTCGCCCGAATGTTTCGCCGAATGTTCGGGTCAGATTGCGACCACGAATGTTGACGAAAGTGCAGCCCGAACCATCCCGAACTAACCAAGTACACCATCGGCTAACTTCGGTCGAACAGTGCTAAACCCAATATTGCGTATTCGCGGCAAAACATTCCCACCAAACTTTGTGCAACATGGACGCTAACGTCAAAGACTATTCTAGATGATTATAGAGGAAATTCTATAATTTCCGTTTGGTGTTAGACACCACTTGAATGTGTATCCTAAGATTCTTACTTCTCTGTGGCTTAATAATTTAAAATTAATGCTTGATTTTTTTTATTAAAATGTTTGTTTTATTAAGCGATACTTTATATATGTATATATTCAATTAAATTATCCCACGGCCACAGAACAGGCTCACTATGGTACAGTTCCAGTTCCAAAAATAACAGTGTTTCCTCCGTACACTCCGTACTTTGTACAATTAATTTATCTATATAAGATCTAGTTGAAAATAATTTAATAACAAAAACTAAAAGTAACTCTAACTAAACAACCACTGCAGTAAATACTGTAGAAAGAAAGCGTCCGTGACTACGAATGACAGCGAGTGTGTACTGGCTATGTTCGTGCCCGTCTGCGCTCAGCATTCGTCCTAGTTCGTCTCCTTTGATTCACGACGGGAGACCGCCAAAAAAGCGAGCGCACCCGAACACGAATGTTGGCGATGCGAACTACCCCAAATGTACACGAGCACACTATCACGTTCGTCTTAGTTCGCCTACATTCGGCGATAGTGTACTGCAGGGATTAAGATTAGGCCTGACTCTCAAATCTAGTAAGCCGCAAACCTAATCAATGAATTACGTGTTAAAAAGGTATCCATTAACTCTGTACCAAGTTTTGTAGCTCTATCTTTATTATTTTTTGAAACTGTCCCGGGACTTTTCCACCTTGTATAGAAAACAAACCCCAATAAAACTATCACAAACTAAATACTTTTAAAATATTAATGGTATATAGAATGGGAAGATGTTATTTTTACGCTCAATAAAATGTCTATCCTCATGGCCAAGTTAACGTGGACCCAGAGGTTGGGTTTGTGCTTCGAGCCGGCTATTGTTCACAGATTCGGCAGATGTTCCCTTATTACAACTGCTCTACTGAACGAGAAAAATAGCCACCTTGGGGCATAGGGCCAACTACCATATTCACATTAACTTGCCTACTACTATAAGAAACATTCTTTTCTTTCTTGGTCAAAATCACTATTTCACTAAAAACCTGATTAGAAAAGATGTATCAACTTGGGTCTAATATTGAAAATTGAATTACAAAATGAACTGATTCATTTAAACTATTTCTCCAAAATAAATACATTTGAGATGCTTACTGCACATAAATATAACAAACTACTTCCAAATTTTTATCACTATATAATGTATGGAAAGTAAATAAAAAAAATATGTCTAATTGTAACACTTTACACTTAGGGTATATGGTTAACTCACGAAACAGCAAATTATAAAAGATGGGAAAATTATAAAAGGTGGTCTAAATTGTCTAACGTTGGCCATAAGACGTTTCCAAAATATAATTTTCATTTGATACTACCTGATAGCAAATTTTTAATTAATTAACTCACCCTACACTGCTGACTGAGGATGTTCTGGACACTACTGACGGGTCAGAGCTGTGAGCTGTGCTGTCACTGGACACTTCACTAGTGTTCAACTCACTTAGTCTTGCACTCACTTCATTCACACTGTCATCACTGATCTTCAATGTAAAGTTAGACATGTCTGAAACCAGTCTCTCCATAGGTTTCTTTGTGCTCTCGTTTTGACTCGCTTCTGCGACTGCAGCCGGTGAAATGACGGCATAATCGTCTGACACCTCCGGAATCGTTCCAGGCACAAAATTCACATAGTCACTGTCGACTGTAGAGGGGTTCTCTTCTTTTGTTTCTTCATGAGGCTGTGAAAGTCTCACAGTTCCGCTTGATGCGTCCACTGGACACATTGAAAGTTCATATTCTTGTTTCGCTGTGAAAGGTTTCATAGGCGAACCGGGACTGTTCAGATTCAGAGGAAAAATTGTTGTGGTGGATCCTGAAGGGGTGGTCATACCGCTGCCGGTATTGGACTCTTTGCTGTCTCTTCTCGCTGTCTTGCGGTTTCTGTTCCTTCCCAAGGAAGAAAACGGACTAGATGATGGGGAGGCACTGCCGTAGCTATTAAGAGGTAGGAAACAAGGTACTTTGGGTGGAGTTCCTGCTGAATGTTTGCGACTACAGAATGGAAACACTGGACTCATAGTTTGGCCCTCTTTGCTATTAGGCTGTATCGCTATCGGCTGTGAGCTATAGCGATTTCGGTCTTTTCTGCTGCCTCTCCTTTCTCTTTTGTTCGAACCATCACCTGACATGTTGAGATAATCTTCATTTTCACTTTTCCTACTCTCGATGGAAGCTTTTCTCTGAGATTTATTCCTGGACCAGGACATTTCAACATATCCTTCAGGAGCTTTTTTAGGAGTATCAACTGGGGCTGTTCTTCCGACTATGACCTTGCTGTTATTATTGTCTTCGATTAAAGACATTTTCCTTTTTAAACTCATATCCAAATAGTCTTCCTGTAAAGAACCTCTGGGCCTTATTAAATTTTGAGAGGTCAATAGAGGCTGTTTGATCAAAGGAGTCGGGTTGGTTTTAAATTGAGGATTACGATTCTCTGTTGTCGGGAAAGTATCCACTCGAGGCTGAGTAGACTTTGGTAACACAGGTTTGGCTTCACCACCGGGCTTCATTTCCATGTACTCGTCGTTGTTGACAGGCGACTTCGGTCTCAGAGCAGTTCTAGGTGAAGAAGACAAGTTATTTGTCACCGAGTCTCCACTTCTCAACTCGTCCCGGGATCCTGAAGTCATCTCGACATAACCAGAATCCGCCTCCGGCACGCGATACAGGGGAGGTGATGCGTGATTTATTGGAGGTGAAGACGACAAGAAAGCCATTTTACGATCAAATGCATAAGTGGTTTTAGGAGGTGATCTTCCAATGATGTTTCCAAATCTGTTTGTCTTGGGAGGGGACGGTGCCAAGTGAGTCACGTCCACATCGAGGTCAGAGGGTTTGGGTGAGGACCGTGGAGACATCTCCATGTAACTCCCTTCCGCTGTAGAGTAAGATGAAGCAGCCGAAGACACGCCAGACCCTGAGGGTAATGTCAAATGCTCAGAACTGACTGACGTTGCGGGTTTCTTGAATGGGTTTTTGTTGCGAGTGCGAGACTTGTTGTTCTTGCTGAAGTCCAGTTCCATAAGATCGTCGGAGGGTTCCACAGAGGAGTGAGATGAGTGACGAGTGGGAGGCGTAAGATGAGGATGCAGCACCGGCCGCGCCTTTGGTCCTCGAGACCCAACTGAGAATGCTCGGACACGGAGTGGCTCACATGACGCTACTGGGTCATTCCTGCAAACATGGTGAACAAAACTTATTATTTCAAGCGTGAAACCCAAATTATATAAAAAAACTTGGGCCTATCCAAAGTAAATCTTGTTTAACATGTTATAAATAGACATGATCAAAATCCCTAAAACAGTTAAGTCAAATGGGCTCATTTGACTTATCCTTTGAAGGATAGCCTAAAGGGTATCCTTTTACAAATTGAATAGAAGGTCCACACTGATCCACTCACCGGCTAGCAGTGCTGTTGTTGATGTTCACTGGCCGAGACCCAACACTGTACGCACGGGCCGGCCTTTCATTGGGAGTGACGTCGTCATCACGACTGATCAGAGTTGATACCCTCTCCAAGTTGTACTCGGAGAACCGGATGTCGGTAGAGGGAGTACCGGAGGTGATGGAGCAACTACTTCCAGAGGATACATCTCCTGGTGACAGGTTGGTTGTGTTAGCTTAGCTTAGAATCAAAAGTGTCTAGGAATTTTCAAAACGGAACCCAGCTGCCCTTGATCATTGGATTTCTATAAATGATCCTGTCTAAAGAAACAGCTGATCTGAAAGCTACACAGATTATGCACTAGCCTATAGGGAAGTAGCTATTACTGTATGTAGCACGGTAAAACCTAGGCCCGGGACCAATTTACATTTTCATTTTGATACCCCAGAGGCCCGCCAAAAACACCTTTCGTTCAAATTTGTATATATGTATATGTGTCTGTGAACGTGAATCACTGTGTTTTCATGGTTCTCACGGTCTGCTTTAATAAATTTCTCCGTCTCCAAACAATGTTAGTTTTAATGACAAAACTTTCCTTTTCTAACCAGCACACAACGTTTCATAGCCGATTAATACGACACCATTATTAAATTTAACATTGCTTGGATCTATAAATGCAGGAAAGCACAAGACCGTAAAATCCTTAAGCCCATTCCATGAATAGAATGTAATAATCACCCAGTCGGCGCAGAGTGAAGAAAGATAAAAGAGATAGAGATAGAGAAATAAAGACAGAGACCGATAGACGTGGTGTTGAGAGGGAGGGTAGGGGAGAATAAGAGGACAACAAATTTGGTTTTGAGGCGACAGAGAGGGAGGGGGGGGGGAGAGCGCGAGGTGGAGGAGAGAGAGAGAGAGTATTCTTCCTTATAGTTGAGCAGTCTCTCTCTCTCTCCCCTCCCCCTCTCTCACCCTCCCTTTCTGTTCCCTCAACCCCAAATTTGTTGTCCTCTCATTCTCCCCTACCCTCCCTCTCAACACCACGTCTATCGGTCTCTGTCTTTATTTCTCTACCTCTATCTCTTGTATCTTTCTTCGCCGACTGGCCGATTATTACGTTCTATTCATGTAATGGGCCTAAGGATTTTACGGTCTTGTGCTTTCCTGCATTTATAGATCCAAGCAATGTTAAATTTAATAATGGTGTCAAATTTATCGGCTACAAATTCTTAAGTACTGGTTAGAAAAAGCATTACATAAAGTTTTGTCATTATAACTAACATTGTTTGGAGACCGTGAAATTTATAAAAGCAGACCGTGAGAACTGTGAAAACACCGTGAATTTTGTTGAAGACAAGTAGTGGGAACCCTGTCATGGAAAGAATGATAAATATTAGTGGTGACACTAGGACGTGAACCCACAATATCAATACCTTAGATACTTTGTCCAACTGAGCCGTAGTCATGTAATTGTACAATGGCACTAACCTCTCTTGTTATGCTTATGATCCATGTCCACGTAGCCGTCCTCCTGTGTGACTGGAGCCATTGGAACATAACCTTCCTCGGCCAAGCTGCTGCCTCGTGAGTGATTAGTGGATCCTGCTCGGTTATACACCACCCGCGAGTCTCCTAAAAGTCAACATGGTTAAGTTTCTATTCTCTTGGCAAATTTATTAAGAGGGAAGTTAATGAAAAAATAACAATTTGTATCGTTTTGAGTAAATATAATTGATTTAAGAGTTGGTTTCTGAATGTAATGTAGCAGTGCATTTTATTAGGTTAGGTTAGGCAAGTTAACTACCAAGATCTAACCTGATCCAATTGATATAACATAACCAAAATCACCTCAAAAATCCCTTCTCTGAGGAGGGTATCCACATCATTTAATATTTGTCACTTTAATATGATACAGAACTAATTAGTTCACAGAATACTTTTCATAGAGTATTTGAAAATAATTAAAATGTTATTTAAAAACCTTTAACATATTGACATCAGTGATAAGAACTCCACTGCTGAACCAACTTCATAGATCATGGCAAAACTAACAACAGTGTTATTTACCATTGGTTAATTTAGAATACACTAAACTTTTACTCAGGTATAAAGCTTTTACACGCAAATAGTCTTTTTATTTCTCTACCCGATTCCCCAACGTTTATAATATATAGAATTCATAAAATGGTTTACTCAAAATACTGTTATTATCACCTATGTATGCCCAAGGCCACACTAAAAAAACAGGCCGTAATGCTCGTCAAGCATGACGTCACGATAGAAGATGACAATGACGTAATGTTTTAATCTTTCCTTGGAAAATAAATAAATAAATACCTACGTCATTGCCGTCTTCTATCGTGACGTCATGCTTGACGAGCATTACAGCCTGTTTTTTAGTGTGGCCTTGGTGTGCCGTTGCTCTATATACAAAACATTCACACAATGAATTCAAATTCAAATAAGTACACGTCCATCATTAAAAAGGCGATCTGTGTTCTGATCAAGCACACTAGGCAGCTAACATGATGAAAGATAAGTCTTTCTTTCTACAAAGACCTAACCTGCATACTGAATTTTGGCGAGATTCATCAAAATTCTTAAGAAAAAAACAAATAACATACCTGGACTCATGGGCATATAAGCCCCAGGGGTCTCAAGGGGAGAAGAACCACAAGGGCTGTACACATCCATGAATGAACCCTGTAAGTTTCAATTGCATTTAAAAACTTTTCTACTTCAAAACTCATCGATTTTTCTAAATAATTCAAACTTAGTACCATGTTATATATTGACCATGGTTAGGTGTGCTTTTTTTTTGGACATCAAATGCACCCAAAAAATTCTTATTGGGTGAAACGACAATAAGCAAACAATAAACATTTCGTCTACATGTAATGCTCCATTAGTCTTTCTTCAGAGATTTGTCACAATAAATAATCAACAAACGAGGTTAGGTGGGATGCCTTCAATTCTCTTGATGTTTCTAAACACTAACTTTACTGTTTACTTACCTGGGATGGTGAGCTGGACTTGAACCCAGTATTGGGGTTGGGAGAGTATTTACGCAGATTGGCCAGACTACTATTGCTTTGTATCGGCAGACACAACGACCTCTCCATTACATAGTTGTTCAACTTCTCATCTTCCCCTGTAAACCAGCATCTCGAGTTATACAAATCTGTGAGAAATCAGCTTATGGTGGAAATGTAGTTGTAAGTTTGTTTAAACGAATAGTCAATGAATGGGATACGTTAGGTTACTTTGGGCCGCAACCACATTAGGCAGTTGTTATTCTGTCCACTTTATAAAGTCTGTTTAAACCTCTTGACCCTTTTATTTTTAACGTCTTGAATCCAGTAGCCTCTTAAGGGCATCTCTATAAATTATGTGATAAAAATAACTAACAAATTCAATTAATGCATTAATTAAAACCTAAGGTCAGAAAACATGTCATATAATATGTGTACGATAAAAATAAAAAAATGGATTCTATTACTTAACTATATAAAAACATTGTTACAGTAAAATTAAATGTATATAATTTCCAGCCAATTATTAAGAAGTACCCACAATAATATAACTCATGAACTCTTAGTGTAACTTATGAACTCATCAAACATACATTATTATAAAAATCCGAAAACTCTAGTTTGTATGTTTTTTGCTAATAGCCTAAGTTCTAGTTGGTCTTAAAACACAGAAAAGGTTTAGTTTACTAACCAGCGTGCCATGGCGCATAGTCGTCAGAGTTCTCCTCCAAGATGACAGGCTCATCAGGGGTGAGAGAGTGTCCGTAACGACTCTCCCCCTCCATCCCCCAGCCTCCCTCTCCTCCGTCCCCGTCCATGGAGAGTGATGAACCTGCAGAGTCCGTCGAACACGCACCAGACGCCGGACTGCAACAAGTTACAACACTACAGGAGACTGGGTAGTGTCGGGGAAATTAACTATTTATTCAGGTATGCCTTACACTATCTATGCAGCAACACACACCTAAGTTTACAGCGCACTGTCCTTGGACCTTAAGCTTTAAAATGAATCCTTAACAGCCATGCTACTACCTTTTTCTTAGCTCGAGATATTTTGTAGTGACCGATTCGCTTATGGAATTAAATATATAGATTTGGGCTTGAATTTAGTAAAAAAATCCTTAACTGATAACGGTTTTAACCGCAAAATCTATCCGTACCCTATACTCCAAACATAACAGATCCTAGTGACTAAACTAGAGTAACCTAGAGTAACTTCCCAAATGCCAAAAGAATTCACCTCACATACCTGACAGGACTAGAGCCAACAGGCGGAGAGTAAGAGATGTTCCTGATGTACATGGAATGGGGGCGGTGAGCGGGGGCGAGGTGTCTAGCACTGGCGGGGGGATGGGGCAGATGATGAGCTCCCTCGCTGGTTGTGCGGGCCCTACTGGGCAGACTGTCACAACGGTCACGGACCCCTGTTAGACCTAAAACAGGTCAAACGATCTAATGAGTACAATAATTATTGAAAAGGAAAACCAAGTGGCTGATCACAAATTTTGAAAAGTGATAGAGTTAAGTGAAAAAATTAGAGTCAAAGAGCTAATATAAATATCCATTTTGATGGATACAGCTTATATTATGATTCTTGCTTCACCACTAACGCAATAAAGTACCTGAAAACTAATGCAACAGGTCCCTATTGAGGTGGGAATCAGTCCACCAGAACAATATAGACTCCAGAAATACTCAAAGCTCTTCATTCAAGATAATAACCCCAATCTTTCCTCTCAACTAGCTTTTATAAAGATATATTTTATAAACACTGACAATTACTCCAGTTTTAAGTTATTAAGTGACACTTCTTTTCAATCTGTTCTTTGAAGACAAGAAGACTAAATACCAATGTTAAGTTTTGCCACCCTTTTAGTTTTAATATGTATCTATTAAGTGCTCTAGACTCTAATTTTCTCAGGTAAGCTATCTAATCTAAACTATATTCCTTTAAATATCCCAATTATGGAAAAATAAATTTTAAGGTGATACAATCATTAAGGATCAGTGGGGAGGTGGTAATACCTGTGAAAAGCTTAAGGTGTTTGTATACTCTTGGGACAAGCTAGCTTACAATTAATGAACTGGTCCTTGAAAGTGAGAATGATAAAAAATGTTTTTTTTTAACTACACAAAGTTAATTGTTCAGTATGTTAGATAAGCTGGCTTACAAGGTTGATAAAGTTGGCTTTGAAAGTAATAACTATTTTATTTTTACAAGCTTTGAATACAGCTGGTTACCACATAAATGTCTACTACGTTTCAGAGCAATAACCATTGAAAGAAGTTTTGGGAAAATCGGTAAAAATAAGAAACAAAACTCTGGCATATAATTAAAAAATTTCCAGAAAGCACAAAAAATATGTCAAATAACACTTATATTAACATTGGACAAACTGTAAACTTTTTAAACATTTTAAAAACTATGTCTCTGCATAGAGAAATAACAAACCGGAAAGATCAAATGGCGCACAACACTTGTTACAAAATGGCCACTCATTAGGGAAAATGGAAGACAATGTATGTATTTTATAGAATTATAAGAAAGGAATCGTGATGAATCCTTGGGAAGAATTATATATTTACAAGGAAAAATTTAGAAATAGAAATAAGCTAATTAATGAACAAGTGAATTTTGACTCAAGTTGTACTTATAGAAACTTACTGGACGGTACTTCCGGTAGCCAATAGTATATAAGTGACGCCATTTTTGATTCTTGTCATTCGCCTATTGGGTCTGATGATGATTGGAGTATCCAATCGAAATCAATCACCACTTACCATCTTTGATATGTATTTACAGTCTTATGAATAAACAGTATGGCGTGCCAGGCGTAGTCTCCGACCGCATGCTGAGGACTTTGGGCGGTTACCAAGACCGAAGCCAACAAGTGTAAATTAAATATATTATTGTTATTTGACGTATCTTTTGTGCTTTCAGGTAAATTAATAACACGTACAATGCTGATCAAGAAGTTATTTTAAAAAGTGTCTATTTTTTTATCGATTCTTTGTTGAAGGAACATAAATTTTCTAAACTAATTCTCCCACAAAAAGTACAATTACTTTCACTAATAGGTGACAAACTATAAATAATAAAATAGTTCTTAAAACAAGATACATTTTCAAAATCACCCCTTTAAAATGGTAATGACGAATCAATACTCCTGAAATATAAAAGCTCTGTGATTAGTAATGCAAGCTTGGCACATAGAAAAAGAAAAGCAAATAAAATGAAGCAGAAGCAGTTTCAGAAGAAAAAAAAACATAAAGAGAAAATGGTAGGTATTGCTTAAATACTTTCTTAAAATATCACAGCCCTACAGTTTTACTTTAACTCTCAGGGAGAAAATGTTAGTCAAAAACTTAATTACTGTATCTTTATGTCTTCTTTTTCACCAATAATCCTAAAATCTGTACTCTGATACCAAGGTTTGCCACCTTATTTCCTCACTATCTTAAAAAGCTTTGATTTACTTATATCAAGCTTATTACCTAATAAACATTGTTATGATTGTAATGTTGATATTAAAATGTTAATATACACCTTCTGTTCATGGTTCATTCACCTGTTTAACAATAAGAGTTTAAACAACAACACAGTAATCAAATAATGTAATAACTTAAGAAGGTAATAATTTTGTAGGGAGCAAATTGGTAACATTTTTAATATGACACCATTGTGTTTCTAAAAATGTTAGGGAGCTGAAATATTCACAAAATATTTTCAAAACCTACTTGCAAGAACAATATACAAGTATTAAATCAATCACGTATAAACCTCTTCGTGCGACAGCCTGTATGACTTGTTGGATATTGGAATTTTAAATCTTCAATCCAGTACAGTAATTAAATTTTGGGAGAATCTTTATAGTAACTATTAAAAGTTTGTCTGATGGCCTAGTTTTGTGTGTTTTTTTGTTTTTTTTTACCTAAATAAAACCAACACTTGCTGTTTTGCCAATATTGAAGCCCAATAGGTAGGATAAAGCATAAATTATAAAAGCATGCTTAAAGCAACCAAATTTAGCCCACAAAACGCAAAATGTTATAGTTTAAAGTAATAGGACAAATGTAATAAAGGGTATATATTATATTAATATACTTTAGTGAAGACTAAAAAAGTTTGATGACATTTGCACTGAACTTATTTAATTTAATTTGAACACTGTACATGCCTTAAATAGTGAAAAATAAAAAGTAAATCTTGTAAATTTGTTACCGACTGTGGGTATTTGATTAGGCTAGAAAAGGCTATATCAGCCATTGCTTCCAAGAATTGGTATAAGGTTTTGACTTGTTGATAAATAACTTTTGATGGAGAGCACTTAATGGAATCTAAGGACACTAACAAACAATGCCTGATATCAAAATAGCTTTCATTAGATCTGATTCCATATTGTGTAGGTCGTAATTTATCCATGTCCTGATTTCATCTTCTTTAGGTGAGTCGAGGGCTCAGTTTTAGGCCGGCCGCACACTGATGCAGCATTTCACCCGAAGCAAGTGTTGCGAGGCAAAATGTTTCACTGGGTACGAGCGCCCCATGTATTTCAATGGGACGCCGCACACTGATCAAGCAAACTTTGCGAGGCGCCTCGCAACGCATTGAAACATTTGAGCAGTTGCTCGACGAATGAATCCCATACAGCACAGTGTTTGACGTTTCAAGGAGCAAAACGTTCTGCGCATGCGCCAAATCCCTTCTAGCTAGTAAAGCTTAGTGGCTTTCAAAATTCAATTGACCGTTTGTTGTTTAAAAAATAACTCTTCTTTGAAAGATGAATTTTGAAGTTTCGTTAAAGCTTAACAATTATATTTTGAATTTCCATTGAACAATATTGTTGTTTAATTTTTCTTGCTACCACTTTGGTAGTCATACAGCCTATGCAAAGTAGTAAAATAATTAAGAAATTACCAAGGTTACTCAGTTCACATTATTTATATAACCATCACGACTTTAGCTAACAATAATTCCTTACGGTATTTAAAACCTTTCTCATTAAATAGTATAGCAATTATTCGACAATAATTGTAAAATTTCCCTGGATCTGATTTAATTTCTGAGTGGAAAGCTGTTTATCAACAGATTGATTGGGTAAACCCAATGTTGTCTTTCTATTTAGTCCAGCATTATGCAAAAACTGACATACAGTAATAGCTACATTGACTTCCTCGTCATATATTTATGTTAAAACAATACTGTAGTATAGGACCAGTAAACATAATATTTATTTTTCTTAATTTTGCTTGAAACCAAATGCTGAATCACGCTTGAACCTCCTGCACACTGGAGAAGCAAATAAACAAAACGCTTCAAGCAAATCGTTGTGCAACATTTTGCTCCAGGTGAAATGCTGGATCAGTGTGCACCCAGCCTTAGGGATCAGATTAAATTTTTCTACAATACAAATCACAGGGTTTTTACTGTATGTGACCTCAACGTCCAATAAATAAAAAAGAACCGTCAAGGTAAAAAGATAAAACTCAAAAGAAAATCTCAAGCAATAACACAAAATAAATGGGTACGTACTATGTGAGGTTGCGGGTTTCTTGGTGGTGGGTCTGGTACCAGTGCTGGCGCGTCGAGAGGGGGGGAGGGGGGAAAGGGGAAACGAATATGTGCGATGATGAGTTCCCACTCCAGGTCCCAGAGCTGCCCAAAAAACCACATTCAGCTCTCCCGCCCAAATTGCATTTTTTTTAAAGGTAAAGGTAGCCTATTTTTTATATATTTCAAAAATATGAATTTTGTTAATGTTGTGTTTTTGGCAGAGAAGCTCTTGTGATTACGATAAAATTTTGAAACTGACAAAAAGATAGCCAAGGTTCTTTGCAGTCCCTGCATTGTTAATAATTCTTTAAACTTTTGTAATTTCTTCCCAATTCTTAATTAATTTTTATTCCTTAGATATTAATTTGGGATTTATATTACATATCTATCTGGAGATTAAATTGTTCTATTAACAACAGTAAAACATAAAAATCTTAGATTTTTTAAATCTTGGTTCACATTCACAATACCAAAAGGCAGATTTTGGAAACTTATGAACACTTGTGAAGCACTAAACCAGAATGAGTACCGTAGCATAGTTGTCTACTAGCTTTTATTGTTTCTCAATTCCAATTGTTTATGCAATTCAAGGTCCAAATATCAAAGTGGCAGGTGAAACTCTTAAAATCTGTTCTACAACAGTGGAATGGATACAAAATCATAATGGTAACCAAAAATCCTAACTGATGGTGAATTTCTTAGAACAAAAATCAATAGGTCTATCTAAGGTTAAAAATAAAGAGTTGCAGGACTACAGTGAAAACAAGGGCAATATAAGCAAAAATATACACATCAAAACAATTTATGACAAATTAATCACAATGAACATTTGAAAATTGATTCTTGAAATTTTTGTAAACAAATTAATGAAGTAAATGACAAATTTGAATAAAAATCTGACCAGTTACTTATATGAAATAATATAAAAGATGCAATAAGGGGGGAGCAGTAGCAATATATACATGCCAACACCAGGCTGAAACATAATATAAGTACAAAATGCAACAAAATATTTACAAAACTAAATGGACAACGGACGTTGACAAATAAAAAGCAAGCGGTCACCATTTGATAGGCCAACTAGAATCTAATAGCTAGGCTAGTTTGCTAAATTGAATAATATATCACATAAACACTTGCAGTATTGCATACAAAGCATTTTTATCTAAATGAGGCAAAATAAATGAAGATTTATATGCTAAATCTTGGCTTTTCAATAATACATTGTCGACACATCAACATTTCTCTTTTAACAAATTTGTTATCCAGGGTAAACTAAATTCCTGGTGAAACTCAATGAAAATGTTCAATATTCTTCCAAAAATTGTAGCTGACAAATTTACTTGGTTTGAAAATGATCTTGTCTGGTTCTGGATTTTAATTACAACTTTTAGTTCACATGTCAAGAGATTTGGATATCACATGAAGGCATGTTGAAATTATACAATAAAAAGTGTTAAAAGCATGAAAATAGAATAAAACATGCTAGACACCACCATTATATGGTAAAAGATTAAAGTAATACTGATTAGCATAAAGATAGAATGATGTATGTCAAATGAAAACAAGATATTTATAGAAATACAGTAAACCCTCATTAATCCAGACCCTATTAAAATACTGAATCCACTCAATCTGGGCAGCTTTTTGACAGCAGTTTACAAAAACTTCTAGCAGCTAAGTTTGGAATGCGCCACCCTAAAACTCGTGGATTTTATGGGTAGCATGCTTTCGTTACAGAGGATGTCAGTGCAACAGTGCAGTAGGGAAGAAATGCACTTTCAAACAGTTTTCAATAAAAATTTTCCATAATTGAGGGGTGGTTCAAACAGTAATGACAATTTTTAATAGATGATTCGGATTTATGTTACAGGTAATAGAAGTATGTATTTGAATGTTAAATGTAAAAATTAATACAAAAAGGTAACTACAGGTAAACTGAATAAGTCTGACAAACTCGGCACGCAATAAACGACAGTCCGGACTTCTCGGAAGATTATTTGTTTCTTGTAAATAATTTCTCGTAAAGAAGCACTACTGTGCAGACTTTGAGACTGGAAAACATGAGCTACACATACCTATTGTATGAATTTATGCTATATGAATTTGATTTGAAAGGAAAATGTACTGCATTACAGTCGGGACCACGGAAGTTTGCAGTTGGCGGCAGCCAATCACAAGACAAGGCTAGTGCTACGTAGCCATATGGCCCGTTGACAACACTAATTAAAATACTAAACAATATTTTCAAATCAGCTGGTATTATTAGATTTGGCAACAACGCACTGTCCTCATTGGCTCCTTCAAAGTAACGTGGTAAATAGGCTCCTCCCTCAACTGCAAACTTTCGTTGTCCCGACTTTAGGTCTCAATTTTGTCCCTAATCCCCAGTATTTTTCCAACTTGACACATTTCCGGTCTACATTACGCCGAGTTTCTGGAATTGTACCGTACAGTCCTGTATTTATACTTTTGCATCTATCTGTAAGAGATACCCAGTCCTAGACACTACATCTTTATATTTATATAACTTGGATAACTTCAAAACCCCAATGAGTCAGGATTAATGAGGGATTACTTGATAAAGGGATGGCCTAAAGAACCAGTTTAGAAGAATAAATAGGCAGTGGCATTTCCTTGTATGTTACCTGATACGGAATGTCTTCGTTGGTTAGTTCGAGCCGCGCTCAACTCGACTGTCCGATGTTGAGTGTTAGCGGAGCCCTTTATACTTCCGATTAACACAACTGAAACACGCATGCCACCATTCCCAAGCTACACTCACAAAAGTAACATTCCAACATGACATTATTGCAGTGCTTCAACATACTTCACTGGCCAGCTCGATAAACAAACTATTGATTTGCTTTAAGCATTCGGATTGTTAAAAAACATCACTGGAATTATAAACGTTTAATAGTTTATAAGAGTAAGTTTTAATATTTTTAGTGAGGCCAACAAAGAAAAATAAATTGAAATGGAAAATTGAAAACGCACTAAACACATCCAGTAACATAAGTGAGTACCTATCTGTAATCTATATAAATACAATTAGAGTTTTGTCTGTATATTGCTCAAAACTATAAATTTTTAGGTTATTTTTACGTTTTATACATTAAAGAAGCCGAAACAAGTCTCATCTCTGTCTGTCTGTCTGCCACGGCCCAAGAGGCATTTTACGCGGCCTTCTCCTGAAAAACAAGAGTACCTATCAAGATCCAAACCATTTTATTCACTGGATTGGCGAGAGTGTCTTTATGTGCAGTGAGAAATATTAGACTACTACAGTAACATACAAGGTTCATTGACCGTTAGTAATGTTGCAATGAAGATTTCTGCTTGCATAAAAAATATATTTGAACTAAAAGAGAATGTATTCAAAATAGGCCTACCGGTACTCTCTCTGTAAGAAATATTTTTTTAGAAACGGAATGTGATTTCTGCTTACTGCATAAAAGTTATAACATTTATTGTATGATGCCTTTTTTGGGTATGATCATCACTAAATTACTGTCAATGAAAAAAACAACAAGTGACTAGTTGATGTATTGAAACATTTACATGTATGATTGTCAACCAGCAAGCTATGAATTATATGGAATGTAACCTACATGATTGCAAAAGCATTTGAAGCACTACAATAAGTATGCAAGCATTAACAGAAAGCAAATGCTAACAATGTAACACAGTAGCAAATAATTAAATTAAAAGCATTATCAAAGCAAAAAGCTCACACTGTTAAGCTTTGCTAAAATCTAAATCACACATTGAAATACACTAAGGCTGAATTGCAACACAAAACCTGACTAAGGTTGAAATTTAAAATGATTTAATGGCCAATTACTCTTAATTAAATATAGATTATTTCGGTGGTGAATTAAATTCCACTAACTAAAACCGATTTAGTAATCTCCTCTTCAGATGATTAATTGCGATGTCTGGCATTTAAACCAAATTCTCTTTGACCCTATACCCTTTCAAAATGATGAAAATACAAAGAATTCCACCAACTCAAACAAATTAACCACTTGTACCAAACTTCGGTGTAACTATTTAATTTAAATATTCGGCGTAACTAATAGTAACATTGTAACTGATTTCTAACAGTTCCTCCAAATTTAAATTCATTCAACCAAAGATTTATCTTATCATAAAAAGTAATCTATTTCTTCTTCTCAAAAATTCTAACAATGAATTTATCCTAACAATTAACAAAAATCCTTATGTTTTATAACATGATTTAGCTACACAACTCAACACAAAAAATGTACAGAGAAATAAGCTTACGCTGTTAATGATAATGGTGAAAAGTATTTTCAAAAAGGTCAATGCCACAACAAACTGTTAAAAAAATCTCAGTCATTGTTGTTAGTGACATGTGGTGAAATTATCGTGAATTCCTTGCTGGAAATTGCTTACACCACAATATATACCAAATGATTAAATAGTTAAAAACCTCTCATCAAAACCAAGCATTTAAAAGCCTTAATCATTATCATTCATTTACAGTTTGCATTATAATGTAAAAATCAAAAGTGTGTAGGCCTAATAATAAATTAACTTTCTAAGGAAACTCTTAAAAAGTGGATTAGGCCTACTGAACTTCTTAACTGCAGGGTTTATTTAGTGATTTAAATTAACACTTGCACTCCAGACATGGCCATGACAGGATGTGAACAACCCTCAGATATAAACTTGAATACTTTAATGGCATTGATAAGTAAAAGTTTTATTAATAAAACTTTTCCCAATATCTCAAACTTTGGAGCTAAAAGAGTACAAAATTTAATGAATGGGCAATCAAAACTCAATTCTCCGGAGATTTTTAATGCAACTGTGACAAAAACCAAACACCATTTCCCACTTGTCGTCTATAAGCGCAGTCGCATGCAAGCGGGACAGGCATGCCAACAACAAACGTATTGTAATGGTAACGGTACCGGAGTGTGACGAGTCAGTGACGGAGGCGGGGCTGGTAGCAACACTGCTCCCCTCCTTGTGGCAAGGCAATGATCCCTCTGCAACGGCAACACATTGCACGTCGCGTCACCCACAATGTATACAAGGTATATCTCGAGTGTACGTTAGTATTGACATTCCTACCAAGGTCACTAACACTACAAACTGTTCCCATTCTCATGTTCACACTGTAGCCAGTTTTATAATGAAAAGTAAAGTAGTTGATGAGCCACCAACAGTGAGTGTTAATCTATATTGCTGACTTCTATGGAAAACAATAACAAAGCCAAACTTAGAGAATAATGTATTGCAACTATGGCGTCTTTTATACCATACAAATAATTGCATAGTTTTAAACTGTAAGAGAGAAAATATCATTTTGACTGTAGCAGTGTCTGTGAGGGGCTCATTTATCTATGTTCCATAATATGAATGATAAATCAATAACAGTTAGTTCAGGGCTGTATCCAAAAGTTAATGCTTTATCTGGATATTGAAGTAATTAATTTGTTCATGTAAACCAACGGTGGCAAGTTTTTATTTAAGGTTCGAAGAACATAGTTGAATGAGCTTCCCACAGAATGTGGGAGTGGGGAGATTATATTTTCATCAAGCTGTGACATACCGTGTGTATTACAGAATTGGTGCGACCTAATTGACATTAGCGCTCTGTCAGTGGCTTACTTCAACTACAGTAGAACTCCAACCATTTCAATTGTTACAATCTTTAAAACCCAAAAACTAAAGTAATGGTATTATAAAGGCAGAAGAAGCGGCAAAATCCTGAACATCTCCCGCAGTCATTCCATATCGTCTCATTCGTCTCTCACGGTTGTGTACCGGTAACATCATGATCATCTTCCTTGAGTGTGGAAAAATCTTTCAAATCTCCCGCGGTCACGAAAACATCATCTTCGTCTGGCGTGATCGCAGAAATATTTTTAATATCTCCAGTGGTTGTGTAAACATCATTATCGTTTCCTGCAGTCACGGAAACATTAACATCATCTTCCGTAATATTGGCAAAATCATATCTCCCGCAGTCATGTAGACATAATCAACATCTCCCGCGGTAAACATCATCATTGTCCTCCGCAATAGCAACGGATGTGTGCATGGTGGCTTTGCAGGCATGTTCTACAATCGGAATGGTAAAAGATCAGCTAGACTCGGCCTATTTTCTATTTAACACCCTCAATTTTGTAAAACGGTCTCAATTGATTCAAATAGTTGGAGTTCAACGGTACATTTTTATTTTAAAACTGGTTACAGCATTGACATGGGTATTAAATATGTATTTGTAAACATGATAGAGTTGCAATGTGTGGAGAGAATCTCCTTAGTGTGTTAAGGATTGTTTTTCACATAGCTGACTTTACTGAATAAGAGTTGGTCCTGGCACAAGAAACACAAATATAAATCTATACGCAATAATAAGAATATTTCACTCTCACTGACCAAAGAAAATTTGAATAAGGTAGAAATAATTTCAACTACATCAATTCTTTTTCACTCAAACTTCCACTAGTAAAAAATGCAGTAAGTGACAGTGAAATATTGCAATTTTTACACCTATTTGTCAATGTCATTGGCATCTTTTGAAATATTTGTAAAGGAACAGTGCAAAAACTTGTCTTGTTGTTGTTTATTCATGACATTTTTGGGTCTCTCGTGCCAAAATGGACTTGTTTTGATTCAGGTAAGCCTGTTATGACAACAACCATTAAAGCCTAAGAATTGGTGCCATACGTTACATTATTGCCCCCCCCCCCCTCCAGTTAATTGGTGTTAATCTCTTATAGGAATCTTGTAAATAATGTATGAAAATGCTGAATATAAGGTAGATATGATAATGACTCTTGTAATTATTGTTGAATAAAAGCTAATCACTTCTTAAATATTGTATGATAACATTGGATATAATGTAGTAATCTCCTAAATAATGTAAAATCATGTTGACCATAAGTCACAAGTTTCATTCATGGTATATAATAATGTTAAATGTAACAAGGGTAGCTGGTTATTAGTGCTGATGGCTAAGACCTAGCAAATCAAAATTTCCTAATAAGAAATACCTAGCCTAGCAAAACTGCAGCTATGCATATTACCACTGCTAGCTTGTTTTTTTCTCTTTTTATTTTCTAGAAGAGTTTTTAATCAAGTATTAACATATTGTGAGTATGACGTTCAGTGTACTGACTTTGCAAGGGTCAATTTTTGTATTAATAAATGCAATTTGATTGTACACAAATGCCAATATCTTAGAACTGTGTCAATTATGATTGTGTGAGTGTACTCGTTTACTGACAAGTGACAATATTGATAAATTAAGTCCTGTTTCTTATGAACATATATCTTCCCCATTCATAAATTTTTTACTTTCAGAATTAATAGTTTTTGTTATAACTGATCGGTCGAGGGGAAAATGTTTTCCAATAAATGTAAGGTGTAGAATAGATTCTGACTCAAACAGATGCATACATTGTTACTTTTATACCTCCCTGATTGCATTCGCCATCAATACAAGCAGTAAGGCACCTCATACATGTTGGCAGCTACTCTAACGCCACAAGAATTATCACCTATTTACATGTTAATCTGTAAAATGTAAATCACATAATCCAGCATATTTACACTAACTTCCGACCCCAACAAAAGATTGAATCGACTTATTCCAGCCGAGTTGCAAATTTGAAAATGTTGACAACTCTTACCTGCATGCGTCGGCCAACGCTGAATCACTGTGATTGGTTTTGATGCCTCGTTTGCGGAAGAAGATCGATTCCTTGATTTGGGCACTAAATCACTTTTCTTGGAGCAGTTAGTCATAGCGCTGCAAACAAAGACAATTGTTCACACCGAGCATGGATTAAAAAAATTTATTCAATTAAAAAAAAATGCTGATTTTGGTTTATAAAAGGCCAGAGAAATTAAAATGATAAGAGCTAATGAAGAACCCCTTAAGAAGAAATTAAGGAGTAGATGGTCAAAAACAGGAATATCCAATCACAAATCAAAATTTTGAAAACTTGAATCCCAAATCTTAATTCCAAGTAGAAATGTTTATAAAATACAGTATTGAATCTACTCTAAAATTGATTCTTGCTACTGTTTGCTACTTTCTTCTGCATCAATTTAAACCTATAATTTGATTTTATAGACTCGACACAGCTGCGGAAGTCGTCTTCATCTGTCATTCAATCACGACAACATTTCTAATCACTATCTCGAGATTAGGCCTATATTTCTTAAAAAATCCTGAGATTATTTTAAACCCAGCGCAAAATAGGCCTACATTAGGAAAAATTTGCAGAAAAATTAAAATATACATTTTATTAAGATAATGGCCTTAAGACAAATGCATACATGGGTTGTGCTCGCTCGGGCACACAGCAGGCAAACCCAATACAAGATTTGGTTAAGCCAATAAAAAAATTGAATATATTTTTTTTTTATTTCCAGCGAATTTGAGATTCAGCTTCAACCCTCCGAGTGTCCCTTGTTTTGGCCTTAATGTCTGCCTATTTTTTGCTCATTTGCAAGGTTTTTTTTAAACGGATCTGAGAAGCTTGAAAACAATGTTAATTATACTGTTCTATATACCATTTTGTTTGGAAAATCATGGGCTTCAATATTATACATAGAACATAAGGAACATTTGTTTCCAAAAAAATTTTTAGGTAAAAAAAAATATTTTGGAAAATTTTCAAAAAAAAAAAATAAGTTCGCGCTCAATGAAATTGTATAAATTATAGGCCTATAAATATTTGAAAATAGCCACTTTGTTCTAAATTTTATGAGGATTACAAATATATAATAATATAAGGAAGTAGATTTGCAAATAGCAAAAAACAGATTTCAGTACATAGCGTTTAGCTAAGAATGCATGGAATCTGGCTGATAATTTACATCAATATCACTACCTACTTCTTCAGGATCATCAACCAGCCCTTCAAAATCACTTAAATCTTCTTATAATGCACCACGTATATCACTACTTTTGATTTTTAACGCTAAAACAATGATAAACGTAATAAAACACATCAGTCATCGGTCCGAGGATAACCAAGCTGTTTACAAATACGCACGTCAGCTGTCTGCTACAATATTTTTGGAACTAAAATGAATAGCGCTTAGAGACAGACCTCCGGAGAAAGCTCTGAATCTGTAAAATAAAACGATACCTAACTCGATCCAGTTCAATCCGATTTTGTCAGTCATAGAGCCTTCGCCGTAAACAGTGTTTGTGAGTCGCTGCAGCGACACTAAACACTACACAAAGTGTGTTATGTGTCGCTGCAGCGACAAATAACACTCGGAGGGTTAATACAACACTAAATCATGGCTTCACAACCATGAATTGACACCCGTGTTCTCAATATATACTATTCGCTATCATGTATTTCTCCTATTCAGGAAATCCCTGTGTAGAAGAGTCTCTAGGTACCTCAAGATGGATTCATGCATGTTCTGCGCTATGTTCGGATCCTCTGTCTGCATCCACAGGTTGCCTGAGCCCGTGACTGTGGCCTGACCCAACTCCAGGTAGAAGAAAGAGTCCAGGTGTCCACAGCTTCGGATTTTCTGCAACTATATAAAAACCACTGGAAATTAGAGGATTCCAAATTTACAAATAATAAGCAATATACGAACTAAGATTGTCTTCTTTATAACTATATTTATCAACACATCCATATCATATCCAGTGGTGCGATATTTTCAGAAGAGGAAAATTCTTCAACTCATCAATGACTCGTATGATAGGGAGGCCTTTCGTGTCAATACCTCAAACATTTACTTTATACTCACTAGATTAGTTTTTAAATAACTATTGGCCTTAAAATGAACATTTCCCAACAGAAATGATGGTGTTTTAACACTATAAAATCAATGTAAAAAAAAATGTATGAGCCAGTTATAAGGATTAGTTTTAAGAAATGTTTGACTCATTCAATGTACTGATGCTACAAAACAAAGAATAAAGCATGCTTTGACTTTGACATAGGCCTACTGTGATTTAGAAGTCAGTATTGGGAAACGGCAATATACATGACTGTAATAGCACAAATTGTCATCTGGCTTTGGGCACTGAAAAAGGATGTCGGCCAACTCCCCAATCATGATCGTAACTCATCCTAGAAATAGTTTAGACAGTTCCAGATAGTTACAAATCTGGCACTGGTGGAATTTGGTTTAATTCAAACAAAGCTATATTTATCACTCAAAACTTCTACGTAAAACCATCACTGTTTGTGTTTCTTTTTTTGCCAATAATTTTTCCAGTTAAGCTAGATGAACTATACCTCTTTCCAAAACAAAAAAGCTTTTAACTTCCCTTTCAAATAAAACTACAATTAAAAAGTGAATTAAATATTGGAAGCTGATTGACATTAATAATAAATCATAAATCTTAACCTAGCCTAACAGTGGAGAGAGATCATTGCAACAGCAGTTCTTGATTTCCCGATTCACCTCTCTTCAGTCCATTAGCTTAGGCTCTTGGCAATTTAACACAGTAGAAAACCCATTTATTTTATGTCTTTCGGCCTTATAGTCGCCTTTTCTAGAAATTAAGGCTGTTAAGTTTGGTAAAAACGTATTACTGTACTTAAATGTCCTTCTTGAATACCAATCACAATCTAAAAGTAATATCATAGACTAATCAACACAAGTAGACTCCTCATCCCATTGTACATTTTGAAGCTTGTTTTTTGTGTCTAGTTCATGTACGTCCACACAGATCGCTAGTGTAGAACAAATTTTGTTTCTATTATTTAAGGGTTATTTTCATGATTTGTGCTTTACTATTTGGTTATATGACTAGAAGACCAGTTATTGTTTATGATTATGCAGTTTTATTTGGTTAAATGATGTTTTAAATTACTGAAATATCAAGAAACAAATTGTAAACAAAACATAACCTCAACAGTTGGACGTACAGAACTAACAATAAAATTGGCTTCAGCTGTTCCATAAGGATGACAAATCTACTAAGGGAGTATGTTTTATCTATGGTAATATACCAGCAGACACACTAACCGAGAACTCAAGCTGCTGATTGGTGCCTTTCTTGACCAATGTGAGAATCCGGTCGGTCAAACACAGGTGGTACGGGCCCAGAATATTCTTGGTGTGTCCCAAATCCTTCTTCTGCACATTCACTTCCCACACATGTTCTGTCAAGTAAAAACACGTTATAGATATAACATACAATTCGGTGACAACTTAATTTGTTAATTTAAAAGTCAAAATAAAAAGCAAAATATATATATATTCACACAAAAGCATTCTTTGTTTTTATTGGGACAGGTGGTTTATTATAGCTGATAAAATGTAATTAACGCCCTAAGTTAGCATTAGGTTTACATGGCTAGTTTGACATTATTCAACTCAATCCCACAGTTCTATTCATGATTAGCTCAATAAAAGACATACTCTCAACCGCTTCAGAAGTGACCAGATACATGTTTGTAGCATTTAAAGATTCATAATACAGTGTTAATACAGTGTTAATGTAAATTTTTAGGAATTATTATTGATAACAATTTAAGTTGGGACTCTCATGTCCAGCATGTTGTAGGCAAAATTTCATCAGGCTTGTATGCTCTTCGAAGGATGTCCTATGTCTGTGATCTTTCGGCTCTAAAACTGGTGTATTATGCTTTTGTACATTCATTTATATCATACGGAATTAGTGTGTACGGAGGGACCTCAAAATCAAACCTTAATCAAATACTTCTGTTACAAAAGAAAGCTATTAGATTAATGCTAAGTTTAAATTGGATTGAAAGTGCAAAGTATCATTTTTCTAATTTGGAAATCCTAACAGTGTTTGGAATTTATATATACGAGACAATAAAATATACTAAGCAGCACCATTTACCAAAAATACAGTTAGAACTAAGTAGGCCTACCAGTAATAGATATAATACCAGAAATGCACAATATGTTATACAAAACAGACATAATTTAGAATTTTATAAAAAAAACACAGTGTATAGAGGCCTTAGATATATGTTTTTTACCAAAAGATATAAAAAATGAATGTAATAGTAGGAAATTTTACTTTAAACTAAAAAAATACCTAGTAGAAAAAGCAATTTACTCCTTTGAGGAATTTTACAATTTAAAATATTGTGAATAAACAATAAGTACTCACTGACTCTATTCTTTGTACTTGTACATTCATGAATAAAGGAGATTTTGATTTGATTTGATTTGATTTGAATGCCTAGACTGATCCTCAATATGCATAATGTGAAACAAACAATAACCAGATTAAAATTTCAAATCATATATGTGAATAAATAGAGAAAGTAAAATTGCATGTCGAGTATTCATTTCTGTAGCAAACTTTAATCACAACAAGACAAGTTAATATTCATTTTTACTTTCTTGTAATCTGGGGTTTAAGTTCAAAAACTTTGAGTGACTGTAAATTTCCAATTTTTATGATATTTGAGTGGTATGTGTGTTTAAATGTTCAGAAAAATATTTTTTTTTTGCTTGATGTCCCTTTTAGCGAATTTCCCTATAGGGAAGTAGCTATTACCGTAGGTGGCACGGTAAGACCTAGACCCGGGACCGATTTACTTTTTCATTTTGATGTCCCCAGAGGCCAAAAACACCTTTCGTTCAAATTTTTATATATGTATATATATATACGTCCGTGAACACGATAACTTGAGTAATTTTTGTACGATTTTGATGAAATTTAGTTTAAAGGTGTAAAGCGGGATAAACTTGAATGAGTTCACGAACCAGCACTATCGGACCATGGGAACGGGGCTTTACGGGGGGTTTTATGGGGTAAAAATTGGTTTTTCTCACTTTTAACCCTCAAAACACAAAATTTCCCGATTTCTCTTTAGACCTTTTTAAAGAGCTTAAAAAAACAAATAATTTAGTATGTAAAAGTATTTTTGTTTGATTGTTAGTAACGGAGAAAATTAAAAAAATTGTAAATTTAAAATTCCCATGTTATTCTTATGGAGAATATTGTCAAATGTTGTAGTTTGCTTGTTTATGGATATATTTTGATCAAACTTGGCAAATTTATTTATTTTGTACTAAGCTATCAATATTTTACTCAAAAACACACTTTATTAGTTTCCTTGTAGCAGCAAACCTAGGTACTCGTTAAACCTAATGTTATTAAAATATATTTTACTGAAAATCAATTCAGACAAATGGAAATTCGCTTAGTCGGCAGGTTTGCTGCGGCGGGGGTATTTATTAACACATCACATATGTGCTAAGGTAGTTAAAATTAGCATATTTCATTTGATAAGTAACTACAGTTGTGTCACTAGGATGATCTGACACTTGATTGTACGACACATTCAACCCTTTAATCTGATTCAGCAATTAATGAGTTATTGGTTGTTGCCTGTAGAGTTCTGGGGTTTCATTTGTGTATAGTCATCAATTAAAATGAAAAAAAAGATTCTTCAATCGAACAATTTGAGCCCTAATAATCAGAGAGTACATTTTAGGGAATAATTCACTAGCTTTCCTGTAGCTTAAAAGTTAACTGTATTTTTATTGGCGGCATCTGACACTTTTGGTGACCCTACACACAACCAGTTGTTTAAGGGTAGGAATTTTAGGAAGTCCTTAGGAATAAAAAACCCCTTGTTAATTATATAGTTACAAAATCATGATTTTGACTGATCTCTTACAATAACGTAAAAAAGCTAATGTATTTAATACAAAACAATGAATAAAAAATATCAAGAGTTCAGAATAATGACCTAACCTTACCAAAATTATACGTAGGCTAAAATTAGTAAAGGCATAATAACGGAAAAGAATTGAAAATTTGAACAAAAATAGCTGCACAGGGATCCTTAGTGATTGTAATTAATACCACCTTGAAATGACGATCTTCCTTTAAATTTGTTGCTTACCAAAGGTTGGCTTAGGTTGTTCCCCATCCGGGATGTCATCTCCTTGCTGCAGAGACAACAGTGCCTTCAGCCAGTCGCTCAGCTCGGACTCGTTCTCCAGAACAATACAGAAACAATCGTTCTTGGTGTACAGAGCCACGACATGTTTCTGTCTCAGATCACTGCGCTTGTTGATGTTGAAACACGTCTTCAAAGTGATGCTCCTGGAACAAATTGAACACAATTTATGATTTAGTATTTCAATGCACAGCTGAATCAATAGCCTAATTTACCACCAATATTTATCTGATTGATTACGACACAAATACGTGAGGCCAATAGTACGACACCCAGCGAAGAAAAATAAACTAAAGAAAGAAGGGTCGAGAAAAAATAATTAAAAGTAAAAGTGGCATTTAGTAGTTTTCTATGCCAGCTAAACTTAGTGTCAGGTTTTTGGTTAAAGCCAACTTAAGATATTTCAAGCAGGTTTTGTTTGTAAAAATCAGTAAAAGATTTTTATGCTGTCGTTTCAATTACCTTTTAATTAGAAAACCAAAATTGCAACCAGTAGTTTAGTAAAAGTAGAAGCCTGATGTTTATACTAGTAATTCTACTGTACATTACTGACCGTTTAGCAGGTTGATTTGCTCGAAACTTTTTCTCCGAGTCGTAGTATTCCAGCCTTGCAGAGGCTTCTATTGAGTCACTCCGCAAAACAAAGAACTTCTTCTTCATAGTCTGAAATCAAATTCATAGTTTTACAGGGGTTTTAATAAAAGATTTGCTAAAATACATAGTCAGATTATATTCAGGCCTAACAGATTTTGCTTTGTTTTTTGTAACTAAAAAATGTTTCAATTGTACTAGGAGTGTTATAAAACATCTGAGAAGAGTACATTAAATAGATTTGGGCTTTGCAACATTTTCAATTCAGATTTGCTTGGTGTGAGTACAGACCTTGGTCTACAGTTGGTTTCATTTTTAATGTGGAAACATTATTTATTAAATTGCTTCCTTTTAATAGTACCTCTACCAGGAAAGAAACAGGACCGTGACAAGATTTTTACAAAATAACTGTTGGGTAGCAATTTAAGACCATATTATTTTGAATGAAAGCTTCAATGGAAAAAGCACGATGTTGAACTGTACTCTGTTCTAGCATTGTCGAAATGTCTACAGCTGAGTTTTTTTTAATAATATTTTCAACCAAAAAACTCTGGGTAGCCGAGTGGTTACAGTGCTTGACTTTATATCTGAAGGTCGCTGGTTAGATTCTGAGCAAGATCTTTTCTGGGCCCTGATGTCATTTGTCATTAGAACTATTTATTAATGACTGTGCAACAAAAGCTTGACATTAATTAGTTAGTAATAAGACCAGGGTGTAAACCGTTCCGTTACAAATGACGTAAAAACACACAAAAGAAAAAGCAGCCTAAATGTAATAACAGCAGAAAAAAAAAACAAGTGTCAGTTTATAACTTTGTACCACACAGTGATTCATAACAACAATACATGCTTAGGCCTAGGAATTTTTTTTTCAAAGTTATAGGCCAATTATTATTTAGGAATTCAGGAAAATATACATTAAAAGGGAAATGATTAATAAAACCAGTGACTATACAAATAAAAACATGTGGATTTAGGACACATGACATGTGGACCATGTGGATACATGGTTTAAAAAAACGTATACTGCACGTAATGACAAAAATGTGTTTATAATAGAGGTATGTCAATTCTCAATACCACCGATACTTGCCCGTTGGTATCGGTATCAAGAATCAATCGTTAAAAGTCAATTCCGATAGCAATACCCGACATGCATTTTTTTTCTGTAAGCCCTACTTGGAAGAACACTCCATTACCTCAAAAATGGAACGACATAAAGACAGGGGTTGGTGTAGTATAACCAATCCATTCTGAAAACTTTGTAAAACTAAAAAAAAAAAATGGTATTGGTACCGAGAATCGATAAATGTTGGTATCGACACATCTTTAATTTATAAATTTATATTTTAGCAACTAGGCTTGAATTATGAATTTACGTCATTAACCATTGTTGATAAAGTTTTTAGTTTTAGATCTCACAGAGTAGACTATGCTGTTTCTAAGAAAAAAATTACGAATAGGCCTAAACCAATTTAAATTTGACAACAATTTCGATAAGAACTTATTATTTGTATTCAAACCCTCCATTTTACTGGGCCAACGTGGAGCATTATTTTTACAATTTAATTGTGTTTTTTTTTTAAATAATTGTCAATAATTCACTATGAAATTGGGGTGGGTTGAAAATGAAATTAAAAGATCCATGTTTACTAAAACAAATTCATTCCTTCATTCAAAGACCTCTCTCTCTCTCTCTCTCTCTCTCTCTCTCTCTTTGATAAACAACAAAGTCACAGCCAAGCATCAAATATATTTTCTAAAGATTTAGTTTTAATTAAAATCATATGTTAAAAAAAATAGCCTATAAGACAACATTTTAAAAGCAATAACTTCTAATGTTGTTTTGTCATCGCAATAAAAGTAATCAAAAACCATTTTTGCAAATAATATGTTTCTGTGGCAGAAATGTGTAGGGGTTATCTCATTAACGACGGGTCACGCGGTGGACATCCATCTCCTAATTATATCACTTGTTTTGCATCTTATTGATAACAGTGTGAGCTGTTACTGCTAATTATATTGTTTGTTTAACCATGATGAGTAATTTTGGAACAAACAGGCACATACAACGTGACCTGAAACTATTTACGGAATGATTAAGATCTCACTCGAGTCTAAAATGATTCGGGGCTCCTAGCTGGTGCTTGTGTCAATTCACAAGTTCACTGATTGATATCACAAGAGTTAAATTAAGTGTCAATAAATAGAATCCACTTATAAAATCGTCTGGCGTTACGAATTAATTAGATTTTAGAATGAAAAGGGAATAAAACACCTATCTATTGAGAAAGTTTTAAAAACTTGATTGACTGTCACAACACTCTTTATTCGAGCAGTATACTTGAATAAAAGGTTGACTTGGCCTTTAAGTAAAACCGTTGAAACTCCTTTATTGTGAATCTACTACAAATCAATCCCGCACACTTATAAAAAAGTAGAAAGATGGAGTAAAAAAAAAAAAAAATTACAAAATAAACTGATAGACAGAACTCATTGGCAGTACGTTTACTAGATGTTCTTTAAATCAAAACAAACATTAAACATGCTGTTTAACCATATGTTTCCAAAGCTTGTTCTACTGTCTTTTGGTTCCATAAATCCCAACACAGGTTTGTGTTGCGAATTAGAAACTTGGAACAAACATGTGCATCTCTCTTGATAGAAGAAAGGGAAAGGCTTTGGATGGTAAGTACTTTTAGTAATTTTAAAAATTGCAGCTGCTTATAAGTTGGGTAGAAAAAGTTATCACATTTAAACAGTTTTTTTCTACTCAACACTTGAAATCAATAATTTTAAAAATTGACTTCAGTGTTAGCAAAACCTAACATAAGTCTGTCTAAATCCAAGCTACTGAAAGAGATGGTTTAAAAATGTTCACTATTCCGTACTGTTTAAAAAAACATAAAGACGACAGGTTAGATCGTTAAATATATTTTAAGATTTTATTGCTGAAAATTACAAATATAATTACAAATATAAATAAGTGAGTAAATCAATACAGTCGGTAACACTGACACCCTGGGGTAGTCCAGTATGTTGTTTTGTTTAAATTCTGATAAGGAACTGCAAATGATCAGCAAGGGCAGATGACCTTAGATGTCAACAATCTTCAGGCTATCAATGGGTTTCCGTCTTGAATGTTATTAAAAAAGAATAAAGCCTGCATTGTTAAATTATTAAAGTTAAGGAAAAGTGTGAAATTACTTAGCTTTATTACAACCATAAAATATAATTTTATATTAGTGAATTGATGCTCTTTACTTAGATGGCTGAAACAGAATAAAACTCAGAACTAGTAACTAGTACATTAATAACCTTTTCTTGCAAAAGTTACTATTCATTGTTGTATTTTTCACACACTGCCCTTGCTGTTCCTAAGTGCCATGTCATTCTAAATATGTAATTTCATAACGATAAAGCTTTTGTTGGGTATAAGTAGGCTAATATAATTAAACAGCCCCTTCATATAGAAACCAAGCTAATTTGTACTACCTACTGTACTTACAAACAGAAAAATTACGAAAGCTTGAATCACATTCATAAAAAATTACAGAATCTGGAAACGCTTTTGGCGAAGACTGCCTGTACATGGAATTTCATACTCTCCCCTCACCACTAATACATATACATAGCAACTATGCGGGTGTTGGTGTAGAACTAAAATAATCTTAAGGTATTAGGACCGAATTGAAAAATATAAAATAGTTGCTAAAACATAGACTAGTTAGGTTCTATACCGATAACAAGCAACTTACAGACTCTTCGTTAAGATATACTGACCTTCAGTTTTTTTAAGTAACCGGTTTTCACAACATCGGGAGGTAAAGGCTTAGAGGAATCTTTACTTGAATCTCCCCCACTCAGGGACCCTCCCAAGGTTGGCCAGCTTCTTCCCGAAGACATTTTTATTTATTTAGAGATATCCAAAAACCTGAAATAATAAGTAGACATGAACCACACAAACTAAATTACATGTAAAGAGTTGTAATCATATTAAAAAATTCACAAAATAAATTTATTAAATATTCAACAAGCTACACTATCGTACTTAAACCTACACTACAACTTAAATCCTAAACCACAGTTGAAACGTTGTGCCAATCAAATGACCTGTTCAGAAACATTCCTTGACCCTTTAACCTCTAGCCGTGTATTATTCATTGACTAAATAGGCCAAATGCATTAGGTACCTATTTTTTTTCCTTTTTTTTAAATATACATTGTGTAATAATCACGAAAAAACACTAGCATAGCTTATTTTTTAACTAGTTTTTGAGGCACTCACAAAAACAAAGGTTGAGTTAAACAGTAAAATACCTCACAAGAGCAATGCCCAGAAAATCCAGTAACACTGTCAATTTCTACCTGAGACATCCACTGTTTACTTTACGCGGGAGCCTCCAGTTAATAGTTTAACCTATAGTCTGAGTAGCTGTAAATTTGTTATGTTAAGCCAGGTTTTCCTAGGCGCGGAAGTGGAGAGCGGAGAAAGGAACGCGGAGAGCGGACTCCACTTGTCTTAGGTAATTTAATGTAACTGTTTTCCTAGAAGCGGAGCGGAACACTATGTTAATTTCTTTTTCAACCTCCGCATTCCTCTCTCCGCTCTCCACGCCTAGGAAAACCCAGCTTTAGCCTTTATGGCCGTAATGAGCCTTCAGAGTTCTGAGGGTTAAACAACTTAAATGTGCGTTTGCAGTGATGGTTATAGGACCTTGTCAAGGGAGGGCTATGGGGGTGTCTCACACAAGGAGGGGATTTCTGTGGTCCTCCCCCAGAAAATTTGCTACTTTTAAAGCCGTTTGGTGAAATTTTTTACGTTTAGATCTATGTCCAAAGCCTCTCTTACGTTTTTATAACAAAATGTAGGCTAAGTTTAAATTGGTATTTCTGTAATTGTTTGCTAGGCCTATAGGCCTATGTCCTTAACAATTAATGTAGGCTATGTTTTTTAACAATCAATATAACCTTACATTAAAGAAAAAAAACTTTCACTAGCCTACTTGTACACCAATCCTATATGATTTATTAGTAGGCCTAGCCTATTGTTTTTAGGGTAAAAAATGGGAAAACCCCATTTTTACCCCCATAAACCCCCGTTCCCCATGGTTCGATTATGCTGGTTCGCGAACTTGTTTGAAAAAAACGTAGGTTTACCCGTTTGTACCAAATTTCATAAAAATCGGATCATTTATTGCTCGAGTTATCGCGCTAACGGACATATATTTAAATATATCGACCTACAGTAGAGTTGAAAATCCCACGTCAAAAATCCGAACTTCCCATGAGAGTTTTAAAATATTGAATTAGCACAGAGAAAACAGATGATTTACAATTTTGCGGGCCAAACAGTCGGCACTCGGCAGGGAAATGAGTGAACAGGACAAGCTAGTCTGTGTTTTAATCGTTTCCAATGTAGGCCTACATATTTTTTCAAGAAACAAATTACAGTAATGTAACAAAAATACTTAGCCTAAGTATGAAAATTATTGTTTTCATTTCATTCACTGTATCCTAGAACTTTATTTTTAATACTGGAGGCCTAATTATGTGTCTATATTAAGGCATTTCTAGGCTAAGTTTGAAAATTCGAAGAAATCAATTCAATTAGTTCAGATTTTTGACTCTCTACTGTGTACATCTATAGGTACCTATAAATGAATTTGAACGGATGGTGTTTTTGGTATCTAGGGACCTCAAAACAAAAAATTAAATCGGTCCCGGATCCAGGCACCATGAGTACTACGGTAATAGTTTATTTCCTATATGGGAAATTTGCTCAAATCGGTAATTATATCAACCTCCGGACCTCACGCGAAATTAAATTTTTTTTTCAAAATGGTTGAAATTTCACGGATTTCAAAAATGATAGTAGTTTTTTGCGGAAACGTCCCGTTTTCCCCATTTTTTTGCTCAAAACCCATGTTGTGGGTACTCAAATTGTGCGGAATTTCCTCCTGAACAAGAATATGTGAATTTTATTACGATCGCTTTTAAGTAAAATATCACCGGACAGGTTAATTAACCTAACCTAACCAAACTTAGGTTCAGATTAGGTTACGTTAGGTTATGTTAGGATAGGTTAGTTTAATTTAGGTAAGGTTGGTTTCTAGGTTAGGTTGAGTTTTATTAGGTTAGGTTAGGTTAAGTTTGGTTAGGTTAGGTTCGGTTATGTTAAGTTAGTTTAGGTTAGTTTACTTACAATACTCATGTTATTGATAAACTAACCTAACTTAGGAAGATAATCAAACTGGCATCCTGAATGTTTTTTAAAAAGAGTGTATCCGCGATGTTGCTCGGACATGGTGAGAGCGCAGACTGATTATCGGCGTACCCCCACCCCTCCCCTACAAAACAGGTCCATAGCCACTCTACCTAACCCCCCCCCCTAAACCTAACAAAACTCAACCTAACCTAAAACCAACCTAACCTAACCTAACTTAACTATCCTAACCTAACCTAACTTAACTATCCTAACCTAAACTAAGGTCCTAAGTTAGGTTAGGTTAGGTTAGTTTATCAATAACATGAGTATTGTAAGTAAACTAACCTAACCTAACCAAACTTAACCTTACCTAACAAAACTCAACCTAACCTAAACCAACCTAACCTAAAGCAACCTAACCTAACATAAACTAACCTAACCTAAAGTAACCTATCCCAACCTTCTAAACCTAAGTTTGGTTAGGTTAGGTTAATTAACCTGTCCAGTGATATTTTACTTAAAAGTGATCGTAATAAAAACTACATATTCTTGTTCAGGAGGAAATTCCGCACAATTTGAGTACCCATAACGTGGGTTTTGAGCAAAAAAATATTGTTCCCGTTTTTCCCATTTTCCGGGAAAACGGGACGTTTCCGCAATAAATGACAATCATTTTTGAAATCAGTGTGAAATTTCGACCATTTTGAAAAAGGTTTTAATTTCGCATGAGGTCCGGAGGTCGATATAGGCTAATTACCCTAAAATCATTTGGAGGAATGACTTCTTATTTTGAAGGCTGCACTTTAGTAGGCTATCTGTCCTAGACACTCATTCGAATTATTGATCGATATATATGTGGGAAGCAAAAAAGGACCTGTTGTCGGCAATGTAAAATTTTCAGTACGGCCGATATGAGTTAGGGCCTAGTAACGTCAAAAATACCGTATCAAAATTCGGGTTTTTATCGATTATTAAGTAATACCATTTAATTAAAAATTAGGCTATAATTTATAGGCTATATTATATTATACCATTATACCTCATTTAACATAGAACAGGACAGTAGCCTATCAGTTAAAATATTGTATTAAAGATTTAAAAGGTCGAAATAAATCATTTTTCCTACAGTTACCTAACAATGTACATGTTCTCTTACTGATTTGAGAAAGCAAAGTGGCCAATTCGCTTATCAGTGCAAGTTTGGTGCTAATTACTCCAGATTTGCAACGTGAAGGCACATTTCTTTACCAATTTATTTGTTTTGTAGTAACTGTGGGAAAAATATTATGTGCTTAACCCGAGTGCAAAGTGCAACTCACTTTGCGTGTTGCACAAATAACTATTGTTAAGTTAGCCTCTGCACGGTCTGAGAAAAGGGACCTCTTGTTGCTCGATGTTATTTCGCCATAACGACAAGAGGTCCCATTTCTTATATTCACTTTATAAACAGACTTTACCCTACTCCAATTAATGAATTTTCCTGAATTCTAGTGGAAATTTAGAGAACTACCGATACGGTACAACAAATTAAGTTTACGGAGAACAAAATATCTCACAGATTATTTCATTTGATATACCCAAGTTTGTAACCGAATGAAGTACCTAGGGCCTAAGTAATCGTTATTTTCAATAGGCTAACCAAATCTATAAATCAATATTTTTTATTCAAATGAGTGGTTAATACCTATGCATTTTAGGGTTTGAACGTGATTTTTGAAATTTTTTTTCATTCTACTTGGAATTCAACACTGATTCCGAAAATGGAGTTATTTTTCCGCAAAAAACTAGGCAACCAAAAATGATTTTTTAGATGTGGGTACTCATATAACCAGTCTATTAAGCATAATCACGAATATGCAAGCATTTTTTGGATCCAACGTCAAATAAGCGAGATTTTGACTAAAATGTTATACTACCAGCAATAACCCCAAAACATTTGGGGACAGGTGGGAATCCAGGATTTTGAGTGAGGAGACATCTAACGTGGTTTATCATCGGAAATTAGGTGGGGGAAAGAGTAGGCCTAATTTAACAGGAAATAAGTAATGGGTACTGTTAATTAACTTAGTCGGGAGAATTATATCTTAAGTTAGTACATGGGAAATTTGTTTGGAATTGGGAAATCTTTCAGTACCAACCTATTCATTGGTAGTTGTAACTTAGCACTGCCAGGTTGCTTGGTAGGTTAGGCTAGGTTTGGTTAGGTTAGGTTTGGTTAAGTTAGGTGTTATGCCTAGTAAACAATTATAATAAAATAATGACCTGCTGATCAGCTGGTATTTTAACACAGGCAAAATTTGGAGCAAAATACCAAAATAGCATCGCAGATTTTCGGAAATCTCGCTTAAGTTATTTGACGTTGGAACCAAAAAATTTTTTGAATAGGTATTTGTGATCTCCTTAAGTTAGGCCTATTCAGGTTAATTTGAGTACTGGTACCCACATGGCGTAGGCCTATTTTAGTAAAAAACAATTTTGGTTGTTTTTCTGTGTTAACTTACCTTATGGTAGTTTTCCTCGGAAAAAGAACGTCATTTTCAAAATCAGCGTATTTTTTAACCCTTAGAGTGCCAGGCGAGAAATAAAAGTAACGCTCAAAAAATGCCGATGATTTTTCCCGAAGGTCGCGCTAAAAATGCCAAGCGCGATCTGGCGATTTTTAGGTGAAAATTTGGCTGCACTTTACTTTACGTCCTACACTCATTAGAATGAAAATATCGATCGATATATCGATTAATCGATTGCTTCATTCGATATATCGTTTGGTTAGTTAGGTAAGGTTAACCTAACCTAACTAACCAAACGATATATAGAATAAAACAATCGAATGAAAATATCGAATCGTAAAAACAATCGAATGAGTGTAGGACGTCAAGTAAAGTGCAGCCGAAAATTTTGTAAAAATCAAATTTTTGATATTTCGACCAACGAAAATCGATGTATCGCATCTAGTAACTTTCGACTCAATGTTAATATATGGGTTAAAAGAATCCGAGTATCCATTCGGTTGTTATGACAACTGTTCGGTCATTACGAAACGTCCGGTCAGCCGGACGTTGGCACTTTTGGCTCGTTCTAAAAACTCAAACGGACTCAAAGGGTTAAATTTCTGGTAGAATTAAGAAAATCGTGTGCAAACTCTAAAATGCATATTTACTGAATGAGTGTACCTATAGTTGACAGATACTAAAGTGCAGCCCTAAAATACATCAGCATGTTTCTAAAATCCCTAGCAATTCCAGCAGAATATCATTATTAGCCATTAAGGTAAGTTAGCGTACAGTAGGCCTATTCTAGTAAACAGCACTGATGAGAGTGTGGAAAACTGGGTAAACTTAACTTAGGACAAGCCCCTAGGCCTAACTTGAATGAACTAGACAGCACGGACATAGGCCTTGTTAACTTACTTATCATGTGGGCCTAATAAAACATATAATGTACTGGTACCGTAACTTGAAAAATCTTCTATAACATGTAAAACTTTTCAAATATATTTCAAATGACATTCAAGAGACGTTAACCTCAATAACAATCAAGTCTAGTGCCTAAGTTAAGTTAATGACTCTGCATATGTCCTAACCTCAATTCTTCACAGATCACATTTGCAAGGAAGGTTATTACTGTCTTGTGCAATATTGCCCAAACCTAATATTATGTAAAAAAACCTAAGTTTTAATCATACTCACAAAATAATGTTTTTTGTTTAGCACATGATCCATTAAACGTTTTAAACTGTTTGTGTGGTTGTTGAAGACACAAGGACAATACTGGTAGTGGTAGTGCTGACACATCCAAAACAAGAAGCTATCACTATCACTAAATGTTTGATTAGTCAGATTAGTGTCTCCTTCACTCAATTATGCTATTATTTGAATCAATACTTTGAAAACACAAACTGTCACATCGAACAAGAACACGCAATTAAAATATAATCATAAGTACGCAATAGAATCTAGCCTACAGACTGCGATATAGGCAACAAGGACAACAGTTTTTCATGCGCAATTTCCCTAACACGTAAATACTCCAGCTCGGTGAATGAATAAGTTATTCCTGTAAATATTGGTCCACAAAAATCCATACCAACGAAATACATTCATAGCTGAACTGTCCAGTCCTAATAATATTGTCCAAGCAAACACAGATAAAACACTGATTTGGTCTAACAACTGATCAAAATGTGGTCGGAAAGTATTGTTAAATGCGCAATTATTAGATTCCTAAAAATAACACTAACATCAAAATAGTCTACACATTCGACTAATCTTTTCCAAGCCACTGCAATTCAGAGTTCTTTGATTAGTCAGAGCTATGTATAAACAAGCAGAAACATAAAATCTCGAAAAATTAGAATCACTACACATCGTGGAAAAGGTCATGTGTAACTGTGTACATGTCGGCCGTGGTTGTAAACAACTTGTACGCATGCGCCGCAAGCCTACAACTCGATACTGACACGGCTAGGAATGAATTCACGTCACGCATGAATCATCCTGACCATTGAACTTTAGACTAAACAGTCTACTAATAAAAATTAAAGAAAAAATCCCAACAAATCACCACCCTCCCGAATGTCACCACTTCTAGTTCTAGTCACTGTTCACAAATATGCACTTCGAAACGACACTAGCCTTGACATTCTTCACTGCCTTGCCTTTGGAAATTAAGAAATTACTTTTCACGACGTGAGGCGATGCGAATTATAACATGATGTAAACAACGGAAATTTCTCCAGATTTCAGATTTCAAAAGACACACTATTAATATCCGCAACTGTACTATCAATCGCCGATCAGACAGACGGTCGACGATGTTAGATTACGGTTACTACGTCTCAGACTCGTCTGGCGTACAACTGGATCGATTACAAGCGACAGCGACGCAGCTCATTCATGGGAAACGCCTTGCAGAACGACACACCCACCCACCGCGCTCAAATGTTGTGGGTAGCCTAATTGCGGGCGCACATTAATAACTCCCGTTATTATTTCCCTACTTAAACAGATTTTAATCGTACTTATTATGGCACTGAATGAATTCGAAGCTAAGTAAATGCGATGTTCTTAACAATATGAATTAGACTTACGTAATGAATGGTATATTGATTTGATATATCCTATAATAATTAATTCATTCCCATTGTTATTGATAGAATTTTATTTTTTAATATTTTATGTTTAAAATATTACTGAAACTAGTGAATAGTATAATAATTTCAGATAGTATATTCAAATTGTAATTACGAGTCAACTTTAATAGTGTAAGAGGGTAACTTAGGTATTGATTGACCTTAGGGATCTTTGATTTTTAGGGTAGGATGATCTACAATTTGATATCTTTTTATTCATTTACTTAATTTCTAAAGACATAGCCATTATTTACAAGAAGTACAACAGCAATTTTATGTAGAAACAATGCACAACACTGCACGTAATACTAGCTTCAGTATATATGGTAGAGCAGTCGATCTACAATAAGCTGTGACAATTTTTGATCAGGGTTTTTACAGTAAAATATTATTTAAAAGAAACGTGAACATTGACTTCAACAAGAGAAGTGCACCAAATAATAATTAAACATATAAAAAGTATGATATACTGTACCAGCAGTCTTCTAATATGGGGTAGGGGACAAATCTTGAACTGCTTCAAAACATTTGTATACATATTATATTTGTTCTAAATTTAATTATAACTAGAGGCATTTGCAGCCCTTCACCTCTGTTGTAGTTTTGGCCTTAACCATTCCCTATGCTGAGCATACCATTCCTACTCTACCTTCATAGTAGTGGTCTTCCCCTAAAACGATACATTTCAACACTGCATTACCATCAAACCATAATAATGCATACCTGCATTATTATACAGGGTGTTTTTGTTTAAGTGTGCTACCATTGGGATCTCAGTAACTAATGATTTTACAGCAAACTTTAAATGGGGAACATTCTTCTGTTTTTAAAGAGGTTCAAAAATAATTAAATACAACTTTTGTAAATGGCCGCCATTTTCCAATATGGCGGTCAACTTTAAAATTTCTAATAGAACACCCTATATTTGATCATGTTTTCGGATAGAACATGCAATTTAAAAACATTTTATCCTGGCATTTTTTTGATAAACCCCACTCGTTTAGAAGTTACAGCCTATGGAAAAATTACTTCCGGTCTACATTTTACATCTTGTAGCTCCTAAACAAGTAGGTGTATAGCGAAAATGCGAATAGTAAATAAGTCAAATAAACACCCTGTATACTTGGGGTAGCGGATTTTTATCCCCCTGGAATTTTACCCCCTGGGCAAACGTGACGTCACAAACCAGGGGGTTAAATTCTGGCCGCGAACTTTTGAGTTTCGCGACATCAGCTCGATGGATTAAACACGGATTTAAACATATATTTTCACGGTTGTGAATTTAATCAGAACACATCAAATTATAATAACCTAGAGTGTACATCCCGGATTTTTGCCCCTGGAATTTTATCCCCCGGATTTTACCCCCTGGCCAGATAAAAATTAGTGAGAATGATTAATATCTTCATTCTGTTTCAATTTAATAGTAAACATTTTATTATTAAGTAGCCTAAATAAGTTGTTTTGTAACATTAACTAATCAAACAGGTTTTTAATTTTAATTTTGAGATTCTAGTATTAGAATTCGATCTTTGAAGCCAACAGTGTTGGTTAATATGATGTATAAACAATCAATTGAATGATAATTGTTTCGAACATTTCTTTACAAAATAAATAAATAAAGATAGGCTACTAAATAATGAAATGTTTACAATTAATTAAAAACAGAAATGAGATAATCAATCATTCAATTTCTAAAATTGGCCAGGGGGTAAAATTCCGGGGGTAAAAATCCGGAGGTAAAATTCCAGGGGGTGAAAATCCGGGGGTAAAATTCCGGTGGTAAAAATCCGGCCCGTACATCTTCAGTTGTCTAAACGCTATAGTTATATGGACAGGGGGTAAAATTCCGGTTTTATCGCTAATCTAATTAATCACGCTCTGGCTACTTTCATTAGACTTCCAAATCCGCGGGGGTAAAATTCCGGCCGCGAACAAACTTTTGGCCACTCAGGTTACTACGTCATAGTGATGTCAGCTTTGCCCAGGGGGTAAAATTCCAGGGGGATAAAATTCCGGCGACCCTTGTACTTATTTCATACTCAAGCAGGATTTTTGTGACAATTACTCCTCCGAAACTACTGAACCGATTGACATGTTTTTGGTGTCATTGGAAAGAGCGTAACGTGAAATGTGCAGGAAACTTTCTTTTTATCGAAATAATTTTAGAGTGAGGCCCTGGGGCCCTTTAAAGCTTTGTATTTCTCCACAACTAAAGATTACCATGGGAAACAAAAATTTTTATGAAACTCCAGCTGATGTCAGTAATGAAAAGTGAGAAGAAAACATATGTAAATTGTAAACAGTCAATAAGTTTGCTAATTTAACAGTTTGCTACAAACATTTACTGACTTCTTTGAAAGGAAATATTTACTGTTTGAATTTGGGTTGGCGTAAATATTACAATGGAAAAAAGCGAGAAAGCCTGGATAGTTTTATGTACTAAAAAGAAAACTGAATTAACACTGTGCTGCATTTAATTTTTAGTAATCATTGAAAGAGCCGATTTGCAAACTATGGAAACATAGGAGAGTCATACAACACCACTAAGGAGAAGAAATAGAAATAACTTTTTTTTTAATTTATCATTGTTATTATGGACAACCTAATGCGGCTATGAGTAAGGCTATTTGTAGAAAACACTAAAAAACAAGACCAGCTTCAGATATTTACATGAAATGTTGATTATATCGATTTGTTATGTACATCTTGAGTATTTCCATAATCTCTGAGTCGAATCTTTAAAGCCTTTAGAAATTATGGCTGTTATTCGTTATAAAATAACGCCTGTAATACTTAGCAATTGCTCGAATTCGAGCAACAGGGACAAATTTGTACCTTTGTTGCCTAGCGCTGGCAGCACACACTACTTGTTAAGTGTGTACACTCACGCCGGGGCTATAGAATACAACGATACATGTATTCTGTTAATATTACATGATGTTAATAATTACACAATGTTATGTAATTATTATGTAATGGATTTTAAAAAATCCAACATTTAGATGAATTTTACCCAAAAACAAACAGCTATTTTAAAATTTTATAGAAAAAAATTTAAAGTTAAAAATTATATTTTTAATAAATAATGATTATTATCTTATATTTTCACACCTGAACGCAAATTTTGGTGAGAATCGCATTACCCATTCCCCCTGTGAATTGATACCAAAATATGACAAATTTACTACTTTCAAGTTCCATATATCTCCCTTAATATTCAAAATAAAAAAATATTTCTTATATTTTTATCTCTATTTTTTAGTATAATTGAACAATAACAAAAAATCCGAGATCAAGTTTTTGACAAAACACCCTTAAGCTTTAAAATGGATTCTCAACAGCCATTTACTAACATAATGCACCCGGATTTATGATAATATATTAATGGGGGTTTATTAAAATACAAATTATAGTATTTTTTTGTAAAAATGACATTCTAATTAAAACTTCTTGGATGATGATTAATTCACGAAGTAGCCAGGATTGAAACAAAGATTTGAATCTTTGTTTGTTTAGCTACCTTAACAAGTTCCAAATTCTCAAATGTTTAGAGATTTATAGTATTTTGTACATAGATTCACCTGTCTTAACCATTTAATTTGTACCCTTGTCCCAATAATAAAGGGGTGGATTTATTAAAAAAACTAATGTTTTACAGAAAATTCCTCTTCAAGTCTTTTTATTGAAGTATGGAGTTGATAGGCATGCAGCTTACGCTTTCCTCAAAGGCTTTTGTTCCTTTATCGACGTTATAGACAATTTAGGAGTTCTGTAAACACCAGCTAAAACAAAAGAATATTTTCCTGCTCGTACTTTTAACCACACAACACTTAAATTCTTTGTCTTAAACCAAACTCGTTATTTCTGTTAATTCAAGAGGTTCTACTTTGAGTGCTGATCTGGCCAAAATTAATAGACCACCTCATGATAATTTTCGAGCATAAAAAGATTTGACTGTCATTTTTTTTATATTCAAACAATATATTTAATTTTCATTCATTTATGTTCTGTCAGTACTAATAAATCCACTGAAATTTCATCTAGTAAGATAAATAACATGCCTAGTCTGGAGGGTAGGCGCTGGATATTTTGGTGTAGGATAGGTACCGGTACTAATTTCATCATTACTATTTTGATTACAGTTTGTTTTACTTTTGTTGTTTTGACGGAATTTTGATGCGGTAGTAGGATTTTGTTGTTTTATGTGTTTGGAACTTTTTTGGAAATATTGCAGTTTAAACTATTTAAGCCATTAGAGAGAAGCTGTGCAAGGATTACAGATTTGATCATTCATTAGGATAATATTGGAAATTACACTGTTTACTTCAAAGCTACTATTTACATGAGAACTATATTTACATCTAGACTACAATTTTAACTGGCACGGACACTCTGCTTTTCCACTTCACTTGACACACACTTCACCACCTCACTGTACTGGAGATGGCCAGGGGCTAGGATGGGCTGCTGATGTGATTGCGAAGATACTGGACTAGTAGAAGTCAGGCATATCTCATCTTTCTGTGGTTGTCCGTGCAATGTGTAAGTGAGAGAGAGTTGCTCTGGTGTCGACCATCCTCGCCATGGTGATGTGTCAGAGATAACAGACAAGTTTATGTCCGGTGTCAGGTGAAGTGGGAGCTCATGAGGAGTGTCCGGTGCTGTTTGTGTCTCCGGGTCAAACATTGTAGAGCAGACATCA